TTGTAATAAATATACTTTAAACCTCCTTGTACATGAATTTGTGTACATGAACTAATAAGTATGGGATTTTTGATGGGAGTTGGGGGTAGTACTTCAGTATGGGAAACAGAACAAGGCAATAAAAAGAGGCGGAAAAATAGAAGGCAGATGTAGGGGCCCAGTGAATAAGAAACGCTCGAATTCAGTGTGATATTAAAAATGTTTAATTGGCACAGGACTAACATTGACCAATTAGAATCAAGGCTAGCTGCGGGAGCTGAGCGGGGTTCTGGAGGTCCCCTTTTGGTACAAGCATCACCCCTTTAGATAATGGATCATGGAAAGTGAGGGTTCTAGGAGGAAGACTGGGGCACCTGGGACGATAGAAGGTGTTAGGGAGCTATTGACCAACTGGTGAAGTATTTTGATATTTTAGCAGCTTGCAGTAACAGTGCCTGCATGCAGGCTGTCAGCCCCAACATGGGTGATCTCACGGCAGTGCTCCACGCGCTGTGGAGTGTCCCATGCCTTTTTCAAAGCTTTCTCAGCTAACATGTCATGCATCCTAGTGGTGATGGTGGAAGGCAAATGTTTCTTGGCTTCCTGTAGGAGAGACAGGAAAAACGGGACACAGAGAGGGGTTTATAACTGTCTTACAGACTCAAGGATGTTGTTGGTCATGTTGGGAAGAGAACATGAGGCTAGTGATGCAAATGCGCTCTGAATGGAGACAGCTCCTGTCAGACTTAATTTCACTGGGAAACTTCTAGTCAGTTTTCTTCAGGACTGATAATATTTCCATGGCACACAAGGAAAACACCATAAGGAAGCTCCATGACATTCTGACTACGTCTTAGAGAAATTAATGTCTTTCATAGGAAAATGAGGAACCGGAAAGGTTTTAGACATGTTGTCCTGACTCACAAGCCCTCATTTTCCACACCCCCTGTGTCAACACAGTCAGCTCTAGAAGGATTTCAAATGAGTTAAACCTTTTTTGCAAACTGTCACTCTCTTGTCGAATAAACAAGCCTTCTTATTCACATCTGAAATGTTTCCTTCACACTGCTCCTGAGGCTTGAGGAGGTGGCAGGAAAGGTGTTCATATATATCCTTCATGGGGACTCCTGAGGAGGATGAGTTCTGGGGACCCCCTGGTTTCAAGGGTTATGAGTCTCCTTTTTGGTACAATCCTTAACTCACCTTATCAAATGGACGGGGGTGGGAGGTGGGGCTCAGGAACATAATTAGTTCATTGAAAATAAAATGAAAAAAAAAAGAACACGATATAGTCTTAACATTAGATACAGTCAATGGGCTTCTATATATTTATTTCAGGATAATGCTTACTGTTGGGCTATGGCATCTAGTGATCTCATTTGCATGGAGACACTCTTGCCAAGGATCATTTCCACTTACATGAGTTATACTCACAATCCCTGATGGATCAGGCTATATGTTAAGTCAATGAATGCCCTTGTCAAAGTTAAAATTGCGCTGTTAATTGCACTGACAAAGTTACACAGGCAAGGAGGATTTTATTCTAAACTATTTCAATAGAGTAAAGAGACTAAACTCAGCTCCACAAAGGCCTGGAGAGTGTTTAAGAGCTGGGATGGGAGGAATAGTAGGCCACCTGTGTTTGTTAATTAGTCTTCACGATTGGAGTAAGGAACCCACCAAAGTCAGGCATGTACCTTCCTACAGAGACTAGGAGGATGTTATCTCTTTCAGTGTTTTTCTTTCAAAAAGGTGGTTCCCAGGTCCTTGAGAAAGAAATGTCCTGGGTTGCAAAACTAGCAAGAAGTTGGCAGATTTGTTTATATTGCAAAGGGGCAGAATAAGGATTTATAATTGCAAGTTTTCTAAAGTAAATGCTCTAAGAAAAGAAAGGCCAGGGGCCCATAGTCAGGAAACAACCTGTCTAAAGTTTAGTCAAGGTGAAGGGAATATTAAGGCTATCTTGCTCGCCCTCTGAGGCAATTCATAAATGAATTACAAAATTCATTCCTGCTGCTCGAGAAGAACCCTTAACCCAGAAATACATAAATTAGGACATCTCAGGTCCCTGCACAGGTACCTTCTTCTGAATAGTCCATTGAAATGAACTCATAAATGCTTCCTTTTAATGGTCTCAACCAAGGGTATTTTCACTGATTAAGTCAATAAACATTTATGGAGTATCTATTCTGTGCCAGACACCATTTTAGGTATGAACAAGGTGGAAACTTCTAAAAGAAACCTAACAGCACTGAAGAAGATAGAGGAGTAGATGAACATTTAAAATGTAATGAGAGTTCCTCCAAAAAAATCAAACATGACCTAACAATTCCATTCTTAGGTATCTGCTCAAAAGAAATGAGAACATATGTCTACACAAAAACTTACGCAAGAATGTTCATAACATTATTCATAATACCCAAAAGGTAGAAACAACTAAATGCCCATTAATTGGTGAATGGATAAATATGGTCTATCTCTGCAGTAGAATATAGTTCGGTAATAAGGAGAGTGAAGGACTGATACATGCTACAACATGGAGGAACCCCAAACACAGTGTTTTGAAAGAATCCAGTCACGACAGGCCACATATTGTATGATTCCATTTAAATGGAGTGTCTAGTATAGGCAAATTTATAGGGTTGGAAGGCGGATCAGTGGTTGTCTAGGGCTTTGGGGGTGGGGGACATGGGGACTGACTGGTTGCTAATGGGTATGGAGTTTGTTTTGGTGGTGATGAAAGTTCTCCAGAATTAACTGGTGATGGTTTGGTATACTCCAAAATCATGTTTATGGGAAAATGGGAAGAGCACTGGATTTGACCCCAGAAGACCTAGTTTGAATCCTACAAGTATTGTCTGCTTGATTTTTCCAATGACATGCCCTTTGAGCTTTCTCTGTTTTCTCCACCTTATTAAATGATCTCACCACCCATCCATCCAGTTACCAAACTAGAAACTCTGAAGCCATCTGAAATGCACACCTCCCAACCCCTCACTGCCCCTAGCTAACCAGTCATCAAGTCCTATTAATTCTATTCCTTTAGTCTTTTTAAGGGCTCTGTCCTCTCCATTCCTGCGCCTCTCACCTTTTGCCAACATCACCTCTCACCTGCACTAAGCAACAGCCTTCTCTAGGTCTCACCACTTAAGTCTAATCCCTCTCACTCTCCATATCACTGGGAGGGTGATGTTTGTAAAAGAAACCTCATGTCACTTGCTTGCTCAAAATCATTCAGTGGTTATTACTGTGTCGTGATAGCAAACATATATACAATGCTCTGTGCCTGGCAAGCATCATTTGAAGGACTTCAGATGCATTAACTTGAATCCTAACATCAGTTCATTGATAGAGGAAGGAATTGGGCACAGAGAGGTAAAATGACTTACCTAAGGCTGAGCAGCTGCTTAAGTCTAAAGCTGGGATTGAACCCAGGGAGCCTGGCCCGGGGTCTGGGCCTACAGTCATCACACTACTCTGCCTCACAAAAGTGGAGGCCAAGCTCATTTCTGTGGCCCAGGCCCTGCCTACGTGCAGCCCCTCCTTGTCTCTATGCTCTGGTGTTACTGAACTCCCTGCAATTCCTCAAAAAGGCCTCACTCCTCTGGGCCTTTGGACAATGCCTTTTATTCTAACTGGACTGTGGAAACCCTTGTCCTTCAAAACTTGTCTTTGGAGATGTTGGACAGGTAAATACATGTGATTGAAATAAATGGAATTTAAAAAGACAGCAAGAAGAATTAGGGTATCACGGATGTCACATGTATTTCACATACTCACTTTCTCACCCAGGAGTCCCATCAATATAACTCTGTCCTGTGGCCCTTTCCTCTCCCAGGGGATCTAGTTAACCTGACAGATAAACCCTGTTGTGTCTTCCTGAGCTGATCATGCAGAGCTCACCTCTGTTAAGCGGGGTCAGTCACTGTAGAAGGGGAGCCCTGCCTGTGCGCTCAGCCACCAGGGACCTGGACAGGTGTCAGTGGCACTTTCCTCCACTGGAAACCAACTCATTTATTTTGTTTACTCTACCAGTTATTTTCCTGCCATTAACATTCTTTTCCTGGCCAATGGTCTAAGTACACAAGGGATGTTACCATGCAAGTCTAGTGAAAGAGGAGCTTCGGGTGGGGTGGGTGTGTCGGCTGTGTCCTCGGTTTAGTGGTGATCACCATTAGGGACATTCTAAACAATGCCCAAAAGCAACTCTAGCCAGTAACAAAGAATTGAGGGTGGTTCATAATAGACGACAGTGTCAAGGCATCTCCAAACGGACTACTCTCCTATGAGCCTGGAGAGGTCTGATTCCATTGGTGTCCCCGTTTCTGGGAACACATTTCCCCCCCTACATGGAGTATGCCTTTGTCTCCTTCTAGAGAAGTATGCCCAGCTGGGGGCTCTGCTCACGTTGTGCACTCTCCCTCTACAGAGGAAGGCTGACTGCCTCTCTTCCTCACTGTCTTTTTGAAAGGGCTCTGGGACTACAGGTGTGTGTGTGGGGGGGCTCCATGCTTTGCTTGACGGTAAGTATCTGGGGACAAAGTGTCAAGGTGAGGGGAACTCTGATTACCATCAGAATGATCCTTGCGTCCATGCAAGTGTCACCCTGATGGGGGGTCTTCCTGCCTTTCTGGTCCCTCCCGGCTTGACTTCCAAGTCAAAGTCCCCTTTGAGCCTCTCTTCCTTCCTCCCACAGGCTGCAGCCTCCAGGATGAGTCCCCACCTCTTCTGCAGCAGATGCCAGGAGCTCTTTGAAACTTGCCCTTGGTCTCTGGAATCCTGACTCTGAGGCTGGGCATTCCAACGGCAACTCCTTGGGTGCGGATCTTGGAAAAGCCACTTCAAAACTGTCTCAACCCAGGCCCCAAGGACAGCTCTGCTTCTGTGAGGTTTGTAAGGTGCCAAAAACATCTCCGGTGCTCAGGCTGGAGCAGCCAATGGAAGCCACGACTGGGACCCCTCCCACTCCCCCCTCAGTGGCATCCCAGCCTCCTGAATCTCTCCTCCCTGTCTCCTGGCCTGTCTGACACAGCAGTGAGGCCCCAGAGGACCCAGGTCTGCAGAACCCTCTTCATCTGCCCTGTGGTTCCCAGACGGAGCCTCATCCTCTCCAAAGATGACCTGGAGACAGCTGCTGCTTGTTTCCTGTTTCTCAGTCACTGTGCTCCTGTCCAGTGAGTATGGGGAGGCTCCAGGATGGACTGGTGTTGGGTGAGGCTGCTCAGGTGGCTGGCCCAGAGAGAGAAGGGGTAGGTGCTTATCTATAAGATGGCTGTGCTGTGCTGTGTGTGTGTGTGTGTGTGTGTGCGTGTGTGACACAATACAACACAGAGGAAACCGTTGGCCTGGAGGTTTCCTGGGGAGGTAAGCTCTGGGCTGGTGTATGTGGGACCCAGGACCCCACACTGGGGCCTGGCAGGTCTCTGTCCTGGGAAGGACGGGCCTGGCCTGGCTGGGATGAGGGTCCCCTCAGTGCGCTGCAGCCCTCACTCTCTGCTCTGGTCCACAGTGCTGCAGGAGGGGACCAGTGCATCAGTGGGCACCAGGCAGGTGGCCGGACAAGAGGCCCAGGAAGGTGAGTGCAGGAGCCACCCAGGGCAGGTGGGCTAGCGCCTGTGGTTGCCCTGGTGAGCCCATGCTGGTTGTGACCGGGCCTCCTTCGGGTTTCAGGTGTGGAACAGAAGATTTTCATGCAGGAATCAGATGCCTCGAATTTCCTCAAGAAGCGTGGCAAGCGGTCCCCCAAATCCCGAGATGAGGTCAATGGTAAGAATGCTGGCAATTGGCCTTCTGCTGGCCCCTCCAGTTCCTTCTCTCTCTCTGTCAGCTGGACTGTGGGGACCTAGGTCCTCGGGCATCAAAGTGACTGTAGCTCTTAGTTAGAAATCCCACATTTCCTGGAATGCAGGTCACATCTGTTTAGACTGACTATGCTGTTAGGGTAAGGGACAGTGCCACATGCACTTAACAGTGACGAGATATAACCTGGTTCCAGAAAGTTAGAACCATACGAGGAAAATCCATGTTCTAGTCAGCACAGACACAATATCTCAGTGTGTGCTTTTTGGGGTATTGCAAAGTGAGCCCTTACACGCAAGAGCAATAGCATTGCGAGCAGGGAGAGGGCACATGAGACTCGGAGCTGGGATTGTGGGTTTGGTGACAGCTTTGCTGCTAAGTGGCCTTGTCCACTTCCTCTCTCAGGGCCCAAATTTCCTTATTTACAAGCCCCTGAAAGTGTGGTGTTTAGCCAGCAGTGTTTTGTTTTGTTTTGTTTTAAGTTTTTGTTTCCAATGCATTTGGGAGGCTTTTGAGCTGAGAAGCTTGCCTCCTCAGCTTTCACTAGGCCCCAGTGTCCCCTGCCTAGCAGGGACCCTCATTTCCATGACCTGTCGACCTGGAAGGCATTTGAGTTTTCTGCCCTTGAACTAGATTCTTCCAAGGACTCTGAGTGCTGACTGTCTCCGAGTCTGTAGCTTGATTCATTATTCGTGTGAGTGTCTGAATAAGCTCTTTGTGTCGCTCAGCACACTCCACAAGGTAACTTGCTCCATAAAAATCATAGGAGTTTTCAGATGATGGGGAAGAAGAGAGTAGAAAATGCTGGGAGATAAAATTCCTTTTTTTTAAGAAAAAGGACAAATATTAACCAAACTGGGAAAACTTCCAGGCCTCACACAATTTGTGATTTAAAAGCTAGCAAATGTCAAGAAACACTGAAAAGACTGATGGAGGTTGGGCAGTTCTTGATATAAATCAGAGCAGCAACCTCCTGGAAGACTTCCAAGGGGGAACAGGTGTGAATTTTAGAGGCAGGTAGTTTCCATTCTGGGAAGCTGAGCAGAACAATGAGGCATGTGACTAAGCCAGAGGTTCCTCACCTCAAACAGAAGTTCAGTGTGTCTGTTGGGAGAGGGGGGAGCAGCCTGGAGAACATCTAGGACGCACCCGAGTTCATGTCTAGTCACCTGGTCAGTTTCAATGGATGGGCAGGGGATCAGGGCCCAATTATGTCTCGGGCTAGGTAAAAGGCAAGTGATAAACTTGAATTTGGAACCAGGGAACAGGCATCTGACATCTCTAAGCTTCTGGGTAAAGATGCAGGTCACTTCAGGGTGAAAGGAGGAACTAATCCAGTGAAATGCATGCTTTTGAGGAGAGATGTACACAATAGTGTAAGAATAGCATCTTGTCTCAGGAATTAGTTTTTATTCTTTGTTAAGTCAAAAGTCCAACATGTGGCACCTCCAAAAAAGCAATTTCGGAAGGAAGTTGCTTTTCTGAAGTATACAGGGATGGAAAATGCTTCTTTAGGAATTGGCGGTGGCTCATTAAGCACCTGCTTAGAGTCCAAATCCCCTGTCTCCGCATTCCCACCCCCAGCAGCTTTCTGGTACCTGTAGCATTGTTGAAGCTTGGGGGGTGGGGGGCGGTTGTAAGGGAGATTCTGCCACGCACGGTGTGTTCTGTCCAGGAGTGGAGTGTGGGTGCCTGGAGCTCTGGCCCCAGTCATAGCTCTGCCTTGCCCAGCATTGACCTTGATTAAATCAACTCACCTGAGTGAATCCCCTAAGAAATGTGTGGATGTGGGGAAGAGGCGGCATGGGGATGGACTGGAGTGCCAAGCCTTTCTGTCAGATCAGATTCCTGCAACTATGCAGGTAACAGTACAAGTTTTGGAAAAACATGTGCTTTACAGAAGGAAGCGACACTGAGACCAGTTCGGGTAACTTGATTTTTCATGAGTTAAGTTAGATAATATAAACCTAATATAAATAACCACTGTTTAATTAATTTACTTATTCTTGTAAATTTCTTACTTTCAAGAAGGGTTTGAGATGGTTGCCGGTCTTACTGTTTCGCAAAGAAATACTACTTGTTTCTCCAGCACCCATATACTGTGGGCTGGGGCAGAACACCAGTGGCTCTCCTCACATCCTCTGCTTCCATCATAACCCCCTCCTTCCTCTTGCACATCCACACTGGTGGGGGCAATGGCACCTCAGCCTCCTCCCTTTGATGTAAGAGGAATCAGACCTCACCTCATGGGAGGGATGGGAGTTCTGAGGGACCAGTTCCTCCTGCACCAGACACAGCCTTCCTGCTGCCATGGATTTTCCCAGCTGAAGCCCAGACAAAAGAAATATCTTAAACCTAAGAGCACTTTAAATAATTTCCACCAGACAACCACAGCTCTGGCACCAAAGAGGTCAATGTGAAGATTCGAGGACAGAGATGGATGAACTTGGAAACTAATTTATTTTACATAGAAAAATCCAAAATGTAGAGAGATATTTTTCAGTCTAAATGAGAGTAGGTGAGAAACAGTTGCACTTGCTAATGAGGTGGGATGTGGTTGTTCAGGTGGGATTCCCTTTGGGGCTCAAGGGAGTGTTATCGAGCTTCATTGTTCAACTGCCAAGGGTGTCACCTTATTTATGTCACCTTATTTATGTGTTCTCAGTGACAGTTTTCAGTTTTCACCAGCTGGACTTCTTCCAACCATAGAGGTGTACTTTCAATTTCATAATGTGGAACTCGGATTCCCCCTAAAAAGGTTTACAGCCAACTCTACTGAAATGCATTGCCTTACAAAATAAGGGATACCTGTGGTTAGTGTTTCCGTCAGGAAGTTTGCCTAATCGCCCCATATCCTGTACTAGTTATCTATTGCTGTATAACAAACAATCCCCAATCTACCAGCTTGAACAAATTACCTCAAAATTTAGCAGCTTAAAACATTTGTTGTTTCACATTTGCTAGAGTCAAAAACCTTGGTCTAATTAGTTGGTAGATTCTGGCTCAGGGTTTCTCAACAGGCTGCAGTTATCTCAAAACATGACTGTGAGAAGATTAGTTTTCAAGCTCATTCATGTGGCTGTTGGCATGCCTCAGGTCCTTGCTATTGGTCAAGGACATCAGTTTCTTGCCATGAGTGGGCCTCTTCATAAGACAGCTTACAACATGCAACTGACTTCTCATAGTGAGAGCAAAACCTAGAAAGAGGCTGACCAACCCAAGACAGAAGCCACAGTCTTGTTTGTAACCTAGATGGGAGGTCACATTCCACCACTTTTGCCATATTCTGCTCATTAGCAGCGAGTCACTAGGTCAGCTCCACACAAGGGGAGGGAATTAGCATACCAGGGGCATGAGTATCAGGGATCCCCCTAGATCCTCTACCCCATGCCATCAGTGTATAGACTTCTATCATAGCAGCCATAATGTCTTTTAGTAGAGGGACAGAATCTCTCTTACTTGCATCTTTAATCCCAGTGTGTATCATATACATTCTGTCCATGATAGGTGTGCAAAGATGTTGAATGGACTTGAAAGTATTAATTAATGTGAAATGAACTTTAAGTTAGATGAACTGCCTCTTCTAATTCATTTCTGACATTGAACTTCTCAAGTTTCTAAGTGGCCTAAAATACTTGGCTACATCGTAATTTTATGTGTGAAGCTAAATTGCTTCACCTTTTGGGGTCTCAGTCTTCTCATTTGGGCAAAGAGGTGGTTGGATGGAAAGACCTCCTAGGTCCTCCAAGTTTGAAAACCTATGTCAGGAGTAAACCAATTCAGTGAAGCCCCACCCTTAGCCCTCACAAAAAACCAGATTAAGTTTCTTTGGCAAAATAACCGGTGTTCCCCTAAATGTGTGCAGATGTCCCTATTCTTGGGGGCCGCTCTCACCTCTTACCCTTTCACAGCGGAGAACATACAGAAGCTGAGGGCTGATGAGCTACGAAGAGAATATCATGAGGAACAACGGAACGAGTCTGAGAACTTCGTGGAGGAGCAAAATGATGGTAAGAGCTCTTTGGCCAGCATCTCTGGGGAAGTGGGGCTTTGTGGGAAAACCACAAAGCGGAGTTGCCTCCACGTCTCCCTAAGTTTTAATTAGAGGAGAAAGAGCAGCTCTACTTTCACATCTATGGGAGTCTTGAGAAGAAAGGAGAAAGTCATAAATGGCCATAGAACTTGGGAAGGGACAGAAAAGGACAGTACCCCTCTGCTGCCAAGGGCTCAGGGACTGTGGGGCGGGGGGGATCGAGGGCTGACTGCATTCTCTCCTACTTGGGGGTCACTGGAGTGGCCTGTGTTCTCTGTATTAGCGCCTACACTGGTGGCTTAGCACTTGTAGAGTTGGATTGGGAGGGTTTCAAACTCAGTTTTAAGTGTCTTCGATTCACATTGATGTAATGGCTCTAGGAACTACTCATCCTGGAAAACCAAGGCCTTCGTTTACCTATTCACTATAATCAGCATCTTATCTGACTGGCAGAGGCAAATCAGGAAAACTCAGAAAGCGCTGGTCACCGGTGCCCTGCCTTGTACCCTTCGCACCTCCAATACCTGCATCTACCGCTGATATGAAGGCTCCAACATACCCATAGCATCGGGCATCGGCTTATTTCTCATGATTTGCTTGTGCCCTTACCCAGCTGCTGTTAGGGTCTTCCCTACTAAGCTGTCGCCTTTGCCTCCGTGTCTCACTAGGCAATCAGCACATCTCATTTCTGCCCTCGAAACTTGGGCAGACAGGGCTCCAGCTTCTGCAAGGAAATGCTGATTTCATCAAGGCCCCTGGAGGCAGCGGGGTGTAGGCAAGAGTGAGGAGTAAAGAGCTCTATGTTTGAACCACACAGCCTTCCACCAGGTTGAATTTGACTTTGGATCTCTAAGTACCCTCAAGTAAAAACCCTTAGGTACATTTAATAGGGCTCAGACCAGCAGGCCTGTTTGTGTGTGTGTGTTCCTTGTTTTTGGTCTTTCAAGACTGAAATGCTCCTGAGTAAGCTCCAGGATGCATATGAGCTTCGACATAGGCCCCAGTTTAGGTCACCTTTTTAAAGGTCAGCGATTTCAGTTCTGAAGTTGTTACCTCCTGGCTTGTTTGCTCTGGTGGATTTCAGAAGGATATGATCACCAGATACCTGAGGGCTGCAGGCCATGACCATTGCCCTGCAGGTGGCACCTAGCTGAGCCCTGCAACAGGTGCTGAGCTTGGATCCTGGCAAACCAAACTGTTCTGGGAACAACTCAGGCTGTTGTAACTCAGAGGCAAACACTTCTGTTTACCTTGGTGGATGGCTAGGGGAGAGGCATTTTACAAATGAGAATGTGGCCTCCAAAATTCCTTTGGTGTTTTGTTTTGTTTTTTTACTCATAGTATTAATAACAGCATTTTATTTTGTGAGTTTTTTAATGTTTCAAGTCCAAATCCCTAACACCTGGGTAGAAAATTTGATGTTTTCTGTTTTATGATGAAATTAGAATGAGAGGTCAGGCACCTTGGGGATGACAGGTCCTCCACCAAAGCCAGAGGAGACTAAGATCAGGGACCTCAGGCCTTGCCTACAAAGATGAAGACACTGCAGGGCAGGGCACAGGCCTTTGGGGTCTGTAGTGATAGCCGCTGTTGTCATTGATGAGTACTTGGTCCCTCAGGCAGTGGGAATGAACTGCCAATCCTTACAACCAGCTTCTGAGGTCTTGCAATTTCCATTTTACCGTTTCAAAATTCATCCTGAGAAAGGATACACGAATACCCAAGGCGATACTTCTAGTAAGGGGTCTGAACTAAACCAGCGGAGGTCGTGTTCTTGTAAACGAAGGATGACCAAATGCGTGGAGGTCCTGGAGATCTTCACTGCAGGGACTGGCCCGTGAGGATGCAGTGAGGAGGGTAAAGCAGAGGCTGCCCAGAGAGGCCTCCCCGGGGCCTGGTGAAGGAGGCAGGGGGGCGGAGCAGGCCTGGCCGGCCTGAGGGTTATTGTACACACAGGGGAAACTCGGTTCACTTTTCTCCTCTTGCCCTGCCTCTGCTCCAGAGCACCAAGTGATGCTGGCAACCCGCACACAGGTGTGTTGCTCAGAGCTCTTCCCTGAGGCCCCACTCCCCTGCCCCTGCCACCAGGACTCTGGCTTCAGTTAGCTGTCTTCCTCTGACAGTGTCGCCAGTTCTGAGAACAACTGAGGGTAGTTGGATGTCCATCTTCTCCCCGAGATTCTTGCTTCATAAAGGCCAGTGCTGAGGGATTTCCATGGGGAACCAGGAGGACTGAGGTTTCCACTGGAGAGATTGTAGGCAGGTGGTCTGGAGGGAGGTTTCTGGACAAAAGAGTCCTTCCTGAGGACCTAAAAATCCCACTCCAAAGGCCTCTCTATCAACCTACCTGGGCCATTGGTCCTGGTTTGGGGAAAGTGGGTGGGATAGGTTAGAGCCTCACTCGGCTGTGCCATGGCTCCTGGTAGCAACTCTACTCAAAACCACCAACTTCACAGGGCAAAATAACTTTGAGTTCTGCCTCTGAAAGCTCCAGGATAAACAGTGTGCTGAGCTCCCGCTTCTAAGGCCTCAGTGGTAGTGTAAGCCGGCTTCTACCTTCAAAGCCAAAGCCTAAGTCAGGCCATCTGAGGTTGGCTGCATAACAAAGGATCCCTGGCCACAAGTGGTCCCATACACAAAAGCAACACTGTCAGGGCCTCTGGTCTTTATTAGGGAGGCCCTTCCCTTTGTCTAAGTACTGTAAAATGGCCTAAGAAGAGTCTGGTCTGGCCTGGGGAAAATCATGCTAAGATTGGCAAGGAGTAGCTGGTCTTACCCAGATGAGAAAGGTCTGAACAGCGATAGCTAACACTCAAAGCTCCAGTCTGGGTCTGACCCGTGAGCTTGAGTCTGTCTCTGGGGTGCCAAGTCCCTAAGGGGATTTTTAGCACCAAGGGCTCACATAGGAAGGAACCAGTCCCAGCAGCCATATGGCCCCAACACCAAGTGGTGACAAGGGTGCTTGCTGTTGAGACCACCTGGCTCTCACAGGTGCTAAGGTGCACTTTCTCTACACGCTGAAGCCTGCAGGCCATGCTGTTAGTCCAGTGCTACAGAGGGTACATTTCACGGGCACTAAAGTCAGGTTCCCAGGCTTTCTGATCTTTGATATTACCTTTTTTTGTTAGGACTTCCCATCCTCCCAACATTTTTCAAAAATACTTTAAAAAATTTGTAGTAAAATATATATAACACAAAATTTGCCACCTTAACTAATTTTTAAATGTATAATTCAGTAGCATTTTGTACATTCAGTGTTGCAATTCACAAATTTACAAATGTCCCTATTTCCAAAACCCTTCATCACCTCCAACAGGCACTCTGTACCCATCACGCAATAACTCTCCATTCGTCACAGCACCTAGTGACCTCTAATGTATTTTCCACCTCTATGAATTTGCCTATTCTAGTTATGTAACAGAAGTGGATTTACACAATATTTGACTTTTTGTGTCTGGCGTATTTCACTTAGCTTGTTTCAAGTTTCATTTATATTGTAGCAAGTATCAGAAAGTCATCCTTTTTATCGCTGAATAATACATATGTACATATATGTGTACATAGGCCTCACATTTTGTTTATCCATTCATTGGGTCCCGTTTTCAGTTCTTTTATATATATACCTAGGAGTGGAACTATTGCCTTACATGGTAATTGTTTACCTGTTTGAGGAGCTGCATGGATGCTTTTTAAACTTTGGAGGCTGTGATAACGAGCTTCAATGGCACCTAACAACAATAACAGGCTGTCTGGAACTGGCATCAGGAGACTATTTCTACCATTGAACATAGGTCTTCTTCAGAAATACATCTTATCAAATACAGTAAAATAAGACTTTCTTACTCATTAAGAACTCCCTTCTGATCTTTTTAGCCTTTTACTATGAAAAATTTCAAATATACTTAAAAGTATATAGTACACCCAGAATCAACCATTGTCAAGATTTCCCCACACTTGCTTCATCCATCCATTTTCCCAGTTAGTTTTAGAAACATTTTTTATTTTTATTTTTTGCCTCACCATCCCTCTGACAGAGAGCAAGGATCTCTTGTTTTTGAAGGAAAGCTTCACGCCTCTTCAGCAGGAAGCAGCTACAGAAGACACTCTGTGCCTTTTCTCTGAAAGAACTCAGAGCCAGTGTCCTGAAGGGAGGATGTGTTGGCAGTTAGTTAGAAATGAGCAGAACAAGGGCAATGGGTTAGATACAAAAGGTCATCAGGGTGGAAAGCCCCATGTGCCTAGCAATTGCCCCCAGGGTGACCTTTCCTCCCCTGGCATGTCAGCTGGCCATGGGGTTTGGATCCTCTGATCTTTCCACCCTAGAGATAACATCTAGGCCTCAGGTGTGATTTAGCTCCAGGCCCAGAAAAGCAACAAACCAGCCACAGCTTACTCAGGACCAGCTGCATTGGATAATGATCCCTTGCCAGGGCCCAACCAATCAATCGATGGAGACCACAATCCTGAAAGGACACACCTGGAAAGCTGCCAACTGTTACAATGAGATCATCCCCTAGGACTTCCCCGAAAATCTTTACCCTTAAAAGCCTTAGGACCGAGGACCCCGTGTACTCTCCCTCCTGGGAGCACTCCGGGTACCTTTCCCTTTCCCTTTCCCTCCCCCCTCCCCCCAGGCAGTTACTATTAGCTTCCTCACTCCCAAATTCTTTGCCTCTATAGTATGTTTCCTAAGCCCATTTCTTCTAGGAATTACTTCTTCTACCTCTGTGATTTACCAAATAAATGTTCTCTTATAGCTTGGAAAAAAGGAATATTATTTTTAAAGCTTAAAAACACAGAACACCTGGAGAAAATTATGCTAAGTGAAATAAGCCAGGCAGAGAGAGACAAATATCACATGATCTCGCTTATATGTGGAATCTAAAGAACTTAATAAACTGATGAACAGAATAGATTCAATGACATGGAAGCATAGATGAGACTGATGAATGTCAGAGGGATGGAGGAGGGAGGGTGGGTGGAGGGGGAGAGAGTAACCAAAGAATTTATGTGCATATATGCACAACCCAAGGACACGGACAATGGTGGGGAGAGGGACTGGGGAGGGGGATGGGACAGGGTGGAACAGGTCATTGGGGAGAAAAAGGGACATCTATAATATTTTAAACAAAAATAAAATTTAAAAAAATAAAACAGAGAACAATATAGAGATAATAATTACTCATAATTCCATCATTCCTAAGTGACAATTATTTCCTTCCATGATTTTCCCCAAAGGTATGGCTTATAGTCTATTTTTATTACTATTTTACTACTTTTGCATTTTGTGTCTTAGGTATTATAACTTCTAGCCAGTTTCTGCTCTTCCCCCTTCGCTGGTTTTGTAGGGAACACGGGACTCAAATGCCAGACCCTGGACCCGACTCTCTTGGCAACCAGCTCTGTGACCTTCACCTGTCTAGGCCTGATTCTAAAAAATAAGACCTCTGGACTTGTTGTTCTCTCAGGCCCTGCCAGCTCTAATATTTGATGTCTGGTACCAATGTGCACAGGTGTTGGTTCATGCATGGCACCAAGGAGTGGGCAGTTTGGGTTGACAGCTGCTAAGAGAGCTTGGTGGCTCTCTTCAGCTCAGAATCCTCTCCATCCCAACATGATTTCATCTCTGCTCCCCAGAACAAGAAGAGAGAAGCCGGGAGGCTATTGAACAGTGGCGCGAGTGGCATTATGACGGCCTGTACCCATCATATCTCTATAACCGCCACCACATCTGACCTCATCCTGACAAACCCAGAAGACAGAGCTTGAAATGCACTTACCCCAGGTGTTCAAACGACTCCCATACAAACAGGCCCCTTCAAAGGGTCTCAATTTGGGGCCTGCTGTGGTAAACACATAAGGCCTTTGGTTCTGATGAAAATGCCTGGCTTTTGCTTCTTTGCAGATAAATTCTGAGCTGAGCAAATGCCTGTGGGGCTGCCTAGCACCAAACCTACGGTTTCCCCTTGCTCAGTCATTGTTCCCAAAGTACGAGTCCCATTCCATAGAGCAGTGAAAAGAATCACAGTAAAGAGAAGATTCCATGTTTGCTTATAGCTTACAAATAAAAATGCTGAGTCAACAATGAATTATCTTCTTTTTAATCCCCACCCAAGGACATGCTTAGAGAGAGGGAGAGAGAGAAACATCAATCCGTTACCTTCTGTACGTGCCCCTACTAGGGATCGAACCTGCAACCCAGGCATGTGCCCTGACCAGGAATTGAACTCTCAACCCTTCGGTGCACAGGATGATGCTCAACCAACTGAGCCACTCTGGCCGGGCATGAATTATCTTCTTCTCAAATCCTGAACTTAGGTTTGTCAACCTACCATCCCTAAATGAGTGTTACACTGACTTGGGTGTCTCAGGGGTCACATGAGAGAACAATGCTAAAACAATTATTTTGATAAAATCATTCTCTGAGATGGTTCATGAGCCTAGGCGCTTCTCTGAAAATGGTGTTCAGGTTCAACTGTGGTTTGCTTTTCCCCATTTGTTTGTTTTTATAAAATATGGTTATTGATTTTTAGAGGAAGGGAGAGGGATAGAGAGTTAGAAACATCAATGAGAGAGAAACATCACTAATGGGCTGCCTCCTACTGGGGATCGAGCCCACAACCCGGGCGTGTGCCCTGACCGGGAATCAAACCCATGACCTCTGGGTTCCTGGGTCAATGCTCAACCACTGAGCCACACCGACAGGGCTCAATTGTGCTTTTCTAACTGCACCAATCAGAAGCCTGGGTTACAGCCAGGCCAGTTGTAATCCAAACTAGAAAACAGATAAAATTGAGTTTTGGTATCCTCTGATTTTCCTTCAGTTTGTTAGGGCTGCCATAACAAAGTACACAAACTGGGTAGCTTAAAACAATAAAAATGTATTCTCTCACAGTTCTAGAGGCTAGAAATCTGGAATCATGGTGTTGGCAGAGCCAAACTCCCTCCAAAGGCCCTAGGAGAGGGTCCCTCCTCCCCTCTTCCAGCTTCTGTAGCCCAGGCTGCCTTGGCTTGGGGCAGCATCACTCCATTGTCACATGGCCTTCTCTCCTCATGTTGTCACGTTATCTTCTGTCTGTCTCTGTTCCTTCTACTCTTCTTATACAGACATCAGTCATTAACCTTATCTTAAACTGATTACATCCGCAAGGACCCTGTTTCCAAATTAGGCCACATGCACAGGTACTGCAGGTTAGGGCTTCAGCATGTCTTTTGGGGGGGACACGATTCAATGCTAGCAGTGCCCCTTTCTCCTCTCCCAACCACTCTGCCTTCCTGCCCCAGACTCAGCATCTCTCCTACTTCCAGCCTTGCTCTCAACTGCCTTCAGGAATTCCACGCTAAGAACACAGAACAACTTCCACAGGCGCCTGTGCAGGCCACAGCGCCCTGGAGGGTGAAGATGAAAAATAAGCGATCACTCTTGGCTATCTCCCTGTCCCAACCCCTGGGCCCTCTGCTTCCTCCATGACTTGGGCCCCTGGCCTGCTAGTCCAGCCTGCTTCTGAGGTTGGGCTTCCAGGGCACTATACGGCAACTTTCCTTTGGGGAAAAGCTGCTCAAGTGTGGTAAAATACTCCATCAGAGGTGGGGCTATTTACTAGATCAGGATACTTTGCAATAAATGCATGTATTTTAAAGTAGTTTTTAAAGACTGATAAAACCTCTAAAAACATTCTAGTGATGAAGCAATTATGCATTTTCCAAATCATATCATGTATATGGTCAGCACTGTATTTTCTCACAGAAACTCCAAGCAGGTGGTGAACTGGCCTCAGGGAGGCAGGAAGGGCATTGGGTTAACCCCATGACTGACTGCTACAAGGGCAGGTAGAACAGAGGGGCCACTGTCCTCCCAGCAGTCCAGGATTCATAATCTGAAGACTCAGGCTTGGGGCACAAGTAAAGCCCCATCACAAGTCAAAGCAGTGCCCAATTTTCCAGTGACATGACGTGCTTTGTTAAATGTGCCCTAAGGTACAAGATTGGGAGCCGAGGCCCTGGAATATTTTGATTATGCTCTTTTGGGGAGCATTGAGGAATTTGCTGTGAAGTTATGTTACCAATATATATCTTAGGTGTCTGTGGGTGTCTAAACTGGATCAAATAAGAATGCTTCCAAAAGAAACCAGGAGAGCAATGGTTTCCTCAGGCTTGGAAAAAGGTGTACAAAATACTCAACTGAAAACTGCATTTCACCATTTCAAATGCTCTTTATGCTTTTATTCATCCTTACCCAATATTTTGTTTGTTTTTTTGTTACAGTAAGTGCTCAGAGTAGTAAATGTAAGCCATATAGAAGCCAACTACACAAAAGGGGTCTTTCTCTGTGCTTCTTAGTTCTGCCCTGAACGGAGCCATGTGAGGGAGGAGGTGTGTCCCCTTCCACTTTTTGTTTATATGCACACGTGTATTTTCATTTTTCATAATGGCAATGCAACATGTAACTATGGAAGTCCGGATAGCCCCACTCCCAGCAGCACGGGAAGGAGCTTCTTAGCTAACAGAACTGGCTGATACCAGCTGAGCTCTGAAAGCTCCCTTTCTAAGGTCTAAATGAGTATTTACCTCAACCAAATAGCTCTATTATACTGTCACCATGTTCCTCGATTCTTTTAAGCATGAGAGCATTATGGGATGGGGTCCTTTTACTGGAACTCTTCTACGCTGGCTCTGGTGCGGCTGTGCCAGCTATGTGCACTTCTCTGGGGGGCAACAGGTGCTCAGGGCACTGTCTGTGCTCCTCAACAAGCCCTATTTTATATTTACATTACATGGCACTAGTGGGGTGTGTGTATGCCGTTGCTCCCTTTGCATATTAGTGAATATGCTAGAGTTTACTTATCCACTCCTAAGACCTCTGGAAATAAAATGTGGGGTCATAACATACACATATTAAAACTGGATCAATCAGATTTCTCTTTGAAGAGGTTAAGTGCTTACCATCACTGAACATCTTTGCCAATCCTTTCTTAAACCAAGCAAATGGAGTTGGGGAGAGGGAACCCTGGCAACATAGTTTTTGTGGTGTCCCCCCAGACAGCAAACCTCAGCTGCAGCTCAATTCTCCAATCAGTTCTCACCAGGTGATTGGTGCACACCCCACCTACACAATTCATCTATTTCCATAGGCCACCCACCTGCTTCCAGGCCTGTTTTCCACAGAAAGTCTCTTCAGAAATCTGCTCTTCTCTTCACAGCCTTGAGTGAAAGTAGCAGGAGCTGTAAATTAGAATGCAATAGCAGTGGAAGAAACTGGCACAAAATAAAAACTTCAGAGGCCTTGACATTTCATTACTATTTTTACATTACCTGATGAGCCTGAAATTATTTGGGAGGAATGAGTATTTCAAAGTGTTGAAGCATAAAATCAGAACAGAAAGGCATGCAGTTCTGCTGTTTGCCTTCCATCTCCCCAGGCTCTGATGCAGATAGGAGAAATCAGTGGGCTTGAGTAGAACAAAGGTCAGGGATGTCTCTCCCAGAATTACTGTGCGGATCCCATCTGCCTCCTATCACACCCCCTAAAGTGGCAGAACAGGGAGCCTTAGCAAACTGGCCAGGTATAGCCCCTGGCTCAAGACCTGTGCTCTTAGGGGTGGGGCTCCTCATTGTATCTAACCCCGCACGTAGATCAGAAATTCTTGCTAACAGGTATCTAGGAACAACACATGCCTGACCATAGCTTGGCTACCAAGTAGAGCGAGATGAGATGGGGAGCCAACACAGGGCAGCAGCGCAAGTTGAGCCGACTGCCAGCTCAGATCCGAGTCAGGACTCTGGGCTGTTGGGCCAGTGATACAGGTGAAACTGCCCTTTACCCAGGTGAAACTGCCCTCTTGGTCGGCCAGAGGCCGGATGCCAAGCCAGGCCCTAAGGGCCAGATCCAGTCCCTGACCCTTTAGGCTGGTAACCCCAACTTACGTGGGTTGTCTGTTTCCACACACCCAGTTGGGCAATAGAGACAAGACAAAGCATTGCTCTTGCCCCTCAGTCAGGAAACAGGAGCTACATTTGGTCTGTTACAGGTAACGATATCACATACAAATGCCTTCTGGCAAGGTGACCAGCAACCAGGTGGATGGTGGTAAAGCATCCTGACTCAGTCCATTTCCCACAGCCAGCATTTCAAAAGGCCTCCCCGTCCACAGGGAGAAACATGAGGGCCATACAGACGTCAAAAACCAAGAATGGTCTGGGTGTGTGGCCCATTTAAAAGAACAAAACAGCCTGTCTTTGCCTCTTTAATGTCCACGCTTGGAGTGTTGGCTCTAGATAAACAACTCTGGCACAAACGGGTCCCCTTATTTCTGGCAGAAATAAGAATTCTGTTACCTCATTCTACCCCTGTCTTTAACAAGGACCCCATTATACTTCAGGGTTTTCAAATTCCACCCAGAATTCCTTCATTAAAGCCAATCAGTCATTTCCTGGGCAGGAGGAAGCACGCCAAAGGTAATAGGACCAGGAATCTGGGCAGCCACATTCAATAGGAAATTAATAATGGAACGATCTGTATTTTTAGACTGGCCTTGTCAAAAGTGTGGTCTTTGGGACATTCTTTTAACTAACTCTTCTCTGTTCTTTCATTACTTCAGGGGTTTCAGGTTAAGTGGCTGAAAACAAAGTTGTCAAAGGATGGACCGGAGAAAACTCATTTTCTATCCACCTTTTTTTGGAATGTGTATACTCCAGGGGATACATTGCAACTGATTATCATGTGCCTTTATTTAGATTCTTTGAGGCGGTGGTAATTTCCATGACTCTGGATGATTTAAAAAATTTTTAAAAACTTGTTATATATTTTCTATCAGTTTCATTCAGTCGGGTTATTTAACTTCTAATTCATTTTCAACCAACAATGTTCTAATTCTTTGGCAAGTTTTTCAAAATGTGAAAATTAAGGGATTTGTTCAAAAGTAAATTGGTTAAATATGGAGGATACAGTTCACAATTGGTAACTCTGATATACTCTGTGATCTTATAATGTACCAACACTTTTTAAAACGTTTGTCCACTTTCCACATTTTGATTTTTTAAATTAAAAATATTTTGAGTGTATACAAAGTTTAAAAAAATTTAAAGTACAAAAAGGAAGTGTCCCTCCCATCTCCCAAAGGAAACCGTCATTCCCGAATCTTGGGTATACTTAAAATGATCTGTGCACATTTTAAATATCTAGCTATACTTTTTCCATTTTTATTTTTTAAACTTCAAAATTCATTTTTGACCAATGATGCCTACTTTACCTATTAAACAATTTTTCTACCATTAAAAAAAAATCTCTATAGCCAATTTATAGTTTTCATAAAGCTTTCTCTGATAAGAAGCCTCCTACAGGAATGGCAATGTTTGAGGGGACATACTGACGAAAACACTAATTTAATATGTAAAACAAAGTTGAAAAATATTTAGACAATTTCTAATTTACACACTCCAATGAGTCTCAAGTAACACACTGAATCATTTAGTGTGTAGGCCCCCAGATTAAAAACTTCCCCCAATAAAAACGGCCACCTTATTATGAGGCAGTGAGGTCAGGGAGCATGAGCTTGTGATTTTATTAGCTCAAGTCTGGTTGTTTATCAAGCACCCAGTGTAGAACTGTGGTACTGAGGGTCAAGATCGCTTATATTTTGTAAGAGGATTTCGATGATAAACCACCCAAATATACCATTAGATTGGTATTCTGACATCACTGTTGAAAGAGAATAGTACACCCCTTTAATAAATCACAGAAGACAACCTGTACCTCTAACCCTACGTACATGAACGACACATGATTGGACAGTACTGTTTTGATATGATTGATAATTACATAAAGTCAGTACCACACTCTGAAAATGTACTCGACTCGAATTGGTTGTCCCCTGTCAAGGTCAAGCCCACTAATGCTCAATTGATAACATCACTCCAGGGAATGTATGGGGTGACACACAAAACCCACACTATTATTTAAAGATCTTCTTGTTCAACCTTACTCAAAATACTTCCTTGATATTGACAGTAAAGGGAAATGCTTTCCTCTTCAGGTTTGGAACAAGAATAACAGTCCTATAGGTAGAAACAATAGGCAACATTCTAAGGAGTCTCTCAAATAGCTGCTAAACTAGTATGAAGATTTAGCACGAACCCAGGATTCAAGGTTACCAGACAAAAAAAATGCATTGTATTTCTATAGACTAGCAATAGTTAGAAATTAAGATGGAAAAATAACATTTATAATATCAAACCTATGAAATATTTAAAATAAACGACAATATATGTATACAACTTGTACAATGAAATTACTAAACATTATGGAGAAAAATGAAACAAGACCTTAATAAATGGGGATGTAATATACGCATAGTCTTAGTTAATATATTAATTTCCTACCCAAATTGAGCCATAGATTAAACATAATATTTAAAAAAAATTTTTTAAGTATATCTTTATTGATTTTAGAGAGAGGAAAGGAGAGGCACAGAGATAGAAACATCAATGATGAGAGAGTCATCGATTGGCTGCCTCCTGCACACCCCCAACTGGGGATCGAGCCCACAACCTGGAAATGTGCTCTGACTGGGAATTGAACCCTGACCATCTGGATCTTAGGTCGACGCTCAACTGCTGAGCCACGCCCGGCCGGGCAAACATAATCTTAATAAAAATTCCAGCAGGGTTTTGGGAACAGAAATCAACAAGGGGATTCTAAAATTTACATTGAAATGCATAGGACCTAGAATTGCCAAAACAAAATTTCAAAAGAACAAAGTTGGAGAACTAACGCTACCCGAATCCAAGACTTATTATATAGCTACAGTCAGTAATGTGACAGTGTGGTACTGGCACAAGGACTGACATATACATAAATTTAACAGTACTGAGTCTAGATATAGACCCCAAAATGTATGATCAACTGATTTATGATAAACCAAAATCCAATGGGGGAAATTATCTCATCACTGAGTGGTGCTGTAATGACCAAACATCTGTTTAGAAAACAATGAACCTCAACCTTTGTACCTCACAACTTATACAAAAGTTAACTTGAAGTGAATCACACACAGACCAAAAAGTGAAAGCTAAAACTATATAAAAAATTCTATAAGGAAATCTTTGTGATCTTCAGGCAGATAAAGATTTCTTAGAATATAAAATGCATGAACCAAAAGAGAAGAAACTGATAAAATGGACAACAAAATGAAAACTGCTCTTTGAAAGGTACTGTTAAAAGAAAAAAGGCAAGCCACAAACTGGGAGTAACTATTCACCATACACATACCTGCAAAACACTTGTGTTCCAGATATAGAAATAATTACTTTTCCCAATAATAGATATTTCATCAAACTGTATATATGAATAGCCAAAAACACATGAAAAGATACTCAGTACCAATAGTCATGAGAAAAATGAAAATTAAAGTACAATTTTGTATTACCACACACCTATTAGAATGGTTGAAATGAAACTGACAATAACCCTGGCCAGGCATGGCTCAGCGGTTGAGCACCAACCTAGGATCCAGGAGATTGAGGTTCCATTCCTGGTCAGGGCACAAGCACGGGTTGTGGGCTCGATCCCCAGTGGGGGGCGTGCAGGAGGCAGCCAATAAATGACGACTCATCATTGATGTTTCTCTCTCTCTCCCTCTCCTTTCCTCTCTCTGAAATCTATTATAAAGATAAATTTTTATTAAAAAAAAAAGACAATATCCAATATTGGTGAGGATGTGGAGACATGGAACTCTCACACATTACCAGTGGGTGTGTAAAATGGGACACCACTTTGGAAAATAGTTTAGCAGTTTCTTACAAATCTAAACATACACTTACCATCTGACTCAGAAATTCCACTCCTATTTACATGAGAAACAAAAACACATACCCACAGACTTATACCTGAATATTGGTGCAGCTTTACTCATACCAGCCCCATAGTGGAAACAATCCAGCCCGAATACATTCACTGTGGGGAGTATCCACAGTGAAATATTAAAAAAAAAAAAAAAAGAGAATGAACTGCTGACACATTCAACAATGCGGATGTACTTCAAAAATATGCTAAGTGAAAAAAGACAGATACAAGAGTGTATGTTGTATGATTCCACTTATATGAAACTCTAGAAAAGACAGATTAAATTATAGTGACAGAAAATAGCCCAGTGATGGCCAGGGGCGTGGTGTGGACTGACTAGGAAGTGGTACAAGGCAACCTTTTGGGGTGATGGAAATATCCTCTATCTTGCTTATGGCAGTGGTTACACACTTACCAAAATTTATTGAACTGTACACCCTTGCTCAGCTGATACCTTAAGTACCCTTTTGTGACATTTCTCACATTTTTATGCTTTTTGTTGGTGATTGTGCCGTTTCAAATGGCCCCTAAGCGTAGTGCAGACAAAAGCTGTCTAGCAATTCCAAACACAGGAAAGCAGTGATGTGCCATCCAGAGAAAATACTTTCGTTAAGACAATCTTTGTTCAGTCCTGACTTCCAGTGCTGTGGCCATGAGTTCCATGTTAATAAATCAACAATATTCATAAGGTATATTTAAAAAACAGAAACATATATAAACAAGGTTATGTATTGATCCATCGACAAAAATGAAATTAGATGCTCACAGGAACCTACCCCTGCATTTCCCTTGGAAGCAGTGACTACCTGCTGATTTATTTAGTGACATTATAAAACATAATTATTGTGAATAACAAAAATAAACTATATAACTTCAAGTTCCTTCTATCCTTTCTTGGGTGAAATGGCTTTGAGTTTTCAACATCTTGATTACCACTGTCTGGCTTTTCTCCAAAACTTAAGTCCATGTTGCAGATACAGTCTGGCTTATGTACCACACAGCAGGTCTCTTGCCCATTTTGATCTAGATAGTTCAGCAATGTGGCTAGACTCCTGGCTCCTTTTAATTTTTACAAATTCCCAGCTTTTTCAAACTGCTCTCAATTTGATCCAACTGAATCCATCTTTTGTGTATTATTTTCTTTAGGTATATTTTCTATCCTCAATATTGGCAAATACAGAATTTCATTTTTTTGAGCCATCCATCCTTCTTGAGAGCTGTATTGTTTCCAAATCTCCACTCATGAGATCAGAGATGTCTGTATTACTTGCAGAAGCTCTGATGGGCTGTTATCTGTGACATACTTAGGCAGACTTACTCTCCGCATTTTAAAAAATTGTTATCAGACATTTAATCTGTTATAAACATTAAGCTTTACTTCTATCATCATCTACTTCTACACAAAAGCCCAACTTATGCGCTCTGTCAACTTTGCTGTACACATCAGTAAACTTGTAATGATTTTAAAAGTTGAAGCTGTTAATCTTTAAAGTTCTCTTTGGGGCAGATTCCACACTAATCACTCAGAAGTTTCTTGTTTACTATTCTAGATCATTGTTAGCTAAATTACTTCAGTTTTCCTTTTGTGGTTCGGAAGAGAAAATAAATATATTTCATTTATTTCAACAAAACTCAACAGAGAGATGATTTTCTTTAAAAGCCACTTATTTCCTCCGAACAGAAAAAGGCAAAACAGAAAAATCTATTGTGAAGATCAGAACACTCTCCATGTAGCACGCAGCCAGTTTTTGTTCTGTGTACTAACCCTGTTCTGATGGCCTGTGATTATACAATAAGCCCTACATCGCCAATGACAAGGTAACAAAAATTAAACACACATTTGGTTTTATATGAAAGCATTTAATACACATTGATAAAGAGGGTAAGATTAAAAGACTGATCTCACTGATGAATCCTATTTTCAGTGCAAACAAGTAAGTTCCCCCTCCTGCCTACCCACCCCTTCTGATACCTGAATATTTTGGGAAAGCACGTGTGCATGCACACACACATACACCACCCCAAATGAAAACTCCCCAAGATCTAGAGTAACTGAGTAGTCATTCACTTCCATTTTTAAATCATTTTAAAACTGAAAATTAAAGTTTTAAAAAAGGAAGGCATTCAGATTCAGCTCACCATCAACCTTTACAAGAATATTATGCTACTTGCATACAATAGTCAAGTGAATATGGACTCAGATGCCCGTGGTTCAAACAAGAACATATTCTCACATAGGAAGAGAAATACTCAATGAGCAATTGAAGTTCAAATTCTAGGCAACTGTTCATTTGTGACCTACTTCAAATACGTAGCTCTGTTTTAAGTTTATGGGACAAATAACCTACTCTAAGTGAGCCTTAAAAATACCAGTTTCAAGTGGTTTTGGTTCTTATCAAGAATGAAATACTTTATTTTTTGTTAGTTTAAAAAAATTGAAAAGCCAATACCTCCTGGAAAGTAAAATGTTCCTAAAAATAAAGGTATCAAGATATGACCTTAGATGGAAACACAAGGGCAGATACAGCACCTTTTAACCATATAGAGCAGAGTTTGATATAATCTGAGGCACGTGAATTTTATTTCTGACTCTTATACACCCAAATCAGTCATCTCCCGTAACTGTTATGTTCGTACCATAACACCATCTTGGGGAAACCTAATCTACTTCTAGTTAGAGTTCAAATCCCAATATAATAATCTTACCAATTTACCTGATCTTTAGACATTAGCATTCGTTTGGGTCAAATAGTATCTGGACAGTCAAGTTGCACAGGCAGAGAAAATGGTATTTTGTGGTAGTAATTTGCCAGGGCTTGAGCTCTAATTCTTAATGTGTGTAATAAAGTATATGTGCCAATCCCAAACTCCATTATTTATGGGATGTTTCTGTTTTTTTCAGTCATGTTTTCTAGCTTCTCGTTACATTCATTTTGGTTAGAAGTTTCAGCTTCTTTAAACCATATTTTAAAATGATGAGATTTTTAGGTATTTGCATTCAAAGCTCCACAATATTGTATGGGCAGAGAGCCATACAGATATGATTTGAAATGCAGTGGTTTGGTGACCTAATTTAAAAAAATAATAAATCAACTGTCTCTCCCTTTCCCATTCCCCTCACACTTTGCCCAAAGAGATGATGTGAGCACACAGCAAGATGGCAGTCATCTGCAAGCCAGAAGGATTTCTCATTAGAACCAGACCATGCTGGTGCCCTGATCATGGACTTCTAGACTCTGGACTGTGAGAAAATAAATTTTTGTTGTTTAAAACAAAAAAACCCACAAAAAAACAACAAAAAAATCAAAACAGAGAAAGAAGAAACCTGGCTTATAGTATCAGTGTATCAAAACTATATCACTGTATCAAGGGCAATGATCATAATTATCTAGATAAAAAAAGTTATATATTTGTAAAATTTGAGTGCTAAAAGATACATTTCAAGATCAGTCAGTCCAACTTTCCTCATTTTACAGATAAGGAAACTGAAGTCCAGAAGTTAAGCGACTTGCTCAGGGTGAGCTAAATTAATTCTTTTGCCTCGGACATTGCATACCCTATAACCCAAGAGATACAGAAACACAAATCTCAATTTACCTTCCAGTTTTTGAGCAAAAAATTGTGTGAATGTAGCCATCAGTACTAAGAACACAGAAGATAATGGCATCTTCATTTTCCACTTAAAGGTCAATGTTAAATTTGGTGTCCAATCAACACAATGGAGGGAAGTACGTAGGCAAAGCTTGTAGGCTTAACAAGTACTTGTTTTGACTGTGTCAATCAGGAACACCACACAGAACTGATCCTTGCTTTCCCAGAACCACAAGAAGCAATGTAGGTTGTGGGTATCTGCCTGAAGTCTGGGCTATTTAAGGCTGTTCAGGAATTTGGCATGCTCTTCTCCTCTTGGTAACAGGGTTTCTCCTCCTATCTTTGGGCCTGTCTTTTCCTAGAAAAATGAAAATAGTTTCATAAGAAATGGGTCAACATTATTTGCATGGATCACTAAAATCAATCACCATGTAAATGCCATACCTTTAGCATTCTGTCCCGTTCCCATTTGAAGAGGCCACAGTTACTGAAATAGAAGAGATGAGATTTACTCAGTAGTGAGATACGGGCCTACACACATAGAGACACCAGAAGAGTGTCCCCCACTCAAGCAGGAGCTGATCAAGGTGACATTCCTATTACAGGCTATGCTCCAATGCTACTGAAAATACACACTCCAGTGATATGAGAAATGATCTTCAATTCTGTAGTAAGCTAGATACATCAGATATGGAATGTCTAATGATAGTATGACATGGTAGGTAATGATTGTAACCTTCGTTCCTACTGACAGTCACTGGGAGGACGCTTGGATTTAGGAAGCTAGCCTAAGGCTTACCTGACCCCTTTTCTTTTTCTGGAACTAACGGTTGGGGAAAAAGGATTAATCTTCCTTCCAGTATGAATAATCTTTCCTACCTTTTCCTAACCCAAACAAGTTACCCTCTTATTATCCCAATGGCCTCAAGATGCTTTTCTCCTTTTTTAACTGGGTGGGTGAGTTCCAACCCTGAGAAGGGATGTGGCTGCTAGGGAAAGCTTATCTTCTATAGAGTTTACTCTGGGGAAGAAAAGGAAAAGAAACACAGGGAAGATGTGGGAATATGCCTTGCCCTTGGATAAGAGGGTCTAGGGCACCGGGGACTGCCCTATCCGCCTTCCCTATCTAGTTTTGTAGTGGAAGTCCTGACCTTTGTCTTTTCTTTTCTTTTGGTAACACACGTGCCTGACTTAAGCTTTGATTACTGAGGCATCCATCTCAAAGAGGCATCCACTTCAAAGACGGCTAACTCAATAAGCACACTGCCAGCCACAGAACTAGATAAAGAGCCAGGCCCAGGCTGCCTGCCTCCTCATTGAGGTTCCTTTGTTTCAGAGATCTCTTAATTTCAACAACCGACCATATGGCTACTTGTTTTCTCTTCCTGTGCTTTAAATTCCCTCTCTTATGTTTTCAATTCACCACAATAGAGTGAGCCTTAGAAACCCCCACCCCTACCCTCAACCCCAATAAAAGCAGAACCCCAGGCCAGTGTGCTCAGTCTCCAGGCTCTCCACAGGGACCTCGCTGTGTGGCCCCAGGTGTGCTGTGTGATCTCCAGGTGTTATAAGTAATCAACCAGTATCTTTTCAGAGTTCCTGGATGGTTACTGCTGAAGGGTGTCTTGCAATCATAGTAAGAACTACTAGGGCTAGGCCAGAAAGAAGGACAGAAACAAGGAACCTGACTTATAACATTGGTTACTGATAGGCTGAGGCCAACAAAAAACAAAGCTGGGCTCTTCCTGCCCTGAGAGTCAGCATGCCAGTGGCCTTAGCCTAGAGTCTCTCTATCACCTTCCCCATCTAGAGACCTGTTCAATATCTATTGAGAGAACTTTTGCTACTAGATTAACGATATTACAAAAAATAAAATCACTGTTCTAGTCAAAAAATGCAATCCATGGGCCAAATCCAGCCTGCATCTGTTTTCGTAAAGTCTGATTTGAACACAGCCATATCCATTTGTTTGTGTATTGCCTATGGCTGCTCTTGAGCCACAACAGCAAAGCTGAGTAGTTGTGAAACAGACCTTGTGGCCTCTTTGTAAAGCTTAATATATTTACTCTCTTGGCCTTTTACAGAAATGGTTTGCCCACTTCTGTTCTAGATCAAGAACTGACAAGAGAAAGACCAGAGAAAGCAGCTGGTCTTACAAAAATAACAGTGTCACCTGGAGGCCAAAAAAGCATCTTGCTCTTCTATTTGTGAGCTGTACCTAACCGCTTATCCTTAATGAACAGAATTTCTATGATACTCAACTGTTTTACAGAAGTTATTGTCACAGTATTTTGGAGTGATGTCAAGTGTCAAAATATACATAGCTATTTAAAACAATTATCTAGGCTGTGAACAATTCACAAATCAGCTCCTGACAGGGTGATGAACTAGTATGAGGTTCAGGTCCCCTTCCCCCCAAATCAGCCCCAGGATAACTTGAAGGGAGAGTGAAGTATGGGTTCTAGAAAGCAAACAACAACCAAAACCAAACAAGCAAACAAAAAGGTAGTGAGAATATCCTGGTGAGACATTCTTGGGAAGACTAAAGGTGATCCTGAAATTGCCTCAAACTCCAAAATATCAATATCATACAAATTACATCTTTTAAGAATAATGTAGTAAAGTTAAAAATTAATGACAAAAAAGACAGCTAAAATCAATCCTATATATTTGGAAGTTAGACATTACTAACCTTTTGAGTCAAAAAGGCAATCATCAGGGACATTAAGAAATACATTAACTACACGTTAGACGACAGAGCAGGACTAGAGGGAAATAGACTGGCAGCGCAGGTCTGTTCAAACTGGCATCACCACAAACATGGGAGGAATGTTTTGCTTGAGGACATGATGGCTGTGACATTACAACAGATACCACATCATGAAAGCTGCGTCATCACTAGACGACAGTAGCTTTTCAGCTCCACGATAATCTTATGGGACCACCATCCTATATGCAGTCTGTCGTGGACTGATATGTCGCCATGCAGCACGTGACTGTACATAATGAGAGCACTGAATTGGACCATTGATGGTGTATTATAAGCTGCGTGATCAGCCCCCCTGAACATTTGCATCGTGTTCTATGTGAATAATGCCTAACACAGTAGCTCCACCTCTATATCTGAAGTACCCCCAAAAGTAAACAGAAAAGTCCTTAGGAGTAAAGGAAAATAATCCCATCTCCTAACTCTCAGCAAATACACATATTCCCCAATACACCTTATCCATACTTCATTTATTTATTCAACAAACATTTGTAAGGATCTATTATAGGCCAGGCAATGCGTACTGGGGATAAACCAGTGAAGAGGGCAGGGTCCCTTTTCTCCATCAGCTGTAAGAGGGCACGGAAATAAGGCCTGACTCTCACAAAGGATTGTCCAGTGTTTCAATGGAACAGCATCACGTGGGAAATGAAAAAAGGGTTCAAGAAACCTAGATGGGACAAGGAACGCCAGGCAGTTCTCATACCTGCAGTGCTTTTTAGGGAGCCTGTCAAGGGAGATGCATCTGTTTCCACAGGGACACTTGAAAAACCTTTTTATGCCGTCATGCCAATGGTAGTCATGTTGCTCACTGACGCAGGTCTCTAAAGGCTTGAAGTGGGTGTAGGCACACTGCACAAAACCAACAGAAGGGCACACATCGGTGAAGAGCTTTGAAGGAGAAACCTGTTAGCTACAACGATAGCAATCTGTCCTCGCATCATGACCCAGGTGCTTGTTAGTGAAGTGATCACTGTATCTTCCAGCTGCAGCGATCCCTGTGATTTCTTGGGTCTCTCATACCCATACTGCTTTTTCTCATGTTTGCCCCTATTTCTGGTCAGGCACGAAGCACACAATAATCTGTGACATCAAGACAAAAGAAAGGGCAGGGGAAGAAAAATATTGGAAACCTCTCAAAAGCCTGGGCAGGGTTATCCTACAGTTACTGCAGTCCCCTGGTTACAGGACACTGAGGCACAGGGCTCACTGAGGAAGTGGATCAGCAGCTCGTTCACTTTCTCTTACAAGGCCTCTGAAAAGGATACAAGCTTATTACTACTCCTGTTTTAAGTAGCAAAACCAAGACAGAGATATTAAGTAATTCACTTAATTTTGATTCTCAAAAGGACTGAAGAGAATAAGAAATGGTGGGTGAAACTCGAAAACGGTGCTGAGATAGTGCCATCTGCTAATTACACTGAGTCTAGATAAACAATTCCCAACTCTGGCAACCTCAAAAAGTGCAGAGCAGCCCTGGCCGGTGAGGCTCAGTTAGTTGGAGCGCTGTGCTATGCACCAGAAGGTTGAAGAATTGATTCCCAGTCAGGGCACATATCCACATACCTAGGTTACAGGTTCCATCCCCAGTTGGGGCATGTATAGGAGGCAACCAATTGCTGTTTCTCTCCCATCAATGTTTCTCTCTCTTCCTCTCCCTCCCTTCCTCCAAGATTTAAAAAAAAAAAAAAAGGCAGCAGAGCGGAGTGATATACCAGCTGTGGTAGAAATAATAATGTCCCCCCTCCCCCAAAGATGTATACACCCTACTCCCTGGAGCCTATGAGTATGTTCGGTGGTTAATTAGTAGATTTTAAGACAGGGAGATTTCCTAGATATGTGGGTGGGCCCAAAGGAATCATAAGATGTCCTTAAAAGTAGAAGTGGGACAAAGGAGAGGAAGTCAGAGTGATGCTGTGAGAGGGCTCAACCTCCATTGCTGGCTCTGAAGAGGGAGGAAGGGGTCACTAACCAAAAAATATGGGCAAGATCTCCAAGCCAGGAAAGGCAAGGACTGTAGGTTTCTCCCCTACAGTCTCCAGAAAGGAACATGGCCCTTGAGGACACCTGGAGTTAAGCCGTTAGACCCCACAGAGTTCCGACCTACAGACTATAAAGTAATACATTTATGCTGTTTTAAGCTACCACATCAGTGGTCATTTGTTAGAGCAGCAATAGGAAACTAATACACCAACTACGTCCTTAGGTTTGCCACTTTGTCAGAGTAAAAGCTGTCATCTGAGGTAAAACCTTTATTTACTCTCCAAGGTCTCAACTTTCTTAAGAAAGTCCTTTTGGTCGTGGCTGGTTCAGGGCCGCTCCCTAAATGTAAAGGAGGATCTAAGACTTTAAAAGAACGAAGATAGAAAAAATTGTACTTAGTAAGCTAAGCCTCTTCTTCCTCTTACATTTAAATATAAGGCTGATTAGGCAGGCAGGGAGAAAATGAGTGGTAATGATAGAGTGCAGAGCAAGAGCTTCTTTTTGGTGCCACTTTTTAAAAAAAAAAAAAAATCAATTTTCTTTTTAGAGAGAGAGAGAGAAGAAAGGAACACTGATTTGTTGTTCCACCTATTCATGCATTCATTGGTTGATTCTTGTATATGCTCTGACTGGGCACATACAAGAATCTCATATGTGAACCTGCAACCTTGGTGTATGGGGACGATGCTCTAACCAACTAAGCCAGGATGGGGGTGAGGGGTGGTAGTGTCATTTTTCAATTAATGTTGAGGAATAGGGAGTTTATTATTTTCTAACAGGCTTAGAATAAAAATTCTGCAAACATAGACAATAGTACAACTCACACTCTGCCTTGGGATTCAATTTAGTAGGTTAAGCCCTGAGTAGAAAGAGACAACAGTAGTTGGTTATATCATGATATCCCAGATCAAGTCATTCAACCAAGGTCCCAGGAGCTGTGAACTGAGGGTGTGCTAGAAACTTGAGAAAGATGTAAGAATAACTTGGGTCCAATAAGCAAAAGGGAAGAGATGTTAGAGGCACATCTGGAAGCTGAGTTCAAATGAGAGGAAAACCTCATTACAAATGTTCTCCCCATCACAGCTAACTGTACAGTCAGCATAAAGCCAGATCCTGGGCTATCGTAAGCAGTTTCATTTCCAGCGTAAATAAATGACCTAAGCAGGACTTTGGTCACAAGATATGGCCCCTCATCCCATATATTCTCCATGTTCTGCTGAGTCACAACAGCACAAAATAGGGCTCACAGTCAGAACAGTCTTCCTGCACTTACAGTCTTGCATGTCACCACTCGACATTTCACTTCTTTGATATTTCTCATCTTTTCTTCTAGTTGTTCTTTTTTTACCAGTGGCTCAAAATAGAGTTCTTGCAGCTCAGCCTCAGCCTGGAATGACAAGACTTTCAGGAGACCTTGTACCAAATCCAACATATACTCAGACAACAGTTCAATAACAGGACTGAACAAACTTCCGGTAAATGAGGACACTTGATAATAGCTGGGTAAATAGAAACCAAAAGATGATCATAAGTAGACACAAGTTCTTGACATGCAAGAAAAAGGGTACAAGAGCATGTGACTTTTAAAACACTAAATATAAACTTAAAATACTATCATTATTAACAGTGTCACCATGTCAAGTATGTACCAGAAGGGAATTAGTCCTACTATCCCAATACAGACTCCAGCTATGGAAGGTATTCAATGCCTACCCAATGACAGCCCATTCTAGTATATACTCTTCTCCAGGCCAAGCGCTTGGCAGGAGCAATCCTGGCTGTTTGGAACAACAGGGAAGAGATATGAGGGCAGTGAGATATCTACAGCAGAAAGTGGTCACAAGTCTGGAGTTAGTGCAGCTATACAAGACACAAGGTCCCAGGGTCTTCGGTGGCCACAAAAGGAAAGCAGCTCGGCTCTACAGTCATTTGAGCATCTCTCCTCATTTCAAGTCCAGTAGAAGAAATATTACCTTCTCGTTAATCATCTACTAATCAAAAGAACAGCAGATCAGAGTACTGGCACTAAATGGGGGCGACAGTGCCCCCAAGAGGATATTTGAAAATCTGTGGGAGCACTTTTTTTTGTCATCTCAATGACTGCTACCCTTGCTACTGGCAGGGGCCAAGGCTGCTACACCATGCGCAACGCACAAAATAGTCCCCCATACAACAAAGGATTTTTCTGAATGTTCTTTGGGACATGTGGATAAAAAACCCGATTACAATCCTTGAAGCTACTGCTTTATATACAAGCCTATAATATTTGTGTAGGGCTTTAATATACAGTGAATATTCTAAGAGTGCATCTCGGCAACTCCTGTGTATATGGAGAGACTTTACTTTGTTGCCTTCAAAAGTTTCCCAAGATTATTGTTTAAAAAAAAAAATCACATTTTGAAAAAAACAGGTATTTAAGTTACCGAGAGAACACATCTCCATGACTCTTCCTTCCTATCTGTCTCAAATATTTACAACACTTATGAATTCAACACTCTGACTACTTCAGTATTTCTTATAGGGTGTTGTGTCCATGTATTTACATAGTAGATATTTTTACTATAAAGACTTCCCTTTTTCTTCTTTACATTAAAGATATTTAACATTTCAATATAATTCAACTAGTTAGGTGATTATATCATCATACATTTTATTTCAGGATAATAAGGGAACAATACAAAATACTTGTTCTTAAATAGGGGCATTGGGAGTGTTGGGTTGATAACTACTGATTTAGAGCACTTGAAATGCCAATATAAAAATATTTGAATGGAAAAATCCCTTCTCACACTACAAGGAAGAAAACAGTAGATAGTAGTGAGCGTTTTTTTTCCTAAGTTCATAGCCATAACTACAGGTAAAAATTTTTATAATACTTAAGTGTATTTAAATAATATTAAATGATATCCTTCAATGCAAGGGCAAAGGCAAAACTAAAATCTATTGGAAATATTCCTGTTCTTCACAGAGAACTCAAACAAACTGACATGTAGCCACATCCTAGTTGAGGTAAAAGAAACAAATTCTTAGCCCCACAACAAAGCACTGAGAGTCTGAAGGGCAGCTCTACCATCTTTAATTTTTTGAGCTCTTACTTCTTTTAGGATGCCTGTGTGCTTTGATTTTGCTTTTAGGATTTTCTGAAATTCTTCAGATTCCAAATAGGCAAGCTGTTCTCTCCTTTTTTTCCTGGCAGGCTCCAATTCATCCTCAGCTAGAGCAAAAAGAAAAAGCATCAGCTGGTACAGCCCAACTACTACCTACCGTTAGAAAACAGTGTGCCTTGTCGACTCAGTTTCCCCCATTCTCTTTGTCTCTGCACACCAGGCCCTTCAAACTTAATTCACCTCACTAGTTACCAGCAGAGGAAGAAGTGAAGTGAGAAATAGCAGATCTGACCACTGAATTAAAATCTCTTTTTCACCTTAAAACAGGTGCTGATTATAAGAGATAACAAATATTCTATTTACAAACTGATGTTAAAATGACATTGCCAATTTTAGAGTTTAAAAAAATAAAAATACAGCAATTCTAAACAAAGGAATTCTACTTCTTTCAAAGTAAACCTTTATACTAATATATAGGTAAAAAGGTCAAATGAATAATCCTTTTCTCAAATTTTTAAATTGTGCATAATTTCAATTTAATACGACTATAAAAAACAAACCGTTCCAGTTCTAGAAATTCAATATAGTTATTCTATCTAGAAGTGAACTGAAGTAAAATAATAACTTGGTATCAGGAACACTGGCTATGGCTTAACACTTTCTCCTCTTTCCTACTATGAACTCTGAAATCTACAGTACCTTGAGAAGAGAATGTGGTATTTTTTTCTACTCGTGCCTTCACTTCCAGGACATCCTGGGGATGGTTTTGCTTCTTTTTAATGCTGTTTGGGTCTGTTTTTGAAAGAATTTGACCTTTTGCCCTTAATTTGGTTATTGCAGCTAGCTAGAAAAAAGAGAAGAGAGGGAAATAAAAATCTAAAAAATGAGATAGGCATCTGTAGCTCCGTACCCCCTTCCAGTTATTAACCAATGAATTCTGGCAGCTCTCAAATATAAATTGGCAAAATATATCTTCATTTTATTTAGCATTATTACAATTATTAAAATTAAAAAGTATAGGAGACAGGTCTCTAGTTACTAAATAAAGTCTCAGCTTATTAATAGCATGTACACATCTAGCACAGGTACAGAGTAATAGAAGACATGCAACTGTTATTATTATTGTAGGTATGGCTTTGGCTTGTAGCTCGCCTTTGCCTTCCATGTGGTTATCGCTGCTACTAGAGCAAAGAGAAGAGAGCTGAAGCCAGTGACTGAGGAAAGGGAGTGGTGGAACGTGCTGAGCAGTGGGGTACTGGGCACCCCCAACTCCCACTTCAATCACAGTAACTCGGTTTTTATGTCTACAGACTGGGCTTTTGTGTAAGACTTCTTTTAAAGGATTCTTTAAACCACTATTTTACCATCTTGTCTCAACAATTCTAAGATTTTTTTCCCTAACGCCAGTGTCTCCAATTGTGAAACAGTATCTTCTTCTAGGCTATCTCCTTCAGCCTGACAAAAAAGTGTTAAGATAATGGCTAATTTTCTTGGACTAAATTAATGGCATTATGTTGACACCATTATCATTTAAAATTTCACTGACTCTGACTATCATGATCAATAAACAGCTATTTAGTATCTGTCGTTCCTGGTCATAGGTATATAAAGTGTGAAATTCAAGCTATGTCTACGGAAAACAAATTGAAACGTTGAAGAAAACAAATACCAGTTACCTTTTTGAATTCTGCTAAAGCACTCAGTTTTGGTTTTGGAGGCGGTGACTCATCAAAAAAGAGAACATCATCCCCTTCTGAGATGCCTCGCCCCAGCTTGGGCGCCTGTGTGGCTACGGTTGCTTCCAGCCTGGGGAACTCGGCCCCTGTTGGTGGAGACCGAGAAGGGGGCTGTCGAGAAGACGATGGCACAGCTGGGCTCGCGACCTCATTTGAGCTTTGCAAAAATCTTTAAAGAAATATGCAGTCACAAACTCTGCAAGCACAAAGTAACAGACTGGGAGACTACAGGTAGGCCACCAACTGATGAATAGTTGTCAGTAGAATAATTTCCCTTCCTTGGTTGCTAATTCAGATTAGCATGCTATAATAAGAATGCTAGTTTCATTAATTCTTCAGTTGTCTGATTTTTCATTGAAAAAGCTTCAATTGTCTTACCAATTTAGAACTGATTATTTTTATCAATTGGCTTTTCAGTAGGCGCTGTCTACAGAACACAGCCCTGAAGGTGAGCTACAGACTATATATTTCTACCCCTTTGGTTAGTCTAGAATCTTTAGGATTTCACCAAATCTCTCTGTATTTTAGTTTATTCTCCTGGGAAGAGATAACTCAAGTGATAAATTTAGAAGCCCTTAACAGAAATGTTCTACAATTCACACGGTGACTACTTTACATACAGTTTTAGAAGCTATTTAAAAACAACAAACATCAGAAATCATCTAGTCTAAACCTCTCACCTTACAGATGATGAAACTGAGGCCCAAGACCCAATTGTTCATAGTGACAGCCTCAGATTAGTACAAGGTAATCCCAGGCCAGTATTCTTGTCACTACCACAGACCCATTCTTGCCAGCTTCAAGCCAAGTCTGCAAACTGCCTATCACATCCTGCCCAAAGATAAACTGTTTCACTTGTTCAGTAAAATTCTGAAAAACTAAAAATTACAATGCCTTTAAACTGACAGGTGCTCTCTTATTTTCCACAAGATCCACAACTGCATATATATTTTTATGTCCATGTATAACTGTGTGTGTGTGTGTGTGTGTATGTGTATATGCCATCTGTTGGCACATAAGGAATATCTCTATAGACATCCCACCTGCACCTCACGGATTATTGTAAGGACCAGATGAGACACTCATTAATACAGTGCATAATACAGTGCTTGGTACATGTTAAGCACCTGTAAATAGTGGCTCTTATTACTATACCGATAACCTGCGCTAAAGAATCTTTGGGATAAGCACTTAGTAAGTTATATAATGTCTAATTACTGGGTTGTACAGTAATTAATATAATATTGTATTATACAATATATAATATTATTATATATATTGTTAATATATAATAAATTAATATAACATTGTATGTCAGCTGTAATTGAAAAATAAAAAAAGATATTTAAAGTTAAAAAAAAAAAGAAAGGGATCTTTGATTCATTTACCTTCCGTATCCATTTCCACTTGATTTTGCCTCTAAAATGACTCCACATTCAGTGCCTTTTTTATCATTTACCTCAACAACTGAAAAATCTACTCACTGGCTTAGCCTGTAATTAAAAACCTAGTTGTGGCAAACTGAGAAACAGGAGCCAAACAGGTCAATACGTGCTTTCCCCTTTCCCCAGACCCTTTTCAGATGTCATTCCTTTCTCTTCCATGGTGACATTAATTACTATAACCTGTACCGCCCTGGTCTCAGGATTCACTAGCATAAGCCAGAAGTATATAACTTTAAAGGCTATTGATTTAGGTTAAGTTAAAATTATTTTAATACTTTCAAAGTTAAAAACGTAGCCAATCATCCAAAATCTAAAGTGCATTTCTGAAGTCTCTGAAGATACTCTGAGGATTCCTGAGATGAGTTATCCAAGCAGCGATATTAAACGTTACTCTTACCGTTTCTTGATTTCTTCTGATTTCTTTTTCCTTATCTCCAACATATGCTGTTTCTGTTGCTTCAGGAGGGCTGACGCCGAGATAGACTGGAAAGCAGGTTTTGGGCTCCCCATGATCCCTAAAATACAAGCCACAGACTGAGGGGGTTCTGAGAGGCAGTGGGAGCTCAGGTATGAACGCTCAGCAGGTACAAGCTGACTCTACCTGATGACTTGGCTTTGGCTAAATGTTGTTTCAAATTTCTGGCTCCAAATGTAGGCAAGTCCATTAATTCTCTGAATTCCTCGGAGCAAGACAAGCTCTTCTGGGCTATTCCTGGAATATATAAACATCAGCTTCAGAGGACTCAAAATTTAGACTGTTTGATGATGTCATGTGACATCACTTTTAAACTCTGCCTTCACAATTTAGTCATTGTAAATAAAGTAGATGGAACACCAAGAGAAAAAAGTATCCATAACCTTTAACATCAGACTGGTAGGACCGTAAAGGTATGGCAAATATAACTTATTTTGAGTTATGATTAGAATACTTGTATCTTGGGGTCACTTCATACACTATTTTTGGAATATGCACTATGGATAAGGGTCCATATTAGGCCCTGACCACTGTTATGAATAAAGCCCCAAGTACAGGGTGAAGGCAGCATTTTCTGACCTACACCTGTTTTAAAGAAAGATAACAGATGGGTTTGACCATGAACATGATATTACTGATTCTAATACTGGACATTAAGAGTTAGACCCAGATACATCAAGAAATTTTTAGCACACTAAGCTAAGATACAGCCAAGATTAATATGCTGTTTTTCTTAAGATGCTGCCAACTAAGCATGAGTCCTTCAAATTAGGCCATATTACTCATTAAGATAGTGATGAGTGGATATTTATAATTTAGAGTACAAACTGTGACCATTTTCAATCCTAAAGACTACACACTTAAGCAGGAGATAGATATGTAATCTTGAGAAACAAAATTACCGAGTTTTTGTTGAGTTTCCTCAATGATCAGATCTGTGCCTTTCACAACCAGATTAGTCAGAGTGGTTTGAATCTTCTTTTTAGGAGCACCAGCTGCTGCACTGCAACGATAAAAGTCATCCCCAAAAGGAAAACCACTAAACTTCAGTGCTCTGATGAAGTGAAGAAGGCACAAAAGTACTCATATTACAAACTGTTGAAGTTTCTCAAAACAGCATATAACTAGACTTTCCTAATACCATGACTCTAGAGCATAACTGGTGAAAGCATTATGTCAGAGGACAGCACCCTACAAATTTGCTTGAGGCCATCTGGAAGGATAATTTGGCAAAAGAAATAAAAAATATGCCAATACTTTAGTTAAACAGTCTAGGAATTTATCTTAATATAATTAAGGACTATGCAAAAGACAGAATATTATCAAAAGCTTTGTTTGTAACGTTAAAAATTAGAAACACCATTAAGGTTTAGTCACAGGGAATTGTTTAAATTATTGTAGAGCCATGTAAAAGGATACTATGTAGCCACTAAAAATAGTGCCACAAGTAAATATTTGATAAGAAAGACATCAGTTATATTGTTAAAAAAAGTTATAAATTATAGGTACAGTATGACTTAATTATAAATTACTAAAAATTTATACATATGGAAAAATAAAAATTACCTAGAAGCATATATAACAAGGAACTAATATATACATACGTAATCTGTATTGCTTTTTGCAGTTTGGAAAAAAAATTATTTTAAATTTAAAAACAAGCTTCATATTACAAAATGGGCAGGGCATGAGAGTCCTCTTGCCCAATTTCTGTTGCACATGGGACAAAATCTATGCTTTGTTCTTGGATCAACTGTAGTTCCCTTGTGCCAGGTCCCCAGCTGTCTAGTCCTCAGGTGTGCTTTTCACAATAAGAGACAAAGTCATCGATCACCTACTTCAGAGACTCTGTGGAGAGGCTGAGATCCCCCGAAAAGAGGTCACAAATGCCTGCCTCCCATACCCCTTTGTGAAGTTGCACTGCATATTCGTTCACCGAAATATGGATTTCAAGAGGTCTGCAACCTCACTCTAACCATGAGGGAAATGATTTCAAGGATGTCAACATGATTAACAATCTTTTAACTGTCAAACAATTTGCTGCTGACAAAGTTCCACTATTCACATTAGAACCCAAACAGGAAACATGGGCTTTCTGTTAAAGACTATCGTGATAAGCCCGGCCAGGCGTGGCTCAGCAGTTGAGCGTCGACCTAGGATCCAGGCGATCGGGGTTCGATTCCTGGTGAGGGCACATGCTCAGGTTGCAGGCTCAATCCCCAGTCGGGGGTGTGCAGGAGGCAGCCGATAAATGACTCTCTCATCACTGATGTTTCTCTCTCTCTATCCCTCTCTTTTCCTCTCTCTGAAATCAATAAAGATATATTTAAAAAAAAAGATCATCACGACATGGCTCAATTTCTCCTTGTTCTGTGGGTTTTCCTCTCTACCTGGGAATAAAAGAGGCCCTCATCTATCTTCTTCTATGCAGTGAGTTATTAAAGATAAAACCTGTATAAGTCTTTTAGGAACATCATAGAAATGTATAATCTCTAAGTTTATTCTTACAAGATAAGCAAGATCCTGGTACCAAAAGTGGCCCAAGAATGTCTTACACTGAGGCTGCATATGACGCTGAAGAAACTCCTCCATAGTAAAAACCATCCTGACACAGACGTTCTCTCAGGCTGATGCCTTTGCTGGCAAACTTCTTTGGAATTCGTCCTCCAGAGAAGGTGGACTGCAAGTCAGCTCGCTTGGCACTGAGCTTCTTATACTGGGCCTGGATGTGATACTGACAGTACTCGCAGTCCTTCTGCAAAAAGGAAGAGAGGCTGCCTCAGAATTAGGGTAACAGGCCAGAAAACAATACAAATACACACAGTCTCTTTCTCCCAGCTTTGTGTGACACAATTCTGTGTGCAGAGCCATCACTACTGACCTCTAGGGCCTTTTGCAAGGTGGAGCCATGCAGTGACTAGGGGAAAGGAGTTTCCTTAAATTCCAATTAAACAGCTAGTTAGGTGGAAGGAAAAGTGGTATAGTTCACTCCCTTTGCACTCTTTCTACAATCAAAATAAAATCGGCTTCTAGACAAATCTTGAAAACGCCAAGTGAAAGAAGTCAGACACAAAAGGCCACATGTTGTATGACTCCTCTTATATCACATATCCAGAGCAGGCAAGTCCACAGAGACAGGAAGCAGGTTAGAGGTCACCAGGAGATGAAGGTGGGGGGATGAGGAGTGGTTTTTTGGGGTGATGAAACAGTTTGGAAACTAGAGAGAGTGGGTGGTGGCACAACAGTGAATGTACTAAATAACACTGAAGTGTACATTTAAAATGGATAATTGTATGTTATGTGAATTTTACCTCAATAAAAATTAATAAAAAAATAAGACAAAATCAGCGTCTAGTGAGATTTTTCTATTTCTCTGGTTGACTCTTGGACAAATGCTACTCCTTCAGTGAAAGGAACAAAAGACAAACAGCATACTATTTTTCTATTGGGCGAGCCCTTAGATATGGTAACAATGAAATTCTAGCTCTTATGTAGAGAACTTCAGGTACTTCACTCTGAGACCTCTTTTTCCAACTACCTCCCTCCTATTTCCTGCTCACTAGTTCATCTGTGAGGCAGGAATGAGGGAAATAAAGAGATGAAACTAAAACCTGTCCTTTAATCCTTTCAAACAGCTCTAAGATGTACCACTTCGTACCCATTGGGATGGCTGTAATCAAAGACAGACAGTAACAAGTATTGGCTGGATGTGGAGAAACTGCAACCTGCACATATTGCTAGTGAGAATGTAAAAGCCACTATGGAAACCAGTCTGGCAGTTTCTTAAAATCCTAAACATAGAGTCACCATACAACCCAACAATTCCATTCCTAGTCTACACCCAAGGGAACTGAAAACATACATCTACACAATAAAACTTGTACATGAACGTTTATAGCATTAAGTATAATAACCAAAAGGTAGAAACAACCCAAATGTCTTACTGATGAATACATGTGGTATGTCTATACAATGGGATTATTCAACAAAAAGGAATGAAGGGCTGATGAATGCTACACCATGAATGAACCTTGAAAATATTATGCTAAGAGACATAAAGGCCACATATTATACAATTCTCACTACATCAGAGATTTTCAACCGGTCTGCCATAAGAAACAGGTAATACCTGACTATTTAGTCAGGGGCACTGACTTTCCTTTAGATTATAGAAAAGAAAAAAAAAGGGTTGCAATAGCATGGATGGACCTGGAGAGTATTATGCTAAGTGAAATAAGCCAGTCAGAGAAAGACAAATACCATATGGTTTCACTCATATGTGGAATCTAATGAACACAATGAACTAACAAGCAGAACAGACATAGACTCATAGAGAGAGAGCAGGCTGACAGCTGTCTGGGGGTTGGGTGGGGAGAGGATGGGAGACTGGGGGTAGTGGTGGAGAGAATGAGCAAAAAAGAAAAAACTCATGGAAACAGACAACAATGTGGTGATTACCAGAGAGAAAGAGGAGGTAGAAGAGGGCATAGGTAGGATGGTGACAGAAGGAGACTTGATTTGGGGTGGTGAACATACAATACAAAGATGATGTATTATAGAATCGTACCCCTGAAATCTATATAATTTTATTAATGTCGCCCCAATGAATTCAATAAAAACAGAAAAAATAGAGGGAAAAAAAGGAAACAGTTAATAATAACGGTCAGATGTGAATGAATCAAAATTATACCTATTTTTTTTGTCAGATCAGCAAAAAATATATTTTTTGGTGTGTTGCAGAATTTTAGTAATTAATTTTTGTGTGCCATGAGATGAAAAAGGTTGAAAATCGCTGTACTATAAAATGTCCAGAATAGGCAAATTCATAGATAGATTAGCGCTTACCAGGGGCTGGGTGAAGAAGGGAATGGGGAGTGGCTGCTAATTGGTACGAGTTTTTTGTGGGGGAAGTATTGAAAATGTTCTGAAATTACATAGTAATGAAGGTTTCACAACTCTGAATATATTAAAAATTATTAAATTGTACACTTTAAAAAAGTGAATTATATGGCAGGTGAATTATATCTCAATGAAGCTATTTTTTTAAAAAAAAGTTCTAAGAGAAGGTATAATAAAGTTATAGCATAGACTAAACTAAGGTTTTCAGTGTATCATACATAGTGTTTGATCTCCGGCACTACAAAGAATGAAAAGAATGGTTGGTGTAAGTTTAGAGTTGAGGGTGAACTAAAATTCTGTCTTATACCTCCTAGTCAGCTGGCAATAAAAGATTATGTACTAAGAGCTTAAATCCTCCCCCTGCTCTCAGCTTTTCAAACTGGCAATTATTAACCACATATTCAATTTTCTCACTTTGATGCTTCCTGTTATGTAGGAAACTCAGTTCCAAAGTGGTCATTACTACTAAAGTACCTACAATTTATTTCTCTTAACTCCTTTCTTTAGCAGAAAACATCCTAACAAGGCTGAAACCAACCAAATTAACAGTCTGTGTACACGGTTCTCCATTCCTCTTCTTTGCTTTACAGGTTCCAAGGTCAAGAGCTTCACCCATAATTAAGATCTTCTGAGGATGATCAATAGATAAGCATATCTGTAGAAAAGAAGTGGAATGGGAGTTAAAAGCAGATGAAGATATGATCTTTTATCAGCTAGAATGGATAAAAGAATGGTTGGTGTGAGTTAAGAAGGCTGTCAATCTAAAAGAATTTGAAGCAAGTGCCCTATAAAACGGGTTTAGAAATGGGAGGTGTAGAAAACACACTTAGTTCTCTACCCAGTATCCATCTTCTTCTGTGTCTTTGCTATAAGAGTCTTGATTCTATTTGGGATGGCAAATGCTGAGCATAAGGTAATGGATCCTGTCCCCAGTTTTCCCAGCATTCTTTATAGTTAGCAATGGTCATGTGATTATATTCTCACCAATGAGACTGAAGCTGGGGTTGGTAGTGAAGGTAGCTGGGGAAGCTTTTGCATTACCGATAAAAGCAGATAGAGAAGGTTGGCCCACTTCCTGCTTAGAACAGAGAGGTAATGGCAAGAGCTTCAAAGCCATCTTGTGACCAAGAGGAAAAGGTTGAGAGACTTGTAGACACTGGCCACCATAACACCACACTGTCTATGTCTAGGTTTTTTTTATTATATGAGAAAAACAAACCCCACTGTTTACTGTTAAGAAGAAACTATAGTGAAGTTTTTCTGCTACTTGTAGCCAAACACGTTGGAACCAACAGGTGAAGATTTGTCGCCATTTCTCTGGTGAAAACAAGGAATGAGAAAACTTTGTCTCACTCTTTCTGATAATAATAATCTGTCTACAACAAAGTATAAAGTGTAGCTTCTTGCTGGGTCAGATGAAGGAATGGTCCGTCCCATTCACACTGTATTTAGATTTACAATTTACTAGAGAATCAGTGAGTAGTACGGAAACTCTAATGATGCTTAAGATAAAAATTCACTTTGATTCTTAGTCGTAGCTACGGTTGTACTAACCAATGGAGCAAAGTCCTCTCAACTATAAAACCTTGCCTTCTCGATATACCCTGGAAATTTAGAAGAAGAGCTAAGAAGACCTGAGCCTAAGAGTTCAAAAAACTCCAGGAACCTTGGAACTAATTGGAAAAGATATAATGAAAGAAGTTGATACGAAACACTTTACAGCAGGTGGAAATTCAGGATATTGGTGGATGAGGATGAACAAGCAAGCAGAAGCCCAGGTTAACGGCAGTATAAAAACATAAAAGCATGACTTATTACCTGAAAGTAGACCAATGCAAATCCTTCTGACAGAATTGGACTAAGCTGCAAAGGCCCTTTCCCCAATAATCACGGAAACAGAGTCTTACCTCCTCTGAACCATCCTTGGGCTTCATGGGGTTAGCATTGAGCAGCCCGATGACAGTACCCTGCTCAGTCTTCCAGAGTTCTTTGTGAACTTCTCCAAACAAGAACAACGAAACATACCGCGTCAGGTCACGAAGATCATTCAGTCGCCAGATGCTAAATGTTTTCCCCTGGAACAAATATTTATTCTTAATTTTAATGATTTTGAATAATGGACAGTTACACTGTTTCCATTTATGGTTCAAGTGTTCTACTGTGGAAAAACAGAACAAACAAGCAAAAAAGTATAATCCACACTGAATATATAATCATCAGAACATCTGTTAATTGTAAATTAAACCTCTCTCCAGGCTTTAGTACTACCCTTCTCATTTTAGACGTGAAGGTGAAATTAAGGCAAGTTAGTAGCAAACTTGTTACTAGAGTCTCTAAGGTCTAAATAGTCAATGGGATAAAACTGCCTTTCTAATCTCTCTCTCTTTCTCTCTCTCTCTCTCTCTCACACACACACACACACACTCTCTCTCTCTCTCTCTGCCTCTCTCTCTCTCGCATACCATTTAGTAACTTACTGATATAAATCTAGTAACTCTTATCACTACTTATATTATTACTATTAATGAGGCTTCAGCTCTATGATTCTAAATCTTTGCTTAGTTTAGAAGAAAAACAAAAGCATCATTTAAAGAAAACTAGTTGCATTTAACTGCAAAACTTCAGAAATATTATTAAATATCTGAAGAAATGCAACTCAAAATCCTGACCAATTACAATATGAACAACCTCCATATTTACAAATTTTTTAAAAAAAAACAAACTCGCCCAGCTGGCATGGCTCAGCGGTTGAGCATTGGCCTAGGATCCAGGCGATCGTGGTTTGATTCCCAGTGAGGGCACATTCCCGGGTTGTGGGATTGAACCCCAGTGGGGGCCATGCAGGAGGCAGCTTATTGTTGATGTTTCTATCTCCCTCTCTCTCCCTCTCCCTTCCTCACTCTGAAATCAGTAAAGACATATTAAAAAACAAACAACAAAGCCCCCAAAACCCCCAAACTAATTCAAATAATACTGAATCAAGCTCTTTCACAGAGGCATTCCAGAGTGGATATCGCTATAGGCTATGGTATGCTATTGCCTGGACTCAAGTATTGTAATTACCCTTCCATGGATTTGCAGAATGCCTTTGGAAGAGTTCATATAAAATTTCACACCTATTATTTCAATGTTACTATACCCAGTGGTGATGCAATTATAAGCTTAATATAAAAAAAAGACTTATTCACTTTTACCTAGACAGAACAGGGCTTAAGCAGGACTCAGAATCTAAAACTCACTCCAGTTGTCAGAGCTCATAAAAAAATCTAAAGTTGGCCAAGATTTAAATTAGAGAATGAAATCAGTGTTGAGCATGATTAATCATAGTGTTTGAGCAATGGGAGGGACTTGCCACATATAAATGAAAGCCAGTTCCTTCATTTTACATATAAGGAGATGGAGGTTCTTAAAGAAAGAGGAAGGGCCACTCTAAGGACACAGCTAGTTAAAGGAAGAATGAGGCTTAGAACCTAGGTTTTCATTTTTTTTTTTTAAATGTATCTTTATTGATTTTAGAGAGAGGAAAGGAGAGGGAGAGAGAGATAGAAACATCAATGATGAGAGAGTCATTGATTGGCTGTCTCCTGCATGCCCCCGACTGGGGACCGAGTCCGCAACCCAGGCATGTGCCCTGACCCAGAATCATAGCCTGGATCATAGGTCAACGCTCAACCGCTGAGCCATGCCCGGCCGGGCAGAACCCAGGTTTTCTGAATTGCCAGGCCAAAAAATAATTTTCCAGTTATGCATCAGTCAATTGCAACTTTAAAACTTGTAAGATCTTTCACAATATCCATCAAATTAAATATATCACACTGTGCTGGCCAAGTTGGCAATTTCATAACTTCTGCGACTGACGTCTTACATCTAGTAAGGCTCTCAAAGGATCCGTGAACTCAGCCTTTTTGATTACCTGCTCCAGTCCTCCACAAAAAGGACTATAGTACCAGGGGCAACCATGTGTCACCAACACAATGAATGACAAGTGAAATGCAGTAAAAGTTATGTGGGCAATGAAAAGCCCAATAAATATATACACCCAGATCTTCTTTAAGTAGAGTGTTCTTTACACATACCCCCTGGGATAGCAACCCAATGATGGTGGAGCAACTTGAGAACTTACTAGTAATTATTTCAAAATGAAATAATGATGGGCTCTGGGTAACAAATCAAGAGCATGGGTCCTCACCGCTAGTTTGTGATGAAGCAGCTAAGAAATCAATAAAATGCCAATGACACATCTGATAAGGAGTTAATTTCCAAAATATAGAAAGAACTTAAAAACGCAACACCAGGAAATCAAACAATCCAATTAAAAAAATGGGCAAAGGGCCTGAATAGACACTTCTCCAAAAGGATATACAGATGGCCAATGGACATATGAAAAAACGCTCAGCGTTACTGTCACAGAGATTTAAATTAAAACTACAATGAAGTATCATCTCACATCTGTCAGAATGGCTACCATCAATAAATCAACAAGTGTTGGTAAGGATGTGGAGAAAAGGGAACCCTAGTACACTGCTGGTGGGAATGCAGACAGGTGCAGCCACTATGGAAAACAGTATGGAGGTTCCTCAAAAAATTAAAAATGGAGCTGCCGTTTGACCCAGCAATCCCACTTCTGGGAACATAGCCTAAGAATCCCAAAACACCAATCAGGAAGAATATATGTACCCCTATGTTCATAGCAGCACTATTTACAATTGCTAAGATCTGGAAACACCCAAGTGTCCATCAGTAGATGAGTGTATCAAAAAGCTGTGGGACATTTACACCAAGAAATACTAAGTGGCTGTAAAAAAGGATCTCTTACCATTTGCAACAGCAGGGACAGATCTAGAGATTAACATGCTAAGGGAAATAAGCCAGTCAGAGAAAGATAAGTATCACATGATCTCACTTATATGTAGACTCTAATGAACAAAATAAGATGAACAAAACAGACTCAGAGGCATGTATACATGGAACAGATTGACAGATCTCAGAGGGGAGGGGGTTGAGGGTGATGGGAAAAGATTAACCAAAGAACACATATGCATATATGCATAACTCATGGGCACAGAAAATAGTGTGGTGAAGGCAGAGTGGAAGGGGGCAAAGAAGGGGGAAAATGAGGAATATCTGTAATACTGTGAACAATTAAAAAAAAATAAGAAATCAATAAAATGGCTTACACTGCTACAGCTCTGCGGAGTGACTTTCTTCAATATAACCCCAAATGTCACCCAGTCTATTTCTTCCAGCTTCTCACTTGCCATCTTTTCCTTGAGCTGAGACAGTCTGATCAGTTTCCTACCAGTCATTTTCTTGTTCATTTCTGTGGAGGACACTCGAGGCCATCTGGGTCAAGAAACCAGCAATTAGTAGGCTATAGTCTAACAAGGAATTATCTGCCACTGTAGCAGGTTGGTTAAAAGAAGTGCTATAGGTAGAAATCTCTAAAGAACCTGTTTTCAGGGAAGTTTACTTATACAGTTCAGGCAGACATTTTTTACGGCAAATAAAAATATAATTTTTAAAGCTAGGTTTGTACTTCCTTGGATACAGAATTGAGCTTATATAGAAAATAAAAAGATCCTAAGTTCTTTAAGTTCATATCAATTATAAGTTATAATATCCTTTAAAAATGTCTTTTGACTTTAATACAATACTATAAATTGATGTAAGTGAATAAGATATTTAAATTTCATCAGTTCTGCAAGAATCGCACTGGTTCTACTATTTCTAATCAGGTTTTTTTAAGCCAACATTTTCACATAATAAATAAAGGCTCTGACTCTAGCTTTAATTAATATATTCTTGTTCCTAATGACTGGCTAAAACCTAGTGAATCTGCAAATTGTTTTTCTCTAGTAAATATTAATATCTGTTTGATCATACTATATATTCAAGGACAAAATAAAACACAAATAAACATGACTTTGACTCTTTCAGAAGTCTTCTGGAATAGAAAGTCCTAGAGCTAATTCTGAATAATGAATAATATTCAGGAGAAATTCTCTTCTTTGCCTGATTTCTGTGAGTTAATAGGCTAGTATCAGATTACTATCCTTTGGAGTATTTTTAGGTTCTGAGGTTCAGGTATAACAATTACAGGGACTCAAACAATACTGCAATCCCCTAAATTTGTAGGCCACTGAGAAGCTTTGGCTGAGTAGTTTCAACTTTATCTACCTCCATTCAATTCCCACGTGCATTACATTCGAATCAGCAAGCTCTTTCATTATCTACCAGTTGTGTCAACTGGGAGCTGGTTGGGGCAGGCAGTATCATCTCGGGAAGGACATATTTACCTTGAAAAAGAAGCTGATGCTCCTCAATGAGCTTTTATTGTATTCCATCCCTCAGACTCCATCTCAAACATAATTAAAACACTGAATTTTTTTTTTCAGTTTTGGAGTACTGAGTCTTCACAATACACATCTACTGTATTACTCTATACACAGTACCATGCTGTAGAATGGCAGCTACTTGTTCTCCCCCTGCTTAATAATACAATTCAAGAGCTTGGCAGTTTTAGTTTAGATCGACAAGGTTTAGGTGTTCTAGAGGGGGTGCACTTGGCTACTCAGAAGGACTATACTAAGCAATCTGGTCTCAAAGTAAAGATTACCACTCTGCCCTGGGTTTCAAGAGAGTAATGATGGAGATGCAGTAGAGTAGCAATATAGAGAACAGGGGATTTTTAAAAGTCTAGGCTTTAGCTGACTTGATCCTGGGATTTAATCCTATTTAACCGAGTATCTTAGTTTTTCCACATAACAGATGCAAAGAATATAAATTTCCCTTAAAAGTTATTAGGAAAAAAAGAGCACAGGTGTTTTCTTAACATCAATGACAAGATACTATTATCCTGGTTAAACTGTATGTATCTTTATGCATTTAAAAATAGTCTCTATTACCGTTCCTATAAGTCAGTTTCTGATTAAATGTATCTATCAATTTCATATATATATGTCTATATAATGTATATATAAACAAGCAAAAGTCTTCCTTAAACATTTCATATGCAAATGTACTGAGTCACACCCAGTGCTCAATGCCAAGTTTTGTCAAGCTCCAGAGCTATTGGTGTTATGGGGATCTGCTGTACAGACACTATTTCTAAAAGGCTCAGCCCTCAGGAAGGAGGACGAGGCACCTGGTGGGGGCCTGTGAGCAGAGTGAGGGGCTGTCAGCTACTGACCTGAGCCTCAGGCCGGAGAAGGCTTCCACAGAGATGGGCTGAGCTGTGTCCCCAGAACTCCTGGGGGCCACTGCACCGTGATCTCTAGTCATCCCACTAGGTTTGTTCCCAGGAGTCATTCGGAGTGGTTGTGAGAGTGCACTTGTCATCCTTGAAGGTGAGCTTTTGGGCTCTAGAAAATTATAAAAATTAGGTGAAAAGAAAAACCACACTTATACCTACATCTTTAATAGAATTGTTGCTTTTTTCACTCACAGATGAAATAACCAAATATTGGAGAACAAAGGAAGCCCATAAGATTCTTTCTGTACGACCCTCAAAATCTCTCTAATGATGGAAGTGTTTTATACTGGTGCTGTCCGATATGGTGGCCACTGATCATTTATAACTACTGTTTCTAAAGAAATGGATGTCTAATTTAATTTAATAATTTAATTTAATTAATTTAATTTAATTATTTAATTTAATTTAATTTGTCACATGTGGCTAGTGGTTGCTGTATTAGACTATACCACTTTAAAACACTGTTCCTCTGCAATGACATTTATTGAGTATTCACCATATATGAAACACTGTGGTCGATTCCATGAGGGAGTGAGAGCTCTCCTTCAGAATTCCATAATTAGCGGATATTTGTGCACAGATAAAATTCTACCTGAAAAAAATCCAAAGTTTGCTCCCCTTCTTTTCTTGTGTTTCATTTCATTTCAATCCATTCCATTTAATTTGTGGGGTGGGGGGTTTGGGGGGACCAGGGTATTCTACTGACATGGTTACTTTTCATATTTTAGAAGCATTGATATTGCTCCTGAAGGTCAGAAAGCTTGGGTATTTTCCTTAATAAAATATCACCCTCTCTTAAACCAGACTTTTATTTACCCTCAGAGAGATTTTGGATCATTGCTCTCAAGCAAGGGGCCACGGCAACCCTGAATTTTAAATCTCTAGAAATCATGTCCATGCCCCACCCTCTCAAAACCAAACTTTGGAAGTTACCTAATGAAACACCTTAGTAATGCCAAAGATTCTAATGAGATGGATGCTATTCATAAGTAGATACATAAAATATAAATTTGTTGCCAAATAAATGTGAACACTCAAGAGTCTACAACTATTCTCTACTATTGTGTGATATGCCAATGCTATTCGAAAGGGCCTTTTTAAACACACCTTGGTCAAAAAAATGCTGCTTACTCTAAGCTATGTTATCTATATACCATTTTGTCTTCCGTCTTCCAAGGAATAATCACTTTGGGCAAACTGAGGCAATACAGCATAATCAACAGAGAAAGCTCATAAATCTTTTTCATTTTATTTTGTGTGTATATATATGTATGCTGAAATTGGCTTTTATTTGAATACTATTCCAGATTCCTGGCAGAGAAAACTTTTCTAAAGAATGGACCTTCTAATTTAATATAACCTAACTTCAAATAAAACCTGACCACTTCATAAGGGAATCTGTGCCTCAGTTTCACAACCCCAAAGACTAAACTTCTAGACTGCTAGCATGAGAACTCAATCCAGGGGTTATATTTACTATAGTTCAGATCAACTACAGGACTACAGAGTTAAAAAAAAATCTCAACCCATTAAGTAGTACATACCTAACTCGCTGCCTAAAAATTTTCTAGGCACTTTGAGGTGTAGAGAAAGAGAGCATATGGTTCCCATTTCCAGTGGGCAGATGAAAGACCCCTCCCATGAGAGTGCCCAAATATATTCTCAATAGAATCAATAGTGAGAAACCAGGAGGGCTTAAGTACTACCTGTAGGTGAAACTTTTGGTATTCGAGCCACCCGCTTGGTTTTTGGTAGAGTAGGGACATCAAGCTCTGCAGAAAAGCATGTCGACTCCTGAATTCTCTGAACTTTCTTCTCCTTAAGAGGGGGGCGTGGAGACTTATCTACTTGATTAAAAGTAAAATAAATCAGTAAAGAAAGTTTAGAAAGAGGCTCAAAAGCAGTTTTACCAGGAATTGGATGCAGAGATAATGTTATAATTTCTTAACAGAAATGTATACTATTCCTAGAATTACAGTCTGATTACCAGATGTATGTGGACGGGCTGGACTTGCAGGCTGTTTGATTGTTGCCATTTTTAGCTGTTCTTGTAAGGACTTCATTTGCTCTTGCAACTTCCTTAATTCATCTAGGGAAAGAAAATATTGACTTAAGAACCAAACCAGAAGAAATATTATACATGATGAAAGTGCTGGAATTATTTTTGGTGTCCTTCCATCTTCCCCCAAAACCCTGAGATCCGCAATATAATCACTTACTGAGAACTCACAACTAACTTTTGCACCCCAAAGGGGTCCCTATAGAGAAATAAACATTTTCAGTAATCAAGCTTCTAATACCAAAGCTAGTTATGAATTTGTACTACTGACAGGTATCACAGATACCTATCTACAGTTAAGTTTTTAGGAATCAAGACATCATTACATTTATTTCACAAATTGAATATCGTAATAACAAATGCTTGGTCCTGTATCAAAAGAAACTACCCACCACTGAATTTTATTATAATTTAAAAATATTAAGTGAAGATGCCAGGAATAAGGGCACTCCTCAAACCTTCTGTTCTGAAACGGTCTCCTGCTCAAATAGAGTATGTAGTAGCTTTTACAGGTCTTATCTCTGGCTCCATTTGCATAAAAATCCTAAAGTAACATTTTTTGTAACGAGCATACAAAGTGTTCAAGTCACCCTGTGAAGGATCAACTATAGTTGGCTGTCCCTGATATATGTGTCACTGGCTGTCTGTCACTTTGTAGGGTAAAATGCTGGCCTTAGATGCTTGATGTATTAACTCAATTTTGTTTTTTTAACAAAGTCATTTATCTCCACCCTTGACTCAACAGCTATCTCAATGAAAACTGTCAGTCTGGTGGTCTTCATCTAGTCTAGAGAAAGCAAGTAGTTAGGGCACCTTGCAACTCTTCATTAGTTTTTCCTTGACTCAGAGCAGGAGCAGAAGGAACTCTGTTTTTAGTTGATTGCAATACAGGAACGTCTTCATCTGATAAGTCCCCCATATCTCCAAAGAGAGTAGCCAAATTTTCCTTTTGGTCTTGAGTCTTTTCCACTTCACCATCATTAGCCTCCTCTGTGTAAGATTCACCATCACCGTCAGCATCGAAGAGCTCATCAAATGTATCAGGGATACCATCACCCTGGGTCAAGGGGTGGCTCTCTTCTGAATTACAATCCAAGGCTGACTCATTCTCCTCCAGCAGTGCGGTCAGCAGAGACAATTCATCTTCCTCCACTAGGAGAACAAAGAAAACAGAGAAAATAAGCCTACCTGAGGAGAACTGCTAATGACAAGCATAGTTAATTAAAACATTCAACACTGACGAGGCAATTAAAATGCCTCTAAATTTTTCCTGGTATCATCACTAGTCTTATCTCCACCTTCTCTCTTCCCAAGTGCTTCTCAAGGGCTCTGGGCTAAGGAAGAAGGGGCCAGTATCTGCTCAGTAGCCACAGTGGGCCAGTCACTAGGCTAGATCTTTTTCCCTATGCTACATAAGCTAATGAGACAACTTCCTGCATACCGACTTCAACCCACAAGGGAGTAACTGAAAAACACACTAAACATATATTTAGGCCCTAGATGTATATATTCCCCCAGTTTTAAATTGAGCAATTTTTAAAAAATATAGACAGGTACACACAATTTCATAAAAAGTACTCATATCCCATTTCCCAGAATTAGCCATGACTAACATTTTGTCAGGTTTGCTTTTGGCCTTTACATTAGTTTAAAACTAAAAAAAGCAAACAAAACTTACGCCAAATTTTATGCCAACTCCTTACCACTACACCTCCAGGCCCCACTGAGACTACTATCATAATTTTGGTATATTATTCTAGTCAATTTTTCATACTTTTACCACAAATATATAGATACAATCAATACATCATGTTTGGTTGTTTTAAAAATATTTATATAAATTATTTCACACTGTATGTGACATTGCATGTAAGATTAATCCAAATCAAAACATACTTCTTTCAATCGCTGTTTAGTAGTCCACGGTAAGGATGTATCACATTTTTAAAATTCCCTTTCCAATAAAGAACATGAGCTATTTCCAGTATTTTCACACTGCAAACTATGCTATAATCATGTATACACCTGGTCAGTGTGGCTCAGTTGGTTGGAGCATCGACCCATACACAGAAAGGTCTTGGTTCGATTTCCGATCAGGGAACATGCCCAGGTTACAGGTTCCATCCCTGGTCGGGGCACGTGCAGGAGGCAACTGATAGATGATTCTGTCTCTCATGGATGTTTCTCTCTCTCTCCCTTCCTTTCTCTCTAAAATCAGCAAAAAAAAACACACATATCCTCAGGTAAGGATTAAAAAATATACATAAAGTGATACAAAAATTATACCTCACATCCAATTCAGTTCTAAAGGTGTACAGTAACCTAATAATAAACTGCTGACTATAGTAAAGTTATGCAGGTTAACTGGTGTCTTATTTTACTCCAAGAGTACATATTTTCCCTATATTCTTCTTAAAGCCAATTTTATCATTCATAATCCACTGTGAATATTTTCTATGAGCTTGTCTTTATACAATTTCTAAAATTTTAGGAATGTTGACCTTGACAAAATCTTAACCCTGACTAAAAACCCAACAGACTGCCATCTCCATACCTGCACCCCAACTGGTGAACTCTCCTAGAGAAAGACCCCTATACTGATTGGTTTAACTTTAAATATATACCAGCCAAGAACAAATAGGCATTCAAGTGCTTAAAAATCCCCACACTTCCGTAACACATTGCTTTCCTATTCTCTAACCACTTCTGTCTCTTCTCAAATCTCTGACGCCTCTCCTCCCTCTTTACTCTTAGCTGATGATATCTCACCAAAAAAAAAAAAGGAAGCAATCAGAGTTCATCTTTCATTACTAAACCTTAACATATATTCTCTGCTTTACCTATAATAGATGAGTGTCTAGTCCTATTTATGGCCAGTTCTTCCGTTTATTAACTGGATCCCCATTCCTCTCAGCTCCCCAAGGACTTCAGCCTACAACCACCAGCTCTCCCCACCCCCATATCACCAGTTTTTCCATTTTCTGGAGCATTTCTCTCAGCACACAAACTCAGTCCAGTGTCTCCTATCCTACCAACTACCAGATATTTTCCTACTTGTTTGTTATCTTGCTCTCCCTACTAAAATGTAAGCAGGAATGTTGTTTAACAGTATAATTCTAGCATCAGGAAAATTTTGATTTCATTTACACTGGATCAAATTTTGAGGCCATGCTAACCAAATGAGGTTTTATTAGATACAGTGATTTCTTAGGAAACACATATCCACTCACCACTTATTTTCATGACGTTCTCACAGCAAAAAATTATACTTTGTATAAAACAAAGTACCCTGTAGGTAATTTGACGATTTCAGAAAACAGGACACTATCATTATACTAAAGATGCAATCAATTTCATATAATATCACAGTGTGATGAATTTCAACATTTAATTTTTTTTTTAAAAAGGGCAATGTATAATCGACTTGGATTTAAAAAAAATACAATTTCAGACAATGAGCTCAATTACACAGCCAGAAAAAGAATGTATTTTATTTGTTAGCATCTCTTCACAGCCAGCACAGTTTTGTGCTGCTCCCTGGCTAAGCTCTGCTAATTAGTGCAACATTTTTTTACTAAGTAAATATTTGAACACATTCCTGCAAAATGAACAAAACTAGAGAGAACTATAAGAATTTAAGACAGAGCTAGACTAAAATCACTTCAACAGATTTCTTTTTATTGATTGATTGATTGATTGATTTTTAGAGAGGGGTAGAGAGAGGAGAGGAGAGAGAAGAGAAACACTGGATTTGTTGTTCCACCTATTTATGCACTCACTGGTTGATTCTTGTATGTGCTCCTGACCAGGGATCAAACTTGCAACCATGGTATATCAGGATGACACTCTAACCAACTGAGCTACACAGACTGGGCTCAACAGATTTCAATATTAAATGTGAACTCGGAGGCTGCCTGGGTTCAAATCCCTGCTCTGACAGTTTCACCTGTGACAAGTTACTAAACACTGGTCTTTCTGTTTATAAAATAGTTGCTATGAAGATTAAGTTAATATAATTAAGGATTTTAGAACAGTGCTTGGCACACTGCAAGTACATGCCAGCTATCATTATTATGAAAGACAGTCAGTACCGCCAGGAGAAGAAATCCCACCTGATTAAAACAAGTAACATTCTGTGACTAAAGTGAACCACTCAGGCAACACTTGATGGTGGGGCAGCTATTTTCACTATTTTGCAAGTAGGATAAATAACAAAACCATAGGCAAAAGGGTGATTTTCTGAAAACAAAGACAAATTGAGAAAACTGCCAGGACTTACCTTCCATGTTGTCTAGGGAACAGTGGTCACAGTGAACTCTGGAGGAGGTTCAGGTGCCAGGAGACGGCGGCAGTGACGTAATCTTGGCTCTGTGAAATCATCATTAGAGAAGTCACCCTTGATTCTCTCTTGTTCACACTGCATATTCAAAAAGTCCAGAATCTTAAAACTCCTAGGGGATCTAACCCCTAGATTTCATCCCGAATCTGACCATTTCTCACCCCCACTGCCAACATATCTTCCTCTTAGTATGGAAGCAGTTCCCCCTTTTTCTTTTTTTGCAAACTATGGTTATAGAAGCTCAGGTGAGGTACAGAAGAGTTTGTATACTACCAGATTACATGGATGAGACATAGTGTAAACAGTATTACTGTGCTATCTATTGGGGAACCTGCTGGATTGTAAGCTCCTTGAGGGGTTAGAAGGCAGAAAACTGTCTTCTATAACCAACCACTCTTTCCACCCAAACCCACGTCCTTTCCTACTCTCATATCTAAGGGCCATCTGACAAGTGCTATGGGTTCTATCCCCACAATAGTGCTCAAAACTTCTACCCCAACTTTACTGCCAAAAGCCTAGTCCAAGCCACCATCAGTCTTTTGCTCCGACTACTGCATTAGTGTCCTGTATTCGCCTCTTTGGCCCTCTGTAATCTAGTCTCCGTACAACAGCCACAGTAATCTTTTCTTTCCTTAGTAATCTTCCAGGAACAGAAACCCTATAGTGGTATTAATCCTTTAATAAAAATTCTTTAATAATCTTCCATTGCCCTTAGAACAAAATTTACAAAGCCTATAAGGGAATGGATGCTCTCTTGCCTACCTCTACGTCCTCATCTTTTCTGTGCGTCCACCCACCCAACTCTACCCCCCAAGCCCGTCAGCAAGACGAGCCCGCATTCAGCCCCGGAACACAAGGCTGCTCTCAGCGCTCAGGCTCCTGGGAAAGTTCTCCCCTCGCTCCCTCTCACCCTTCAGTCTCCAATTCACTACCCACTTTCCTAAGCCTTTCCAGCCCACCCTCTCAACTCACCCCTTTTCATAACTACTGCACTACCGTGTACTTGTTTATTATCCTCCTTAGATTGCAGGCATCACAGGGCAAAGGTAATGAGCGTTTGGAGCCCAGTACAAAAGCACGTAGTCAACAATTATGACTTTTTGAAAAATGAATGAGAAGTCCAAACGGCATGCACCAGGCAAGCGTTTTAAAGGTTACTTTAAAAAAAGAAAACACTGGTCCCTTAAATAAACGGCACCTCACAATGAAGTTCAGAATTGCCGCGCAACTGCTCGGCCCCTGCACCCCTGGGTCGCGCCCGCCCGGCGCTCTCCCGCTGCCGCTGCCGCCGCCGCTTCCGTCTCGCCCACCCGAGCGCCCGGGGGCTCCGCACCTCTCGCTCCCGGGAGCTCTTTTCCTCTACCGGAGGCTCGCGTGGCGGCCCTTCGCTCCCGCCGCCCAGGGCCGCTCACACGACCAAACCCAGCTTCTCACCCAGCCGGCTCCGCGCCCCTTCCCTTTCTACAGCCAGACCCGCCAAAATTCCAACTTGACCCCACCCCGTCTCTGACGCTGACGCACGCCGGCTTGGGGTCACGCTGATTGGCTGCGTCAGAGCTCTAGGAGGAAACGACCTGGGGGAGGTGGCGCACAACGATCCTTGCGTATAGCGAGCTGATTGGTTCACGTGACCGGCGCCCTCTCGGTTGGGCGGCAAAGGTATTTCCGGTCGGCGACGTCCAGGCACCTCTAGGTAAACCAAAGGGCTTGGGCGCCCTCCTGCGCCGCGAAGTATATTCTCAGGCGGTATTTTTACACGAGGCCAAAACTCAATTCCTAACACTCTCCAAGACTATGCCATCCAACCCTGAGCCTCATTTTCACTTAATATTTGTCTCAGGTATAGACGGTGTGGGACAACGATATGATACATATTTTAGGAATTTACAGCCTAATTAGGTAGATGTGATATATGTGTAATTAACGTAAGGCAACTACTAATGAGTACCGACCTTGCTGGAGATGAGGCAACAAAGGAGATGGGCGAGAAACATTCAAATACGTAGGTAAGACGAATTGTGTGGACGATGATGAATACTCCAGGTCGATTTTTTTTTCTGTAGGAAGTAAAAAGACCGCGTTTGAGCAGGTGGGGGAGGAAGGCAGATGTCTAGAGAAAAGGTGTGGCTACGTGCTTGGACTCTGGAGTTAAAAGACTGCAAGATTTTTAACTGCCACATGCTAACTGGGCAGCCTTGGGTGAATTACTTAACTTCCCAGAGCCCCAATTGACTCCTCTGCAAAATGGATAGTAATAGCTGCTTTATAGGGCATTGAGGATCGAGAAAACCTTGAAAATACACATAGTGCCCAGCACATGTAAACATTAACTGTGTATTAACTTATATTCTTACTGCTTTATAAGGCACTGCGTAGGGAGATTAAGCTAACAAAGATCGGTCCTCAGGAACTGAATGTACCAGAAACTGGAGGCAAAGCAGCACATTAGAAAATTGCCATAGTCCCAGACTGTAAGAGTTGGAGGGAAGGGTCACTAGGAAACATGATGAAGGAAAACCCATCTGCTTTGGTAACTGACCAAAGGAAAGTTACCTTTGGCAGAAAAAGGAGAAGACAGTGGCCATGTTGGCAATACCTGGGAAAAACTGGCCGAATTATAGAAGTGGACCAGAAGTCTAAAGGAAGAGCTTGCTTTGGACAGGGGAAGAGGTAAGTCCAGGCTGAGGGATGCTCTGGAGACTTCAGCAGGTGCCTTTAGATTTGTGATTGAAGCCAGGGGGTCATATCAGGGCTTCCAGCATAGGGTTCAGGATGTGGCTTAGTGAATGCAATTGAGTTCTCTCGCGATGTAGAAGCAGAATATCTGAGCATGTTTACCTGGTTAATGTACCAGATGCATATCAATTCTTCCATCCTTAGGCCCAGCAGGAGGCAATGCTATTCAAAATCAGAAAATCAGAACTTCTACTGGCAGAAACTGCCAGTTTCCACAGCCCCACCCCTCCACACCCCCTTGTAGAAATCTTTTTATGTTTGCCTTCACATCTTCCAAGCTGTACGGTGCAGAACTCTAGAGTCTCATCCCAAACTTGAATTTGCCCAACAAACTGGACGGAGACCCTGTACTGAGAAACTGTTATCCTTGACCAGAGGCAGCCCTCTACTTAGAGAATGGCCCTGATGAGAAAGGGGAAAACCCAAGCTTCTTAATTTTCATAACAGAATATTGTCGTTGCTGCCGAGATAAATGTCTACTGCTTTTCAGCCAATCTAGAGGCTACTTTAAACAGCGCAGTATGATGTTTCCCAAAAGGAAGCTGATAAAAAAATGCTATCCTTGGTGGTTTCAATTAACTCATTAGAATGTTCAACACATTTCTTCTTGGTTGTGCTGGGTTAATAAGTACAATATATATTTTACACATGTGAAATACCTATCCATGATTATGGCTCCATATATTTAAAGGACAGAATTACTACATAAATCTCTCAGCTCATTGATAGTTCCTGAATACTTTTTTGTAGTATACTTCACATCTTTGCAATTACTTAGCTAGAAAAAAACAACACTTAAATTACTCAGCAATGACAAATTTTTCATAGCAAGCGTATATAAAGTTATTTCAATAATTCTTTTATATACGTTTATTGATTTCAGAGAGAAGAAGGGAGAGGGAGAGAAACATCAACGATGAGAGTGAGTCATTGATGGGCTGCCTCCTGTGCACCCCCTGCTGGGGATTGATCCGGCAACCCAGGCATGTACCCTGACAAGGAATTGAACCGTGATCTCCTGGATCATAGGTCAGTGCTCATATGCTGAGCCATGCCGGTGGGCTCAATAATTTTTTAAATGACAAACTATGTAAGTCAAAGGATGACAAAGATTGTTAAATTATTTCTACTTTTTATTTGCTTTTCATAGCAAAGCAGTTTGGGTACCTTTTGTTCCACTGAAATATTTGAATATCAGTTCATATACTTGATTTCTGATGATGGCATAATAATTTTGACATTTCATTAAAGGCAATTTCAAGTTAGCCCTTTTATTATGGGTAAAATGGAAGTGTTAGCCAATCTTCACATGAATCTTGATTTTATGATGCACACTTTGCATTTTATGTGTATTCATATTAAATAATTTATAGTTCAAAGTTATTTTTCTCATTGTTTAGAAAATAATACTTTATTTTTTTAGAGCAGTTATAGGATTACAGAAAAATTGAGTGGAAAGTACAGGAGTTCTCACATAGCCCCTTCAACACATAATTTCCCGTATTATTAACATCTTGCATTAGTATGGGACATTTATTACAATTGATACATTATTACAATATTGATTACAATATTGATTACAATATTTATACATTATTAACTAAAGTTCATAGTTTACATCAGGGTTCACTCTTTACATTATACGTTCATGCAGAGTTTAACTGCCCCAAAACTCCTTTGTGTTCTTACCTATTCTTCCCTCTTCCCTAACCCCCAACTCCTGGCAACCACTAATCCTTTTACTATCTCTGTAGTTTTGCCTTTTGCAGAATATCATATAGCTGTAATCATACAGTATGTAGCCTTTTCAGATTGGCTTCTTTCACTTAGAAATATGCATTTAAGGTTCCTCCTTAAACTATGCCTTTTCGTGGTTTGAGAGCTCATTCTTTTCTAGTACTGAATAACATTCCATTGTCTGAAAGTACCACAGTTTGTTTATCCATTTACCTACTGAAAGGCATCCTGGTTGCTTTCAAGTTTTGGCAATTATGAGTAAAGCTATTACAAAACATTCATATGCAGGTTTTATGTGGAAATAAATTTTCAGTTCAATTGGGTAAATGCCACGGATTGCATGCCCGGTTTTGCAAGAAACTGCCAAACTCTCTTCCAAAGTACTATTTTGCATTTCCACCAGCAATAAATGAGAGTTCCTGTTGTTCCATATTCTTGTCAGCATTTGGTATTATTATTGTTTTGGATTTTAGCCATTTAATGTGTGGTGGTATCTCATTTTAATTTGCAATTCCCTAATGATATATGATGTTGAGCATCTTTTCATATGCTTATTTGTCATCTATATATTTCCTTTGGTAAGGTTTACCTGCTATTTTTTGCCCATTTTTAAATTGGGTTGTTTTATCACTGTTGAGTCTTGAGAGTTCTTTGTATATTTTGGATACTAGTTCATCAGACATCTGTTTTGTAAAGATCTATTCCCAGTCTGTGGCTTGAGTTTTTGTGGAAGGTGTAAGGTCTGTGTCTAGATTTAGGTGGTTTTTTATTTTTATTTTGCATATGGATGTTGTTGTGCCAGCACCATTTGTTAAAAATACTATCCTTTCTCCATCAAATTGCTTTTTCTCCTCTGTCAAAGACCAGTGGACTCTCTGGGTATATTTCTGGGTTCTCTATTCTGTTCTTTGATATATTTGTCTGTTCTTTCACCAATACCATGCTGTCTTGATTACTGAAGCTTTATAGTAATTCTAGAAGTCTGGTAGTGTCCTCCAATTTTATTCTCCTGCAATATTGTGTTGGTCATTCTGAATCTTTTGCTTCTCTATAAATTTTAGAATCAGTTTGTTCCACAAAATAACTCGTTGGGATTTTGATTGGGATCATGTGGAATCTATAGATCAGGGTGGGAAGAACTGACATCTTGACAATACTGAGTCTCTATACATGAATGTGAAATATCGTTACACTTATTTAGTTCTTTGAGTTCTTTCATCAGATCTTGTACATACTTTATTAGATTTATACCTATTTCATTTTTTGGTGCTAATGTAAATGTTATTGTGCTTTTTAAATTCAAGTTCCGATTGTTCACTGCTGGTGATACTAGTAATTTGTGTCTTCTATTTTCAGTTAACCTGGCTAGCAGTTTACCAATTTTATTGATCATTTCAAAGAACCAGCTTTTGGCTTTACTGATTTTTTTCTATTAATTTCCTGGTTTCAATTTAATTGATTTCTGCTCTAATTTTTATTACTTATTTTCTTCTGCTTATTTTGTATTTAATTTGCCATTCTTCTTCTCGTTTCTTAAAGTAGAAGCTTAGATTATTGATTATTGATTTTCTATATGTGCATTCAATGCTATAGATTTCCTGCTAAGCACTGCTTTTGCTTCACCCCCCAAATTTTGATGTTATATTTTCATTTTTATTTGTTTAGATTATTTTAAAATTTCTCTTAAGACTTCTTTAACCCATGTACTATTTACAGGTGTGTTGTATAATCTCCAGGTGTTTAGAGGATTTCTAGGTATCTCAGAGTTGTGACCAGCTTAATAGTTTTACTTGAACAAAGTAAAATAATATCCCCCAAAACTTAAATGTAAAACTATTTGGTTTGCTTTTCTATTTAGGATAATATAGAAATCTATTTTCTCCAGTATAAAATAGTAAGGAAAAGGGTTAAACTAGAAGCCTTAAACAAGAAATTAAAAGTAAAATTTTCATAGTTAATTTTAGAAATATCTTTAACACACATTCTCCCTGGGCTGAAATGAGAAAATCCTTTAATCTAAATTACTGTTGAATTTGTACAGTGTGTTCTCTTGGCATGAAGACACAATTAACTATTTTGATTCCTGTTTGATCCCATATGTGTGTATATATGTGTGTATTAAATCAAGTTCATCTAGGAAAGATTCTCATGACAAACAGAAGATATATTTTAATTTTCTCTTAAATGTTTTAGGTTCTAGATACATAGGTCATTGTTTACTTTTATGGCTGGCCTAGTATTAGCTAATAACTATAGGTTCACAAAATATGGCACATCCCTATCTTTTTACCTCTTTAGCAAGAACAATATCTAATTCAGACAATACATACTGGTCTCTAGTAAAGGGATTTGCTCATATTCATAGAATTAATAAAACAGATCTGAATTAAGTGATAAGCTTATATATGAAGCTGAATCCAGAAAATGCATCCTATGAAAGTAGCCAGTGTGAACAGTTCATAAGCAAAATGTTATTTTGCAATAACTTTTTGTGATTATGATTATGTACCTGATCTAGGAAGAAAACGAATAAATGGTGGTTCTCTTTAGACATGAATAAACTTTCTATTATGTGGGTACGAGCCCACATACCTGCAGCACAATGAAAGAACAAAGATAACTTTTTTGTACTGTGGTTATATGAAATCCAGTGAACTTAATGTATCTACTTCATCTATGCCAAAAGTTCTTCCTTTGTCCTGATGACCAAGTAAAAGCTCACAGTGCTCATATGAAAAAAGCCATATCATAACTTTGGTACATTACTGTGGCTGCAATAAAACTACAACACACACATATATACACAACCCCAAATAGGTTTGTCTTAAATGGATGAAGAAAAATAACAATATATCTTATTTCACAAATACTTCGGAGACATTTTTCTTGGAGAAATCTGTGACCACTTCATTTTTCCTGCCTACTTAAAAGGTACCTAAAGTTTATCAGCGATACTTCCATCTAATTACATTTACTATGTTCCATGATGCCACATGCTCATTAACCACATGAACAGTTCAGTGCTCACATAAACTGAACATTTAAAAACATGAATCTATTATCAGATGAATGATGTGTTAAGCATTCTATTTTGTGAGTTTATGGAAATCCACACAAAAAATGTCCTACATGGAACGTATTGATTTTTTCTCCTAAAACAAACACAATGAACCAAAATATTTGAGTGAAAACAAGTAACACAAAAGTAAGAACTCTTGGAGGAAAGAAATCTGACATTTACCAGCAGTCTGGGGGAGGCAAAATGTCAACACTTAAATGATGCAGTCCATGACATGAATCTGTAATGTATCTATGTCAGGCAGAACTTCTCCACATTTGGGGCAAGAATGAATTGGTATATTTTGCTGCAGCTGTTGCCGCCAGTTCCTATCCTCAGCTCCTGGGAATAAGCATTAAATGAAATGTTATTCCATTCCTTCCGTGTTACAAGTAGTCTTGTTTAATGGATTTTAATAACAGATGGTTAATTTTAACACCAGTTAAACACTGTAATCTATACCTAGTAGGAAGTGAATCCAGGTCATTTTTGTCTTTTACTGAAGTAATCTAATCTACACACACAGAGAAAATCTCCAAAAGTAGGACCTGCTTCCCTACTATTTTAAGATTTAGGCTCTATTCTAGTTCTAGGTACATGAAAATGCATGGTTTTATTTCTAGATACTGAGTAATACATGTTCTAGCAAAAACTGGAATGTTGGAGAGAAGACACAGATGAGGATATGAGCTAAAGAGGAGAGATGTGGAGAGATTGATGAGCACGGCATGGAGAGGCGGTACCTAGGACACACGCATCTCCTTAGATGCACAGACAGTAATTGTGTTCATTCAGCAGATATTTTGGAGTACCCTGTAGATGGAAGAGAGGTATACAGGCATGATGGGGGTGTCAGACAAGAAAAGTGACAGCATGGCATGTGAGGGAAGTGCCATGGCTATGTCATGTACAAGGCAGTTTAGTGGGAGGACAGAGAAAGGCACCTGGCTCAGACTGCTCTGTGCAGACAGGCCCCTGGATGATGTAGATTCCACTTGAGAGGAGGCTTAAGAATGAGTAAGGGTTACCTAGGCAAAGTAAGTGAGGAGGAAAAATTGAAGAATGAGTCTATCATTTCCCCCAATTTTGGAGTTGGACTGAGGTTCAAGTCTAAATCAAAGAATGCTTGAGATGAGCCTTGACTCTATCTAGGTAAGTCCCACATGTTCAAACTGATCAGTGCTGGAAATGACTTCTGGCTCCCAGGGCATCTCCTTGATCAGACCTTTCTGGACAAATGCAAACCATTTTGGTTTTGTAGTTTCCACTCAGGTCTCCACACTTTCATTCAACCCCCCCATATGTTTGTTTGTTTTTTGGAGGATGACAGTGGAGGTAACCTATAACATGGTTATTTGCATCTGAGCATATGACTTGAATTGAAAAACAAGTGAGACTATTATAGATAGTTTGTGTTCGGCAAACTTTAGAAGTACCCTTGAATAGAAATATTGATTGACAGGCATGATTTCTAAAGCAGGGAGCTTTCTTTCTTTCCCCCTTTTTTTATTGAATTTATTGGGGTGACACGGGTCAACAAAATCATATAGGTGCACAACTCCACAACACATCATCTGTACACCACACTGTCTGCCAGCCCAAGTCAAGTCTCTCTCCCTCACCATTTATCCCCCACCCCATACTCTCCTCCACCTCTCCCACCCCTCCTGACATCCTCACACTGCCATCCCTGAAGCAGGGAGCTTTCTAATGGTTTCATTGTTCTACATCAGGGGTCAGTAAACTTTTTCTGTAAAGGGCCAGAGAGTAAATACAGGGTGGGGCAAAGGTAGGTTTACAGTTGTTTGTATGGGAAATAATACAATAATTAATAAATAATATAAGAATAAATTCTATGTTTAATGTACTCACAACTGTAAACCTACTTTTGCCCCATGCTGTATTTTAGGCTTTGCAGGTCATAAAATTTCTGTCACAACTACTCAACTCTGCTGCTATAGCATGAAAGTAGCCATAGACGATAGGTCAACAAAAGGGCATGACTATGTTCCAATAAAACTTTCTATATAAAAACAGGGCAGCTTTGGCCTGTGAGCTGCAGTTCGCCAAACCCTGCTCTAGAGGACAACCAGCCAACTATCAGGGACTGTTAACTTTTCATTTTAAGCTCCAATGCATCAATCTCTGCCTTTCTTCTTGTCCTGGTCTAGGTTTATAGACTCAGACTTGGGGTGATGGGTTCCCTCTACCTCCTGGCTCTTCACTATAAAATAAGCTCAGTCAGTTTTTAGTATTAACACATTGCACTCATTTTTTGCCTTTGCCCTTTCATTCTCATACTGTACTTATCTAAATCCTAGCTTCAAGGTCAAGCTTAAAGTCACATCTTTTTAAAGCCTATCTCAACTTGCCTGGCCCTTAATGATCATCCTTTCTTCTTTAGCAGTATTATTTCTATTACTTAAGTATTATCTTGTATTATTATTATTATTTTTAAATATATCTTTATTGATTTCAGAGAGAGGAAAGGAGAGGGGGAGAGAGAGACAGAAACATCAACGATGAGTCATTGATCAGCTGCAGCCCGCAACCCGGGCATGTGCCCTGACTGGGAATCGAACCCCTATTGCCTGGATCCTAGGTCGATGCTCAACCGCTGAGCCACGCCCGGCCGGGCTGTATTAATTCATCTTTGTATGTGCACATCCTGTCTCTCCAACTAGACCATAAGTCCTCAACGGATCTGACCATGACTTATGCCCATTTGTTTCCTTGTGCTCATCCAGGTGATCTAAACCAGATTAGACACTTAGATGGCTGCTGCTGCTGATGAAATATACTGAGAGGGCTCCTGTTTAAGGCAGCTTTGTTAGGAAATGAAAAAAAAATCTTAAGATAGTCTCTGGAATATTGTTTTTTTATAAGACAAAAATCGCTTATTAAGAATAAATTTGCATTTTGTGACGATTTTTAGATTATAAATACAAGCCAAAGAGTGTTTGACAAATTCTTTTTAATGTAAATCGGCATTTGCCTTATATAGTTACGATGAATGAAAATCTTCCCTTAAGAAATCCAGGTGCAAGAGATTGCCCTTTTTGACTCAAGACAATTGTGTACGTAGTTCTAGATATGAGGTATATTGGTGTTCCTAGGATATTTAAAATCAGATTAGAGAAAATGCATAGTAGTGTTCAAGTGGGTAGATGCAGCTTTCAGAGAAGAACATAGCTTTACCTACTGATGCTAAAAATGCCAGAGGCTCTTATTTATGTCAGTTCACACACTGCCTGTGTCCCATGAATACTGTTTATTTGTACCCTGAATTACTTCCTCTAATATTTACTTTAGCCTATTTTTTTCTGTAAAAGAACTTTGGTGGTGGTGGTGGTGGAGGTAGTTGGGAACAGGAGGAGATGGGAAGTAAAAGGCATACTCAGAGACATTTCCCCAAGATTTAACAGTTAACTATACATACTAATATTCCTTCCTTGCTGCTGATAATATTGTGATCTAGTTCTATTTCAACAGTCAGTTGCTATGTGGAAGGGACTTAGACTGGTCCAACATTAAAAAAAGTTACAGAAGCAGTTTTATGTAAAATTTAGGATTATATCCTAAACCCAGAATCTTCTTACTGGCATTGCTATTAACTTCTTGCCATGTCAGTCTTTGATCCTTTGAGTTTGTTTATTCATATCCGGAATCAAGAATAACACTTCCTAGATACTATTAAGACAGTGATTTATTACAAATTATAGAACATTATTACTAGTGTATTAAAACCATGTAATAAACATAGTATCATACTTTAAATAAGTGTCATGATCAGTGTCACTCAGGAAATTAAAATCTGGATGTAGTACATAATTCAATGACAGTCTATTCCATGCAGTACTGTGTAGTGGTTAAGGGTCAGATAGCTTTGGGTTCTACGAGGGTCAGATAGCCTTGGGTTCCATGTCCAGTTCTGCCCCTAATTCACCTTATGATGATCCTGAGTAATTTAACCTTGCCTTCTGTAAGATAGTTATAATATATACCTGATAGAATTTTGGAGGATTACATGGAATAATGTGTATGAATGAAGTGATCTGCACAGCGGCCACTCACAGTAAACTCTCAATAAAGAGTAACATTATTATGTGCATAACACCAGATTGTGGGGAAGATATAAGCCCTGAGGGAGCTTATTTAAAAGAGACTTAAATGCATATTTAGAACACATAAATAATTATAATAAATATTAGGTAAATACTAAAACAGGAATAAAGTACACTGGAAATTCAGGAGAGAGCGGTCACATAGAGATGATATTTGAAATGGGTTTTAAAGATGGGATAAGAGTTCACTGGAAAGAGACTGGAGGAAGACAAGAATATGAATGAGGGAACGGCATCTACATGAAGGACATCCCATGGCTAACTGCTGTAGGGGATACAGTGAGAGAAGGCTTAAAAATTTGGCTATGCCAGGCCTTAACTGTCAGGGTGAAGAGTCTGGTCTGTATTTAGTAGGTAATGGATGGAGACTGAGGTATTGTGGAAATAAGACTGATGGGTACTACATATTTGGTAGCTTGATTTGAAATCCATTATATAGGATGTAGTGGAATTTTTTTTCAAGCATCTTCCTCAAGGATAGTTTATTCCCTGGAGCCCTGAAAGCCTAGAATCATACATGACTTACCTCTTTGAACGAGGTAATCCTGTTGGTCGGGGTCACTGGTTCTGGCCCCATGACGGCTCTGCATTTCCATCAAGGACTGCCTACTGGGATTAAAAGCAACACTCTATGTGATGTTCTAAAACCCTGAAATATGACAACATTAAGCACACATATTCAGCAGAACTAGAAAAAAAAAAAGCTGAACTACGATGCCAAGGTGCATAGAAATCAGAACTTAAGACTAACTTGAGTTGTAAATATTATTGGTACTAGGACACGATATAGTAAAAGTAAATAACAAGATTTTTTAAAAAATCAATTAGGAAATAACCAAATTGTCAATTGATAGGGAACTGGATTAAAAAAAAGTGGTATATTTCTAACGAAACACTACAAAGCAATTAAACAGAATGAATTAAATCTGCACATATATACATATAATTCAAAAATCACAGTGTTATGTAAAGCAAGTTGCAAAACAATATTTACGCACAGAGAAATTAGTGTTATTATATAGATGTGTATATATGTAAAAATATAAAACGGGTAGGGATGCTACCCACCAAATTCCAGGCAGTATGGAGAAGGGGAGAGAGATGTAATGAGGGCGGGGAACAAAAAAGAGTTGAACCTCATCTACAACTCCTTTTTTCTTTTAATAAAAATATACTTGAAGCAAATAAAAGAAATATTGGTAAATGTCAATTCTGGATGGGGTACGTATTGGTATGTATTTTAATCTCTGTATTTTTCTATTTCTATATATTTCAAATTTTTCTCAAAATGAAAATTTAAAGGACAGAAGTAATTTTAGCAGTATATATTACAGAATTATTTAAAGTATTAGGACATCCATGACAATGGCAAGATATGACCTTGAAACTCAATGTCATGTTTTTATAGCTAATGTAAAAGCAAAGAACTTGATCAGGTTTCCACAAAACACTGCCAAGCCTTGTAAGCCAAAGTAAGCTATAGGAACCCAATCAAGTGAAGTGTACCCAGAGATTCTTATAGCTCAAATTAGGAACCATCTTTGACAGGTCCCACACTGAAATGTGCTCTAAGTCTTCCCCTCACCTTACCTGCCTCCATCTTCAAAAACATTATCATCTTTCAGCAAAACTGCCAGCTGCAATGCCAGTTGCTCCTTTTCTTCATGAATCTTCTCTCTTGCTGCTCTTTCAGCATGAAAGTCGGAACAGTAAACCTCCATCTGTTAGAGGAAGAAAAAGAGAGCAGTTACTACCTAGCTGATGTGGATTCTCTACAGCTCACCTGTTGAGGTGAAGAGGCAGTGCTGCAGCCTGTGATATGCTTTCTAAATGACAGGAACATGTTCCTGCTAGAAACCAGTAGTAGTGACCATGACTGTCCAACTACCTTCAAGTAGAAGGCACAAGTTGTGTATGTGAGTGCACTTTAAACAATTAGAACCCAGCAATTACACTGCTATAGGTGGTTTAAGTACTGTATATACCATCAATTCAGTAAAATTCTCTGGTCTCTTTTTAAAAAATAATATTCAGAATAGCTTAACATAGTAAATGGTTTATTTACTCTGTCAGGTATATTTATGAAGGCTGGCCTTAAGTTAAATTTAAAATAATAATAAATAGATGCTATTTATTGAATTCTAAATGTGTGAAGTTCTATGTTGACTATCTTATTTCACCTTATTGAAAATCCTGGGAATGTAAAATGGCTATGCTCATTTCATATTACAAGTTTAATAGCTCTTAATCTTGGGGAACTTAGTTAAGAGGTCAAACCAGCATTTGAACTCACATTGAAGCCCATATACCATAGACTCTTCCATATACCACATCGTTTCCCACAGTGGTAGCCAGCCTCCATGATGGTGCCAGTGATCCTCACCTCTTGGTATTCATAACCTCATGTATCCCTTCCCACAATGAATAGAATACTGCAGGAGTGATGGAGTGTGGCTTCTGAGACTAGGTCATAAAAGACACTCTGGCTTCTGCCTGTTCTCACCTGGATCACTTGCTCTGGGGGAAGCTAGCTGACATCATGAAGTGCTGAAGCAGCCATGTGGAAAGGCCCATATGGTGAGGAACTGAGGCCTCCTACCCACAGCCATGTGAGTGACCCATCTTGGAAATGGATCTTCCTTTTCAAGTGCAGCCTCATAAGAAATCCTGAGCCAGAATCACTCTACTAAGCTGTTCCTGGATTCCTGGCTTATAGAAAGTGTGTAAGATAACAAGCGCTTATTGTTTTAGCTTCTAAGTCTGGAGTGTAATTTGTTACCTAGAAATAGATAAATATTATTGAACTACTTAGTAGTGAATTGAGCATTATTCTAATACCCAATTTTTAACTTGCTATATTTAAAGTTAGGTTTTTTCTTTTCAAATTTAGGGGTTCTAGGATATAAATTTTAATCCATTACTTTAAAAAGTAAAATTAATAAAATTTTAAATATTCTATCACAATTGTAGTTAAAAAAAGAAAGCATGTAATAAAGAGATCTTTATAAAGGAGTTCCTGCCATTTACGAGTAATCCAAAATTTTATGGTATTACTGATGAATCATGGGCTTTTTTGAGTCAGACCTAAATTCGAGTTAGAGTCTTGAATTTAGGTTTGAGCCAGTGAAAACTGGGTCTTTGTTTTGTCAATTCCTATATCCCCAGCAGTGAGAACAGTGCTTGACATATAGGAACTCAAAAAGAGACTTGTTGAATGAATGAACAAGAATATTCATCAAAACAAAACAAATGTCTGTGTACAGAATGTGGCAGAAGTACATGACTACAGTATCATGAGGTTCCCAAATAAAGGAAACACTATCTGTTCCTGTAGAAATAAAATGAAGCCCTAAGTCCATTCAACCACCTCCGTATTTCACTGAGTCAGCCACTCTGGGCAGCTGATAATGAGTATATAGGGAATAATAAACTGTTAACATTGTTATATTAAAAATAATCTGTTTATCAGGTTGGAAAACATTTTAAAGAATGATGCAAGCATGTGGAGAAATAGATCTCTCATCTACTTTTGGTGAGAGAATAATTTTGGTTGTGCATTTTTGGAAACTAACTTGGTAATACTTATTTAACCTAAGAATAGGCATACCCAAAGACCCAACCATTCCACTTCTATATCTTCAGATTCTACACGTGCACAAAGACATACAAGAATGTTCAGTTTAGCATTACTGATAATAGCAAAAATATTGGTACATCCTATATGTCTATCAAGAGAGGGCTGGTTAAATCTATCATGGTCATGCACATGGAGGAACACTAGGCAGCCATTAAAAAAATAACACATGGTTATGAGTAATAACAAGTAGATATATCATGAGTAAAAATGTTGTAGTACAAAAGGTATAGATAGTGTGATCCCATTTTAATTAAGCAAACAAATAAACAAAATAAAAACAGAATAGACTTAACTACACCCTCACCAAAATGGAATTTGGGGCAGTTGGATTTCCCTTTCTACTTTAGTCATTTCTCTATAGTCTAAAATTCTATTTTATACTGAGTAATATTGTTTAACTCAAAAATAAAAATATTTTAGTACCTACTAATCCTAAAACCACCTCTGAGATAGATCTTTGGTTACTTAGAAAGAAAAAGGTTTTCACCCCATTTTTTATGATTTTTAAATCTCAGGCAGGATGTATTCTCACTCATAAATTCTCTTCCAAGTACTCCATCTAACAGTCACTAGAGTAGGCCAAAACAGTCACAACAAGCCAATTGTACACAAATTCTTTCAGAGAATAAAAGAAGAAATGTATCTTAACTTGATTTTATAAGACCTGTGAAACCCTGATATCAAAACCTGACAAGTACATTAGCAAAAGGAAAATTCTAGACCAAGCTTCCTTAAGAATATAGATACAAAAATCCTAAATAAAATATGAGCAAACCAAATTTGGCAATATATACATAGGATAAGAAATGCAGAGTTTAATATTTAAGAACTCAGTGTGACTCATCACATTAATAAATTAAGGGAAAAAGCATATATTTACCTAATTATATCATTATGTAACATTTCTTACATAAAATTCAACATCTACTCAAAATAAAAAATTTTGGCAAACAAGGATAGAAGGAAATTTTGTAAATCTGATAAGTGATATCTACAAAAAGCCTATAGCAAACATCACACACTTAATAGTGAAATGTTGAAAGCATTTCCTCTGAGACTAGGAGGAAGACATCTCCATAGATATAACATTACACTGGGATCCCAGCCACTACAATAAGGCAAGAAAAAGAAACAAAAAGTAGAAAGACTGGAAAGGAAAAAAACCAAAACACCCTATCATTATTCAAATGATATCATGAATATACAAAGTCCAAAAAAGTTCAGAAATATTAGAATTAAAATGTGAGTTGAACAAGTTTACTATATACAAAGTCAATATACGAAAATCAATTGTATTTCTATTTAACAGCAACCCTTGGAAAATGGAATTTTTAAAAAGATGCTATTTAGGGGATTTCAAGATGGTGGCGGATTGAGTGAAACTACACTGACACTCTCCCAGGACCAAACTGGAATTACAACTAAAATATAGAAAAACCTTCTTGAATAATCAACTACAACTGAAGACTAGCTGGAAAGAACCCTCCTAATCAAGGATGAAAAGAGGAGACCACATAGAAACTGGGCTTGGAAAAGCAGACCTTGGTGTGCTTCTTAGTCCTGTCCAAATACACCCAGCCCCAGCAAGGGAACCACAAGTTGTGAAGTGCAGGCTTCTTCAAACAGGGTATTCAAGGCCAGTCACAAACAGCGTCTGACATTGGCCTGCACCAGAGACCATCCCAAACACTGGGAGTCCTAGCAGATCTACCTAATACATAGAAAAAATTCAACAGGCAGCCAAAATGGGGAGACGAAAAATAAGCCCCAAATGAAAGAACAAGAGAATTCTCCAGAAGAAGAGCTAAATGAAATGGAGATAAGCAATCCATCAGATAGAGCTCAGAATACTGACCATAAGGATGCTCAACAGCATAAGAAAAGAAATAGAAACTATGAAGGAAATTAAGAATGACATAGTAGAAATTAAAAAAAACACTGGAAGGAATAAACAGCAGATTAGGATCAGATCAGCGAATTAGAAGACAGGGTAGAAAAAAATCAATCAGAGACCCAAAAAGAAAAAACAATTAAAAAACAGGAGAACCGGTTAAGGGAGGTGTGGTACAACATGAAATGTAACAATATTCTCATCATAGGAGTGCCAGAAGAGGTCAAAAGTAAGCAACGGTTAGATAACCCGTTTGAAGAAATAATGGCAGAAAACTTCCCTAGCCTGGTCAAGGAAAAAGTCACACAAGTTCTGGAGGCACAGAGAGTCCCAAGCAAGAAGAATTCAAAGAGGCCTACCACCTGACACATAATTAAAATGCCAAAAATTCAAGACAAAGAGAGGATCTTAAAGGCAGCAAGAAAAAGCAATATGTTACCTACAAAGGAGCTCCCATAAGGCTATCAGCTGATTTCTCATTAGAAACTCTACAGGCCAGAAGGGAATGGCATGAAGTATTCAAGGTAATGCAAAACAAGTATCTGAAACCAAGACTACTCTATCCAGCAAGGTTATTATTCAGATTAGATGGTGAAATAAAGAGCTTCCCAGACAAAAAAAGGATAAAGGAGTTTATCACCACCAAACCAGCATTACAAGAAATGTTAAAGGGACTGAGGTAATAAGTTGAAACAGAAAGAGAAACATAGGCATAAAGAAATAAAATAGCAATAAGTAAGCACCTATCAATAATAACCTTAAATATAAATGGATTAAAAAAACACAACTTCTGGAGGACTTTAAGGGAGACATCAACAGCAATACAGTCATAGTAGGGGACTTTAACACCCCACTTACTTTACTGGATAGATCTTCCAGACAAAAAAATCAACAAGGAAACAATGACTCTAAATGAAACACTAGATCAGATGGAGTTAATTGACATAGAACATTTCATCCCAAAGCTGCAGAATAGGCATTCTCCTCAGGTGCACATGGGACATTCTCAAAGATAGACCCCATGTTAGGACACAAAACAAGTCTCTACAAATTGATGAAGACTGAAATCATATCAAGCATCTTCTTGGACATTTACACCATGGATACTATGCAGCTGTAAAAATGAAGGATGCCTTACCCTTTGAAACAGCATGGTGGGACCTGGAGAGTAGTATGCTAAGTGAAATAAGCCAGTCAGAGAAAGACAAGTATCTTACATGATCTTACTCATATGTGGAATCTAATGAACAAAATAAACCGATGAACAAAATAGAGCCAGAGACATAGAAGCATGGAAGAGACTGCAGAATCTCAGAGGGAAGGCAGGGGGTGGGTGGGTGGAGAGATTAACCTAAGAATTTTATGCATATATGCATAACCCATGGACCCAGACAACAGTGTGGTAAAGGCCTGGGGGGAGCGGTGCAGGGAGGAAGGGATCAATGGGGGAAAAAGGGGACATTTGTAATAGTTTCAACAATAAAAGATAAATTTTTTAAAAAAAAGAAATAAAAAGATGCTATTTATAATAGTATCACAGAAATATAAAATATCTAGGAATAATCTAATAAAAGAACAAAAATCTCTACTAAGAAGATTAAAAACATTACTGAGTAGAATTAAAGATGAGATGCCATATTCATGGGTTGGAAGAGTTAATGTTGTAAAGATGTCAGTTATCTCCAAATTGATTAATATAATTTAATATAATTCCATTCAAAACCCCAGTTGACTTTTCCGTGTGTATGGAAAATATCAAGTAGTTTCTAAAATTTATATGAAAATGAAAAAGGGAAGGAAGACCTAAAGTCCTCTTAAAGAATATCACTGAGGTAGGAAGACTTATTCTACCAGAATTCAAAACTTTTGATGCTTTATAATAAGTCAAGACAGTATGGTACCAGAGCAAGGATATATAAATATCTCAGTGGAACAGTATAGAGTCCAGAAATAGGCCCATGGACACAACATATGGCAAAGAGGGTAGCAGAGTACTTTAAAAAATGCCGTTTTAAATAAATAGTGCCATGTCAACAGGATATTCATATAGAAAAAATATTTTTTACCCTTATCTCCACATAGAAAAGCTAATTTCAGGTGGTTGCTAGATCTTAATGTGAAAGGCAAAACAATGAAACTTTCAGAAGACACTATAGGAGAATATCTTCATGGCCTTGAGATGCTGAAAGTTTTTTAAATAGGCCACAAAAAGTATTAATCATAAATGAAAAAACTGTTAAGTTGGACTATAATAACAAATGAACTTTTTGTTTATCAAGAGATACCTTCACAAGAGTGAAAAGGCAAATCACAGAGTGAAAAAATCTGCAACAAATATAAAGAACTCCTATAAAAATTAAGAAAAAGCCAGCAAACCAGAAGAAAAATAGGCAAAGAACTGATCAAGTACTTCATAATAGGGGATACCTAGATGGCCAGTAAACATTTGAAAAAGTACTCAATCTTATAAGCCATCAAAGAAATTCAAAGTAAATTAGACATCATTATATACCCACCAGAATGCTTAAAAATAAAAGTAAAGACACTGATATACAAGTATGAGTACTGATAATACTATTGATGGGAGCAAAAATTGGTACAACCGCTGTGGAAAACTGTGACATTATCTATTAAAACTCAGTACATGCATACTCTATGAAACCACAATTCCAATCCTAGGTGTGTATCAACAGACATGAATGCACAGGTGAACAAAGAGACACGCACAAGAATGCCACAGACACACACAAGAATGTCACAGTAACAATTATAATGCTGCAAACTGGAAATAATACAACTATCAACTATAGAGTGGATAACTTCATTGAGCGATACACTTAAAAGTTTGGTGCACTTTCCACATGTGATATACTTCAATGAAAAAGTATTAGAAAATATTGATGGAAATAATATAAAATAAAATAAAACATATTTTAAACAACATCACTTTCCCATCTGAGAATATAAGTAGGGTTGGCTTCACTCAGCTCATGTTTCAAAATGTAGCTTACCTGTGCCCTAAGAACTGTCATGGTTTCCAGGTCCTCCTCCTGCTTGGCAATGGTCTGTTTCATCTCATCCATTTGAAGCTGCTTGGAAGCCAGGGCCTTTTCTGCCAGTTCCAGTTTTTCATTTAGTTCCTGCAGTACCACCTTGTCCACTTTTTCTGACTGTAAAAGGCAAGTTTATTCTAGAAATGGTTTTCAAATAACCCAATCTATTTTAGATAAAGGTTTATTTTTTAAATGATTGGCTCTAAGCTGTTTTGTTAATTAGCAATGATAACTTACTTGGAAAGCTGTATTCATTTAACTTACGGCTTGCAAATAATAATTTTCTAATTTAAAACAATAATAAAAAAAAAGAAAAACACCAAAGTAAGAGAAATTATAACCTCGATCTCAGTGAGGTGGTAACTTACTAACACTGCTACTTTTTCATTCACATAACTCTTACTTTGTGAAGTCAGTGGAAAGGGGAAAAATGTTTAAATTAAAAATGTACTAGATCCTACAGAGGAACAATAACCTATTAAAAAATAAATTAAAAACAAAAAGTATATTTATAAGGATATGAACTCAAAGACCCCTTCTAATTCAACGCTTCCATCATCTTTATCTATTTATTCCAACTTTATTGAGGTAAAATTGACAAAATTATAAGATATTCAAAATGTACAATGTGATGATTTAAAATATGTATACATTCTGAAAGGTTAATAAACACATTTGTCACCTTTCATATCTATCCATAGTGTTAAAATTATCATACCATGCTGGGCATTACTACTAAGTTAAGTTGTAGCCCAGTAAATCCAGAGTCTCAAGTTCCTAGCCTTGAAATAGTTCCATTCATTAGACGGCCTCTCCAACTCCAGCAAGCTGTATCACTATGCACTACTCACAGAGCTCATGCTCTTAGCTCTCCTACAAACCCACCCACTGTGAGAAATGCTAAAAGTTTACTCCCTGACTGTAGGACATTTAGCACCACCTTTGTACTCAAAGCACATTATATAGGCATACCTCATTTTATTGCACTTGGCTTTAAAGTGCTTTGTTTTTTACAAATTGAAGGCAGGCCCTACACCAGCAGAGATTACAACTCGCTAAAGGCTCAGATAATGGTTAACATTTTTTAGCAATAAAGTATTTTTTCAATTAAGTACGTATATTTTTTTAGACATAATGCTAATGCACACTTAATAAACTATAGTGTAGTATAAACATAACTTTTATATACCCTTGGAAACGAAAAAATTCAAGTGACTTGCTTTATTGCAGTGGTCTGAAACTGAACACACAATATCTCTGAGGTATGCCTGTACATACATGGGACATCAGAAGTTATAAGCACTTAGACACAAGAAATCAATTGTAAACTGAAAAACAACCTTTGAAAGCAGATTCAGTTAAAGATCAACGCAACTACTTTACATATAAAATGTTTAATAGTTTCCCTCCCTTACTAGGCTATCAAAGTAATTTTTTCTATGAGTACCTCTTTCCGTTTTAGTTCTTCAACTGTTTTCAATACATTACTGTATTCTTGAAGAAGCTTGTCATGTGTCAACTGTAGAACAGCAAATTTGGACCTGTTTAAAAGGAAATTGAGAAATGGAATCTTGGAGAAAATATAGGAACTTACAGTCTTGCCTCCAACCTTCTTCTGAACACCCAAGTAGCAAAATCTTTTCTCCTCTTTTTTTTTTTTTTAAAGTATGTTTTTATTGATTTCTTTTTTAGAGAAAGAGGAAGGGGGAGAGAGAGAAACATTGATTGGTTGCCTTCGGTACACACCCCGACTGGGGACCAAACCACTGACCTTTCAGTCCAAGGGACAAGGCTCAACCAACTGAGCCACACTGGTTAGGGCTCTTTTCTCCTACTTTTACCATCCTACCACCTACAGGCATTTTCTTACTTTCACAGAAAACAATTTTTTCCAAAAAGTCGAAATAAGATTACAAGTAATTTTCATAATTTTGTCATAATAAAACTTAAATTTTATCTCCTCAAGAAAAGTCTCCTAGTACTCCTTCAAATAAATGAGAAAACATGTAAATGTACTCTCAAATTCTAATTCTAATCTGTATAAAAGAGCCATTCTATCTTCTCTGCGCAAGGAGCCATTCAGCACTGCGCACTCACTTTTCCTCTTCTGTTCTCGCTTGCTCCATTTTGATTTCTGATTTCAGGCTTTCCACTTGTAGCTCTAGCTTTTTGTTATTATAAACAAGCTCTTGCTTTTCATTCAGCTCTGATGGGGTTGCAGAATTTTTTCTTTCAAGGGCCTGACATCTAAGAAAGAAAAAAATATCATGAGGATAAACAATGCTCCATTTTTCAGTAGTTTTTAAAAAAATCCAAAGATTATACAGCAAATAAAAAGAATTTGGGGATTGCATTTTTCAAAGATTTAACAGTACAAAGTAAAATACTTTAACCCCCTTGCTGCTTTACCGGAAGCAAGTAGTATTTCTGAACCTTCTGCCTATACGTAAAAAAGTACAGATTTTGTTTTGTAAAAAAATTTACATATTTCTGAACCCTTATGCCTAACATAAAAAAGCACAGATATAAGATCACACAAGCTACTGCCCACCCGGAATAATTCTGTTAAGTAGTCATGCAAATATATTTTTGTTTTTCAGTTACAGACCAGAGCAGTAAATTGGCTACAGATGCCTCTCATACAGTGATCCATGGATATCTTTTGTATTTTAAAAAGTGACAGGTTCTGTTAAACACAACGACTATGACTTCTGACAAAGATTCAACAGGGGAAAAGGAAGTACCCTACGTCCTCAGAAAGATCAGAAAAAGAATTTCAATGTAATAATAGCAAATATGAACTAGTGATAATTATGTGCAAGGCATCAATGCCAAGCATGCTAAACATGATGTCACTTAATACATTATGATATAGGAATTATGACATACATTTTACAAATAATAAAACTGAGGCTTAGAGAGGTTAAATAAATATTTTGCCCAAGGTTAATACCACAATTAAGTCGCAGGTCCATATTTCAACCTAGGTCTGTATGGCCAAAATCCTTAGCTATAACTGCCATGCTGTTCCAGCCTTGGAAAGTGTAACTCCAAGGAAACATATGCTTGTACATTATGCTGGAAATATGTTTGCCAACTAAGCCAAAAGAACAGCATCAGCTTAGCTTTCTTAAATTTTGGGATAACTTCTTATATCAAGAGAAATCAGCTAATGCAAAATTCTCAATTTATATATTAGCCTTTATGATTAATTGAAGTGAAAATTTTTTCCTAAATAAGTCTCACTCAAGTTCTTGTTATTTGCAGCTTTCTTTTATGTTTGTTCACATTACTGCTGTCAGCTCACGTAAGTCATGTAAATGCAGCTCACTGCTTTTTATGGGTCTTCATATAGGCTAGTATACTTAACAAATGCCCCCAGACAGCAGAATCAGTCCTCAGGCCCCACTCCCCCACATTACTACAAGTATTTCATGTTTATATATTAACCTGTACATTAACCTGAACATTAGTGTTTTCTGAATTCATATTTTAATTAGGTCTCTATTTTAGTTTGGTCAGTAACACAATAACAAAACTATGTTTTTATATAGTAATATATTTTATAAAAATGTACACTTTTTGAAGGATGATAAAATTCATCTCTCATTCTTACTTTTCTTGAAGTCTTTTCTTCATTAGCTCAGCTTCACTAAGTTTCATATGAGCCTCTTGAAGCTCCTTAAATAGGGTTGTCACCTGAAGGTTCAAGGCTTCCACTTCACTTCCAACCTATCATACAGGAAATCCCAAACATACATACGTGATTTGCATCAGAGATTAAATGCACCTCTTTGTGAGGAAACAGTGTGAACCATCAGTGTCCAGTTAAGACATGTGAATTCATTAAATTTTTTACAATGAATGCCCCAAATATCTTGTATGAAAAAAAAATGTTTTGGATACAACTCTGTTTCCTCATAGAACACTAATAGATCAACTGGGATGTACTCATGATAATAACTTTATCATAATTAAAATTAATCCTGATCATGGTTCAGGGGATCACAGATCACAGTGGTGTCAAAACACAATCTAATTTATCCAGTTAGCAACTCAAACCCATGTTTCTGGCTGATTTATGTTCCTAGCTTACTCAACTATTTTCTCTGTACCACATTTTTCCTGGCAGCTCTAGAATTTTTGCCAGTGAGTTTTATGGTGCCTTGGAAGTCTCAGTACTTCTTTCTCTATTATTGGTTGTCAAATTAGTTTTAGTTAACTGGGTACTATTAATCACAGGTTGTCTCTTCATCTCAATTTTTAAAATGTTCTCTATTTTCTAGAAAGTAGGAGTCTTAGCGCAGAGCATGGCATACAGTAGGCATTCAATATATATTTGTTAAATAAATGAATTAGCTAAATTGCATGGGCTATTGTGGCTCTTACAACTTCCTGGCTTCATCAACTTTCTCTAGGTTTAAGACTATGTTTGCAGACTCCAAGACAGTCAATGAGTTGCCATGAAATAATGACTATATAAGCATGAACCTATCTCATGTAAATTATTTTATTTAAACTAGTAGTGGGACAGAACCAAGATCTTTCACTTCTATTCAAGTTTCTGAGTCATACCCTCAAATGATCTCATTATAAAGTAGGCAACATTCCTTTCTCATTTAGCTGGCCTGTTCACTTAGGAATTTAGGAGAGGAAGTAAGTCAAGAAGAGGTAGAAGAGTGATTTCCTAAAATCACGAGGATAGGAATACATCTCACTACAACTTACAATGAATTAAATTCAAATTAGGACAAGGAAATATGACAGAAAAAGAAAATATATTCAACATTAAAATTATTTCTATATTTCTATAGCTAATAACACATCACAAGATTTGACTCCAGGTTCTATACTACTCTTATGTCTGTCATGGGTATGCGGGCAGTCTTACAATCTGAGTACCCACAGTTTCTGTGGCTTTTTCCTCTTCTTTCTTTTCTTCTGTGCTCTCTTCTGTCTGGGTCTCAATCTCAGAACGATCATTGGCTTTCTTTTCAAAATCTGAAATTCTAAAAAATTACAGAACATAGGAAAATTACTTTATCTTTGGCTTCAAAAGGAATAACAACTGCAGAAGTACCAAAAAGAACATTGTTCAAAATTTAGATAAAGGATCAGGGGTCTTCAAAATCTCTTTGCATTCAATATATTAGCTTTGTTTTACCTTTCATCCTAAAATTGGCTAGAACTGATTTAAGAGGTGAATGCACATAGAGGTAAAAGGTGTAACTCATCCCAAAGACTGGAAAACACTGCCTCTTTTCACGTCGCTGACATAAACACAAATATTTTAAAAATTTGTGGTTTTGTGTGTGTACACATGTGCATGCTTGTGTGTTATGTGAGTGTGTGTGTCCTTTATAAGGATTCAGCAGAGAAGGAAATACTTCATTTTTGGACCCATCTAAGTTTAGAAGTCCCTAAAAACAAACAAATGCAGCAACATTCTTCCATTGAATCATAATCACATGAAAGCTATCCCAATAAAAATGAAATAGAGACTTGTGGTTAAAGATGGTAGATTGAATAATATGCATGTAATTCTTTGCTCACCTCAAACCCCACTAAAATGACTTTTAAAAAGCCATATACTACAAAAACAAAGAGGGAGAAGAATAATAGTAAGATTTAGGAAGCATAGGTGTGAGTGGGAACTTTAGATCCAAAAAGTCTGGATCTGAAGCCAACAGAGCCAAGACAGCTCGATTTGCACTGTGGGATCCAAAAGGCTCAGGAGTTGGTGACAACAGGTACCTCTGGACATGGGGATAAAGGTGGGGTATGTTTAAGGAAGACTAGAAGATAGTAAAATAAAGGGACCCTTCATTAATCAGAGTTGAGGGCTTGGATTTCCTACTGGAAAGAGGGGAGATTACACAGAGAATACTGAGACCCACAGTCTTCTACTTATCATAAGAATCCTGGTATCCCTCTAGGCAGGAAACTGGAAGAGTTTCCTCTGGAGTATGAGACCAGGAGGAAGGAAAAGATTTAAAGTTTCTGACATGGGGTTCCCCAAGGAAATTTCCCAGCCAGATCTCCCTTCATGTGCATACAGTTAGCTTCTAATTCCCTCTCTTACATCTGATCAGACAGCCAAGATTACCAGACATTTGAGGAAAATCTTAAACTGAAACAGAAAAAGTAAACAATAACAAAAAGCAACTTGCTGAGATTAGAATATGCTGGAGTGGGGTTGGAACTTCCAAAGAATTTAATACACAGGAAACATTACAACCATAACAAAACGCAACATTATAAAAAAGGAACATTCAAAGGACCACTCCCTCCCTCCAAAAAGGAAGATGAAAGTTGATCAAATGTATCAGAAAGGAGAAGAAAGAGGGAAGGAAGAGGAACAGAGTTAAGACAATTAGAGGATTTGTCCAAGAGGTCCAATTCATACTGAGTGGTACTAGAAAGAGAGAACAGAAAAAAAATGAGGATAAGAGAACATACCTAAATTAGTTCAAGACAATTTTTCAAGAACTTAAGAGCATGAGTTTGCAAAATGAAAGAGCCCAAATGTCCAGAACAAATGCATGAAAAACAGGCTTGCACCAAAGGACATGATAAGTTTCATTCCAGAGGATTAAGAATCAGATTACAATGGATTTCTCAGTAGTAATATTGGAAGCTATAATACAGTGAAGTAACACACTCAAAATTCAGAAGGAAAATTGTTTCCAGTATAGAATTTTATATCTAGCCAAACTATTCATAAAATATGAAGATAGATTTTCAGATATGCAGATCTTAGAAAATATACTCCCCATATATTCTTTTTTAGTAAATTAGTAGAGATGTGGTGAGCCCTATTTGAAAAAAAATTTTTTTCTTAAAGAGTAAGAAAAACATTGGATTCAGAGAACAGGTGGTCCAACACAGGGGAGCTGAAGGAATTCCACAGGATGATGGCAAAGGGAGATTCCAAGATAACTGAAATACAGCAGGCCCAGAAAGCAACCAGGCCAGACTCCAGGAGAAAAGTCTTCAAGAAGAGACAACTACTGGACATGTTTGAATGTAACTGACAGACTTCCTCACTAGGAAAGAGTAGGGGGAAAATAAGCAAAATTTAAAAAGGTAATTATGCATAGATGTAAAAAAATATATAAAAAAGGAAAAGTGGTCAAGGCATAGAGCATAGCTTAACTGAGAAATGTGTGAGTATGCATAATAATGTAAACACTGATTAGTGATCTAACTAAATTTCAATGTACTGTAAACAATTTCAGAGTTGGGCTGGGAGGGGAAAAAGGGTCTAGAAGCATATGTGTGTGGTGACCATGTGTACGGTGAAAGACAGTTAAATCTTCAACGTTCATAGTGGGAGGTCAATAGATTACGTTTAAATAGGGGGGACATTTTAGGTAGCAATTTAAGTCTAATATATGAAGGTAAATACCAAAAGAACCAGCTAAATGTGTTGAAAGTGGTTGTCTGGGAAGCAGGAAAAGGAGGTGAGAGGTTTGGTCAAGGAGCTGTTGTTTTTCACTAAGAAGCTTATAGAACAGCCAATTCTTTAAACTATATGAATGCAAAACTGATTTTAAAAAAGGAACTTAGTGGAGATAAAAAATAAAACAAATAATATTGGTATCTGTTGTAAATTGCTAAACCTAATTGGTACACAGATACTGTTCCCAGCTAAGCAAATATGTGGGTTAAGAGCCTATTGGTACAAGGTTGAAGGAGAGCCTTTATCACACCACTTACACACTTCAGCAGCGTTTTGACCTATATTTGAATTACAGCTTATCTTAATTTTCTAGGGCAAATTTTCCATCTTGCACTGACTTTTCCCTGCCACTCCTCCATTTTTCTGGACTACACTTCCTACACACTTACCTTCTCCTTACTGGCTGTCAGTTTAAGTTTGCTTAGAAAACACAAAAACGTGACATTAGTCTTGGTAAACAATTAAAGAGATATTTACTGTCCCCCCTGCCCACAAATCACCTAAAATTTTTCAAAATAAATTTTAGACTGTGTTTACCTGCTTCTAGTGATTAATGAAAATTGTTGAAGACTGACTTACTTATTTTGAGAAAAAAGACACAGAATGTGTTTTCATCATATCCTATATAGTGTGTAAATCAAGCCAGGTTGTTCACATATCATTGATTTATTTCTAGGTTGCAGTCCTACCTTAGCTAGGGAGAATCATTATTCTGATATCCACATAGATAATATTAATGTCAGCAACTAATCGCTGACTTGCTAGTTGTTAAATACTGAGGAAAGGCTGGCTCACAAAACAGAATTTTAATCCAAGTGAGAAAGGGACACTTTACTGGTGAAACATCCATCTCAAAGCAGGCCTGACTTTCTAATTGCCATCTGAAGAGCTATGCCTCTTAGCCTCCAGACATAAAGATTTAATTATTTAATTATTTTGAAAGCAGGAATTTTATATATCATATGAAATATCAGGATGTATAATTAGCAAGTTCCTAAGTTTAAACTTTTGCTGTTGTTGTTAATCCTCACACAAGGATATTTTTCCATTGCTTTTTAGAGACGGGGAGAGGGGAGAGGGGAGAGGGGAGAGGGAGAAACATCGATGTGAAAGAGACACATCAATTGGTTGCCTCCCGCATGTCAGGGCTGGGGATCAAACCTGCAACCCAGGTACATGCCCTTGACCAGGAATCAAACACACAGCAGCCTTCAGTGTGTGGGCTGATGCTCTAGCCACTGAACCACACTGGACAGGGCCTAAGTTTACACTTTTATTATTAAAGCTAATCATGTTATCGAAGTAAGGGTGAATTACTGGCTAAACGTGACATTTAGAATGGTTTACAGAACTTAGGAGAGGAAACATGCCCGAAATAAATGAACACACTGATTACTCATGAGTATTAAGGCATAATATTTTCCCTTTAAAATCAGCTATAATAAGATGGTGGCATACATAAATGCAGTATTCACATCCTCCTACAACCACATCAAAATTTCAACTAAACTACAGAACAACAATCATTCAAAACCATTTGAAATCTAGCTGAACAGAAGTCCTATAACTAAGGATATAAAGAAGCCACATCAAGAATGTAGGAGGGGCAGAGATGTGGAACTGGCTGGTCCCACACCCACATGTGGCAGATAAAAATCAGGAGGAATATCTAGGCTTCAGAGGTGCTCTCTGAGGAGCGAGGGGTTCCAGCCCCACACCAGGGTTCCAGTGCCAGGAAGAGAAGTCCCCTATAACTTCTGGTTGTAAAAACCAGCAGACTCACTTGCTCTGAGCTCCAGTGCTGGGTCAGTAGTTTAAAAGGCACAGGGACATATTGGAGGAACTGAAGTGTCTGGCAATGGGTAAGAGCTAGAGGGGCAGCTTTCTCCCTAGCGGAAGTACTGGCAAAGGCCATTATTCCTTTTCTGAGCCCTCCCCACACAGAACCAGCAGGTGGGAACCATATCTGAGCCTCCATCAACCTGACTATCACTGTTTGCTCGGCCCTGATGATCCCAAGGCCCTGGCCCCGCCCCCACCCAACTTGCAGGCCCACCCATGCTATTTCCAGTGGCTTTTCTATATAAATGGCCTGTCCTGGCTCATGCTTCAGACTGTCCTAAAATCTCTCAAACAAGCAGCATCTGGCCTCAGTGTGCACCGTATCTCCCACTACGTGGCCCCAGGCCTGGAAGTAGTGGCAGCTGGCCTTGGTTTGCAGCTTGGCCTCTCCTGGGCACTTCCAAGCCTAGTATAAGTAACGGCCATCTACAGATTGCTTTGTAGCTCATGCCAGATGGCTCTGGGCAGAACAAAGGCGGCAGCTGACCTTAGTCTGCACTTCCTGGGGGCAGGAGACCAGTGCACTTGGTGGACAGCTTCAAACCACACTGAAGCACCACCCAACCACCTCCACAATGACACACTCAAGGGGCTGATTCATTGGGCACCAGAGTCTTGCTGAAGTTAAGTCCTGCTCCATGGGGTCAGCCCCTACACAGCAGATTGCAACCAGTCCTAGCAGCCAATTGGCCTGGGGATATATCCCTCCCATTGACATGCCAATAGCAATTGGAAATCAATACTCAGCTACAACAGGAGGGTGTACTAGCCTACTTGGGGGGGACACACCTGGAGTGCCCAGTTCTGGTGAGTGGGGAGGCTGTGCCACTGGACCCTACAGGATACCTACTACATAAGGCCACTCTACCAACCCCTGGAGATAAACACAGGGAGGCTGCCAAAATGCGGAGACAAAGAAACATGTCCCAAATGAGAGAACAAAACAAAACTCCAGAAAAAAACTAAACAAAATGGAGACAAGCAATCTACCAGATGCAAAGTTCAAAGCACTGGTCACAGGATGTTCAATGAACTTAGGGGAAGAGTATATAAACTTAGTGAGAACTTCAACAAAAAGAAAGGAAATATAAAAATGGAACTAGAAAACATAAATAAGAACCCATCAGAAATAAAGAATACATTAACTGAAATAAAGAATATATTACAGGAAATCGACAGTGGAGTAGATGAAACATAGGATCAACTCAGAGATTTTGATGGTCAAAAAGCAGAAAATATCCAATCAGAACAGGAAAAAGAAAAAAGAATCCAAAAAAATGAGGATAGTACAAGGAGCCTCTGAGAAAACTTCCAGTGTAACAATATTTGCATCATAAGGATACCAGAAGGAGAAGAGAGGGAGCAAGGAATTGAAAACATACATTAAAAAATATTGACGGAAAACTTCCCTAACCTGGTGAAGGAAATTGATATAATATAAGTCCAGGAAGTGCTGAGAATCCCAAACAAGATGAACCTAAAGAAGCCCACACCAAGACACATAATAATGAAAATGCCAAAGGTTAGAAACAAAGAGAGAACCTTAAAAGCAGCAAGAGAAAAGTAGTTAATTATCTACAAGGGAGCTGTCAGCTGATTTCTCAACAGAAACTTTGCAGGTCAGAAAAGATTAGCGAGATATATTCAAAGTGATGAAAAGGAAGGACCTACAACCAAGATTACTCAGCAAAGCTGTCATTTAGAATTAAAGAACATATAAAGAGCTTCCCAGACAAGAAAATGCTAAGTAAGTTCATCACCATCAAACCAATATTACATGAAATGCTGAAGGGTCTTCTTTAAGAAGAAGAAAAAAAGATAAAACATTTTGAGGTTGCCAGACAGAAGTGGGGTTGAGGGGATGGGTGAGAAAGGTGAAAGGATTAAGAAGCACAAATTTGTTGTTACAGAATAGTCACAGGGATGTAAAGACAGCATAGGGAATGTAGTCAATAGTGTAATAACTATGCATGGTGTCAGATGGGTACGAGACTTTTTGGGATGATCACTTAGTAAGTTATATAATGTCTAAACACTGGGTTGTACAACCAAAACTAGTATAATATTGCATGTCAACTGTAATTGAAAAATAAAAACTTATTTAAAATAAAAAAATATGAGCTGCAATAATTAAGGTGTTAAAAGAATGCTTTTAAAAATGTATTTATCTGTGCATTATTTCTATGTTTTGGGATTTATCAAAAAAGCAGGAGAAATATTTTACTCCATTAGAATACAAGGTACTAGTCTCCTAGAAGTCAACCCCTATACTTTTCTAAGCAGTAGGATAAGGGATAAAAAGCTAGGATTTAGAGCCAGAAGGCCTTTTTCATCTTAGAAAAGAGCTGACAATCAAATAAGTCATTGAAAAAATGCTGATGTGTCTTCCATGTTAACCTCACTCTGAATAAATATGTTTCATATTTCAAGAACAGATATTCTGATAGTTAAAAATTTAAACTGCTTCAATTAGAAAGTGCTTCATATAGTGTTATAATTTTAAGGTCAATGAGCCATTTAAATGTCTGAGAGAACTGATTATATCATAGTACATTTATGATTAAATGTTGCAAACACTGGAACCCTAAAAATTTGCATAACCTCCCCCATGTCTTATATGATCTAGCACTTTGCATTTTTAAAAAGTGCATTCACACATAGGCATTCATTGACTTCATAACTCTATAAGATATATTTGACCCCAAACTGTGTATGTATGTGTTTGTGTGCAGTGTGTGTATACCACAGTCTGTAAGGAAAATATTTTCCTTACACTAAAACCAGGCAGATATCACAAGAACAGAAAACTACAGGCCAATATTGCTTATGAATACAGATGCAAAATCCTTAACAAAATACTAACAATCCAAGCCAGCAACATATAAAAAGGACTATATACCATAATCAAGTGTGATTTACCTAGGATGAAAAAGTTGGTTTAACATCTGAAAATCAATTAATGTAACATGATGTTAGTGAAGGTTTAAAAAAAAAAACATAGCCATCTCCATAGAAACATAAAAATTTATGTTTACATAAAAATTTAACATAATCTAAAACGCTTTCAAATAAAAATTGCAACAAACTAGAAATAGAAGGAAGTTTCTCAACATGGTAAAAGCATCTATGAAAAACCCACAACGAACAGTTATCATACTTAATGGTGAAAGTCTGAAAGTTTTCCCCCTAAGATTAGGAACAAGACAAGGATGTCTCCTCTCTCCACTTTTATTTAACACTGTACTGGAAATTCAAGCCACTGCAATCAGGCAAGAAAAAAATATCCTGGTTGGTAAGGAAGAAGCAAAACTATCTCTATTTGTAGATGACATGATCTTATATGTAGAAAACACTAAGGAATTCATTTAAAAAGTTATAAGTGTGTTCAGCAAGGTTATAAGCTACAAGATGAATATACAAAAATCAGTTGCATTTTTATACACTAGCAATTAATAATCCCAAAATAAAGAAAACAATTTCATGTATAATAGCACCAAAACACTAGAATATATAGACTACATTTTGAAAAAGAAGGATAAGATCTGTATGCTGAAAGCCATAAAACATCACTGAAAGAGATTAAAGGTGACCTAAATAAAAGGAAAGATACCCCATGTCCATGAACCAGAAGACTTAATATTGTTACGATGGCAGTGCTCCCTAAGTTGATCTCCAGAATCAATGCAAACCCTAACAAAATCCCAACTGGCTTTTTTCCTCCTAGAAATTAACAAACTTACCCTAAGTTTATATAGAAATACAAGGGACCCTGAATAGCCAAAACTATCTTTTAAAAGAAGAAAAAAGTTGGATGACTCACACTTCCTAATTTCAAAATTTACTACAAACTTATAGTAGTTGAGACAGTGTAGTACTGGCATAAGGATAGATATATAGATGAATGGAATAAAACTGAAGGTTTAGAAACTAATCTTTTCCTTTATGGTCAATTGATTTACTCTAACAGTACTAAGACACTTCACCTAGGGAAAGAATAATCTTTTCAACAAATGGTATTAGAACTGGATATGCATATATGAAAGAATGAAGTTTAACCCCTACCTCACACCATAAAGAATGAACTCAAAATGGATCATAGACTTAAATGTAAGAATTAAAACTATAAAACTCTTAGAAGACATAGGAGAGAATCTTTGTGACCTTGGGTTAGTCAATGATTTCTTAGATATGATACCAAAAGCACAAGAGACAAAACACAAAATGAATTGGACTATGTAAAAAAAAACCCTATGCTACAAATGATACCATCAAAGAAGTGAAAAGATAATCCACAGAAGGGGAGAAAATATTTCCAAATCAACAATCTCATAGAGGTGTTGTATCCAGAATATATAATAAACTCTTATAATAAAAAGACAATCCAATTTTTTTAAAAGGCAAATGATTTGAATAGACATTTCTTCAAAGAAGATGTATAAAATGGTCAACATGAAAAGATACTCAACATTTTTAGTCATTAGGGAAATAAAAATCAAAATCACAATGAGATATCACTTCTCATCCATGAGGCTAACCATAATCAGGAAGACAGGCAACAAGTGTTGTTGAAGATGTAGAGAAATTGAAACCCTCCTACACTGCTAGTGGGAATGTAAAATGGTGCAGCTGTGGAGAACAGTTTGGTAGTTCCTGAAAATATTAAATATAGAGTTGCCACATGTCCAGCAATTCTACTCCTTAGTATACATCCAAGAGTATTTTAAAAATGTGTTCAGCCCTGGCTGGTGTGGCTCAGTGGTTAGAGCGTGGGCCTGCTCACCAGAGGGTCATGGGCTCAATTCTGTTCAAGGGTACATACCTGGGTTGCAGGTTCAATCCCCAGGCCTGACCGGGGCACATGTGGGAGACAACCCATCGATATATCTCTCTCATGTCGAAGTTTCTCTCTCTCTCTTCCCCTCTCTCTCTCCCTTCCACTCTTTCTAAAAATCAATGAAAAAAAATAACCTTTGGTGAGGATTAACCAACCAAAGGAAAAAAAAATACATTAACATAAAAAATTGTGCAGGAATGTTTAGAGCTAACATTATTCATAATAGGCAAAAAGTGGGAATAACAAAAATGTTCAACTGATGAATAAACAAAATGTCAAACTATATAGGGAATATTATTTGGCAACAAAAAGAAATGAAAAACTAATACAGGCTACATCATGGATAAACTTTGAAAACATTACACTAAGTAAAGTAAGCCAATCACAAAGACCAAATATTATATGATTTTAATTATATGAAATGTCCATAATAGGTAAATCTACAAAGAGAAAGTAGATTACTGGGAGGAATAGGGAATGAGTGCTAATGGGTACTGGGTTTCTTACTTAGGGGAAATACCTTCTAAAAATTATAAAGTGATAATGGCTACATAACTCTGTGAATATTCTAAAAATCATTGAAATGTACATTTTAAATGGATGAACTGTATGGTAACTTAATGTTATCTCGAAAAAGCTGTTAAAAAAGCAATGCGTGCATATTTCAAGTTACCTATTTCATACCTTTCTTTGGCTTCCTTTAGTGCATTTTGAAGTCTCTCCACCTTCTGGTTTCCTTCCCTTAGGCAAAGCAGGAGCTGGCTCACAGTTAATTCCTCAGATTCCAAATAATTCCTGGCACCTTCTGCAGATCTGCTCCTACATCATAGCAGGATAGAGGTTAAAAGGTTTTCGTCAGAAAACAAAAATGTCAAAGTCTAAGAATATAACTGGAACCAACTTAAAGGAACTGCTTTCCAGAACACTCTCCAATTAATTCTCATTTACTGACAAGCAGCGCTGGCCCTGTGAACCCTAGTGCTTTCCAGGGAAAGAGTGGAGACTAATGAGTAGGTTTGCTTTACACTGCATGTGCTCACAACAGCAGACCACAGGACCCACGGGGACAGCAGAGCAGGGGTAGTCCTGGTTTCTGGTGCCCAGCTCTCCTAGAGAACTTGTCTCAAAGAGGACCACAGTCAAAGTACACAGCATACATGTTGCCAGTGGTGACATGCCAACTCGACAGAAGCATCACATTCTTGAGTTGAGAAGAAATCCAAATAATTAGAGAAACGTAGGTATTGTTGGTATATCAAATATTTTTCTTGATTTCAAAATGTGATTAAATCAAGAGGCAGTTCAGCCCGGCAGGGCGTGGCTCAGCGGTTGAGCATCGACCTGGGATCCAGGCGATTGGGGTTCGAGTCCTGGTCAGGGCACATGCCCGGGTTGTGGGCTCAATCAATGACTCTCTCATCATTGATGTTTCTGTCTCTCTCTCTCCCTCTCCTTTCCTCTCTCTGAAATCGATAAAGATATATTTAAAAAAAAAAAAAAGAGGCAGTTCAAAGACAAGCAAACAAAACCACGACCACCGCTACAATAACTAAACATTCCGGATGACTACGCTGATGCTAATGGCAGCTACTCTTTCAGTAATCTACTCAAAATTCCCCCATCCGATAAACAGCCAGGAGTAAATTCCTGTTCCCAACTCCTAAGCTCAAACTCCAAACCCAGAAGTCAATCTCTGACTCCTTAATATACTTTTAAGCAGGATAAATAAGCTGCAATCAAAAAACAGCTGTGTGGCTTGAAAGAGGAAGTGGTCTGCGCATGTTGATCTAAATGAGGAGGAAGTGGCTTGGATATTTCATTCAGGGTTTTCTTCCTTCCCACGACTTTCAGTAACGTCTTCCAATATTTAAAAAAAAAAACAATATGGGGAAAAACTGAGGAATTTCTAACTAAAAAAGGGAATAACTTTCATTTATGCCAATTGTTCTGCTTGAAGAAAGGATATTAGATAATACTTATTTTCTCCCTCATACAAGGGCTTGGGAGCATAACAAAAAAACTAACAGCCCATTTTCATGTTTTATAAATACTTTCATCAAGTTATAGAAAAAAAGATACTAATAAAAGTCTATGGGGGAGGAATGGGGGACAGACATCTGTAATATCCTCAACAATAAAGATAAATAAATTTTTAAAAAATATATATCTTTATTGATTTCAGAGAGAGGAAGGAAGAGGGAGAGATAGAAAGAACAATGACGAGAGAGTCATCACTGATGGGCTGCCTCCTGCACACCCCTAACTGGGGATTGAGCCCACAACCCGGGCATGTGCCTTAACCGGGAATCAAACCGAGTGATCTCCTGGATCCTAGGTCAATGCTCAACCACTGAGCCATGCCCGCCCGGGCAAGATAAATAAAATTTTTTAAAAGTCTATGAGGGAAGAGACCCTCAGAGAAACTTTCAGATAACTGTCTCTTTTAAGTAGACTAATACAGTAGTAACCGGCTTATAGAGGATGAGCTGACAGCCTGTTCTGGAGGAGTGCTATGTGCAAGAGTCTCAGGGGCCCAGTCCTTCTACCATCTCCTCAAAGTGCCCCCATCAATTACAAGGTCTACTTCCTAATAAGTACTTGAGACTCCACAGGTAAGATATCTGGGCACTTTCAAGAAACACTCAGAGACTGTGAGCAGTGACAGCCATTGTTATAGATTACCTAGTAGTATTAGTAGTATTAGTCACCTTGGTTTGTACTCAGAAGTGAACAGGGCAGAGAAAATGGAAATATGCCACTTATCAAGCTGGGCGGCCTGGTCCAGCTCAAACTGCTCTGGTATGCAAATTACGAAACATAGGTCTTTTGAGAACAAATTTGCTTTCACTTTTTATCTGAAGGAGATGAAATATCTTGAGTGGCGAGGGTTAGTTAGCCTGAAATGGCATTGAACATTGTTTTTATTCTGTGCCAGTTTTAGCTGCAACATTAAACAGCATTTAAACAGAACATTCTTAATAGGTCCTGGTATAAATTAATAAGTGACTTTTTTAGCCAATGATGTTCGACCTCTCAGTGGAGACCTGGAAGTGACAAGACTGTCCAACAGCCCTAGTCTTTCTTCACATACGTGTCAATGGAATCAGTTCTTGTGGGCCCTGGAATCGTTTTGATTTCTTTCATTGCCACATCTGCTCCTCCTTCCTGTAGAAGCAGAAATGAAAGGGACTTAACACAGTATGTCTACAAGACAAATTCTTTATCAAAAGATGAAAAAGCAAAAGATCAAGAATTTTGATGACATGCAACCTACCAAACATTTAAGTGTGAGATGTTTAAATTTGGTGACTCAGATGGAATGGAAATGTACCCTTCCCTCACCCCACATGCCCTGTCAGGATTATAAATATCTAGATGAAGTTTGGTCTCTCATTCAGCATGGTCAATCTGACCCCATAACATGAATGCTTATCTCCTGCTCTCCTTTGCACTTCTTTCCCAGGTTAAGGTCACACAGAGCTAGAGACAACTCCACATACCTTTCCTGTACAGTCCTTTAAAATGCAAAATACTAGAACTTGCTGAAGCAAAGTTGAAAAAGAGGTGGTTTTCTGTGAACAAGGCTCACAAAGCACAAAGTCAGCTCCTATTAGAAACCCTACGCATCTTGAGCCATTTAGGAAACAAGATTAAGACCACTTCAATGACTTGAAGGACATGTCTATTCTAATGGGGTAGCGGGATAATCTTCCAAAAATGCACAAAGATGTTCTGGATAGTTTCGTGTACACTCTTCCTAAATCTTGGGCAGTGCTTTCCAGTTCACAGAAGCAAGGCAAGAGAAACAGGTTTACACTAAAAATAACTGTCACTCATCAGTAAGGGAACATAATATGCTAAGCACACCCTGGAGGCAGAAATCTTTTGGAAACTTCTGATAGGCTCTTTGGGCTTCTTGAATTTTATCAGTTATTTGCAGAAGGTTAATGCTCTTTTATCAAACTTGTGTTTCATAATCTTTAGTCATTTGCAGAAAGGGTATTCTGGCAAACTGTGCTTTTAAATGGTATTTTAATTCTCTTGATTTCAGCCACTTTTAATGCATCTAAAATTTACTAGGGGACATGGATGGCAAGGTTATTAACAGCCATTCTCCAAATCTATCAATCTTTAGTGCAGCAAATGAATCAGAAAGCAAAGAAAGTCACACTCTAATATTTTGGACACATCAGTAGTTTAGCTTTTTGCAAATTGCTTCCCACCTCCCCCACCCAGCTCTCCTTGTCTATAAGGTACATTTTTCTCTTTCAGAGACATAGTTAATCTCTTTTCCTTTAACAGACATGCACTTTGACAAACCTAAAATGACAGTGTGTATGACACAGGATTGGATCTACATGTGTTTTCCCCTCTCTTCTCAATCTTTTTTAGTAGTAAGGAAGGAGAGGCCCCTGTGGTTCATTCACCTTGTTAGTAGGACTGTCGAACACCCAGACATACACTTGACAGACACTGCACATGTGCTAGGACATGATAACTCACTTAGACCACTTTATTTTGGGTGGCACATAAATGCAAGTTTGATAGCACTGGCTTTAAACTCTGTTCTCAGAGGTTCCCAAGTAGCTGCTGTTAGAGAAGCCAAGATAGTTCCTCCAACTACAACCAGAGCAGCTCTGCTCCTTTTCACTACTTATTTTTAACAAACCACAGTTCTTCATAAGACCTTGTTTGAAAAGAGGGTTCTAATGTTAAGAAGTGTTTTAAAGCCATTAGTTTACTGCATCTGATCACGATTCTGCTTACCTAAGTGAAATGCTGAACGCAGCTTTGAGACCTGGTCTGAAAAAGTTTGTGTTTTGGGGGGTTTTTTTGCCTTTTAGGTCGGTGACATAAATGTCTGATATGTGAAGACATATTGGAAAAAAGAAGGATTAGCTCTTTCGTCATAAGAATTAATTGATGTTTTTCCCTTTCAGCTATGATAACCCTCACAAGTATTGTGTTATACTTAAAAAACAAGGGCCAATTTACCTTTGCTACACTGAAATTTCCCCACTAAGTGGCTTCCCTATGTTGAAAAAGAAATGGTGGTATTTGCATCAACTGCCCAGGTGAGGTTTTGGAATTTGCTTAATACAAAACCAAAACACTTACAGCCAACCGTATTTCAACAAAAGAGTCTTCGGAGGGGCCGCCTGAGCCCAGCTTGAGCTGCAACTCAGACACAATGCCCAGCAGGTCTGCCTTTTCAGCTTGAAGTCGCACCACTTGGGTCTTCAGCTGCTCCATTTCCTGTTCTGCTTCTGCTTTGGGGACTTTGGGGTCCCGAGGGGGGTTCTGGAAATGATAAAGAGAAAAGCAAATTAATGAATAAAACTAAGGCTGCAGCATCAAACTCAAGTGCCCCATACCCACTGGCAAGGTGGTTTCTCCACATCTTGGTCCCCTGTGTTTTACAGTTGAAAATTCTCACTTTTCCTTGGCAATTTATTTTGACATAACATTTAAAAATAAACATTTTGACATTATTTTGTTGTATTCAAATAATAAAAAAATGAAAATAACCTCATGACAAGAAAGACATGCTTCCTCAGCCTGCTGGAATAATGTGATATGAAAATAAACCACCAGGACAGAGACTTGACTTGGGGTGGTGAACACACAATACAGTATACAGATGATGTGTTGTAGAATTGTGCACCTGAAACCAGTATAATTTTGTTAACCAGTGTTACCTCAATAAATTCAATTTAAAAATACAGTGCTTTTGCATAGTTTTTTAAATACTTTATTTTTATTACTTTTAAATTGATTTTAGAGAGAGGAGGGCGGGAGAGAGAAAGATCGATGTGAAAGAGAAACATCAATTGCCCCAGTTGGGGATTGAACCTGCAACCTGGGCGTGTGCCCTGATCAGGAATGGAACCTGCCACCTTTTGGTGTACAGGACGATGCCCCAACTGATAAGGGAAAACTCAGTCTACAATGGCCAACAGTCCCCCCCTTCCCCTTCCTGCACCCCGCCACTTTCCCCCTGTGTGCCAAACTAGATAGGTGAGCCCCGCCCCCCTACAGCAACGTAGGTGGAAACATGGACGGTATATAACTCCTTGCCCAATTGTGTTCGGGGCTCAGACTTTGGGCTTGGACTCCTCTGGGCCCCCAGCGTAAAATAAACCAACCTCCTGAACCCCAAGCCTCCGAGTGCCGCCTGGTCTTTCCGTAAGGGGAACGTCCCCGGTTCCGCAACACAACCAACCCTGGCCAGGGTGCTTTTGCAGTAAATTAAAAAACTCCACAAAAACAACCTGTCTTTGGCAATGGCAGAATTATAAGGTACAGTCCAAAAATACAAGAAAATAAGGACAAAAAGCTGCCCCAACTCAACACTCTTGCTTTTTCTATTTCCCCCATAAATGTATACCCACCACCACACTTCCCATACCTGTCATGTCTACTCAGAAAGCAAAGCACCAAAGACCTCACTTGGTACAGTAATGGCGAAAACACAATGAAAGGCTCAAGATTCTCCTAGGAATGTAGTCTGGGTACTATAATACTCTGTGTTGTTGTTTTAAGGTTATTAAACATAAATCTGTTGAGAAATAAGCAAACTGAAAATTCAGAGGCTGGTAACGAAAGGAAAAAAAATTAAATTTCGGCCTCTATAAACATTAATAAACATTAATATTTCACTAATGTCAAGTACATGTTGTGTTCATCCTGTTGCAATTACTGAATATGACAAAGTCAGAAGAGCAAGACCCTGTTTAGCTGTGGTGTTTTACTTGGGAGCAGGGAGAAGAGACTCAAGTTCACACTCTGCTAATCAGTGCAGGTGTTGCCTTGAGTAGATTCACTTTGTGTCTTGGCCTCAAGTTTTCTTGAGTTAGAAAGAAAGACATGGTACCACATGGTCTCTAAGGTATCTGCTGGCTATGACCTTCTTGGCCTCTCTGATTTCCTGCTGAGGAAACCTTCACTGCTCTTGTGGGCATGGCACCAGCAGAAATGCATACACTTGAGATTATGAGAGGATGCAGCACATTAGAAAACTGACATGTATACACACATACACATACACACCCTCTGTGATAGATTTCCTAAGGAGTGGTAAACAGGTCCAAAGGCTCACATTGGAACCAAAAAGTATCAGAAGGGCATGTGCTTGGACCATGAAATAGTAAAAAGTGCAGCAGGGAAGTGCCCCTCCCACCATCGAGATCACGCTTCTCTTCATTTGGAATAGTCCCTTGCTAGGAACTACCACAGGCCTTAGAGAAAAGCAAGTCATTGTGAAATGAAGTCAGGTGTACAAGGAAAGGTTAAAGGCTTATGCTCTCTCTCTTAGTAATGACTCACACCAAGGAAACATACATGTGAAGAAATGAAAACATACAAGGAAAGGTACTGCTCAGCCTGGAATCAGAAGCAAGCAGGGGAGGGCAAGACTATGCCCAATTAGGAATCTTCACATTTACCCACGTGACCCTCTCAGGGGACAGGTTATATAATGAATTTTTAAAAACCATCTTCGCGCCTGGCCGGCATGGCTCAGTAGTTCAGCATCGACCTAGGATCCAGGAGATACCGGTTCGATCCCTGGTCAGGGCACATGCCTGGGTTGTGGGCTCCATCCCTAGCAGGAGGCAGCTGATCAATGACTCTCTCTCATCATTGATGTTTCTCTCTCTCTCTCTCCCTTCCTCTCTCTGAAGTTAATAAAGACATATAAAAAAATAAAAACTACCTTTGCATAAAAGTAAGAAATACTTTTATTTTAGTTTTTTAAAGAGCTTTATTTAAATTTCTGTCTCCTTATAAAAGTATGTTCCTGGAAAGAGAATTTTAAACAAGTGCTGAGGACCAGGAATATAAGGCCATGACACTAGAATTTGGACAGTCAGGTTAATTGTCTTTTTCCACAACGTGTGCATCTCTTAATCATCACTGGGAAATTATGAATCTACTTATTTGTCCATAAACACCTTGTAGGATAAAACTTAAGTTTCTCTCCATTTTAACACTGAGAGTCTTTTCACTGCCTTCCTGGACTAGAACTCCCATGGTTTATTGTCCCGAATCTCAACCCCCACTGCACTGTTTGTCACGCTGCCATCGCATCTGAGTACTTATCATTGACCTTAGTGAGACAGCCACTTCTTGGTCTTTCTGTGTATCTGTGTAATGTTTCTATCCTGCTGTCTTGGCAATGCGTGCAAGTTGACATGCCATCTTATAATGCAAGAAGAAAAGTCTATCTAATGACCTTTGCCTAGCAATCTTCAATTGAAAGTTAAAAAGTACTCTTTAGAGACATTATAATGTGTAACTCAGTGAAACTGGACAGAACCATTAATGCCTCAGCCTCTCCCTGAGGATCGGAAGGCAGCTCTCTAAAGGAAATTCCCAACTCCCTGGCCTTCTGTGGCACAGAAGGCCTGAGCAGCCCTGATAGATTGGGGGGCATTTTCTGTAGAAACAGTGGCAAAGATGGGCAAGCATGAGTGAGAGAAATCCAAGGCCTTAAGAGCTTTAGTAAGTCAGGAAGATGAGGGCCCAAATTTTAAAAATCGTCTCAAATGATCCATGAAACAAAGATTAAAGAAGAGGCAAGGAGTCAGGGGTGGGCCTGGGAGGCATACTTTGGGGGAGAAAGTTGTAGCTCACTTCAACTTATTATCTGCATTGAAAGAAGCTGTCTAGAGCTTCAGCTTCTGATCTCAACTTCTTCCAATACTGGGACATGTAGGAAAACCTACAGGTAGACTATCTTAGACAAAGAAATTGCTTCTGGAAGCTTCCTTGTTTGCTTCAGTGTGATAGGCTTCAAATGGCTGAAGCCAACTGTCAGTTCGCATCCCAAAAAACAAGGGAAATATCTGTAGGATATTTTGTTCCAGAGAATAGAAAATTACTCATGTATCCCAGGGAATCATTTCTTCAGAGTACAGTACCTCAAAAATACTTGGACAATGAGAGATTTCCCCCAGAAAAGTGACTTAATGCTCTTAGAACTGTAAGACACGCTGAAGCACCAGAAATGATAAATCTTGTTAACGGTGAAACATTTCCAATAAAAATATAAATGTATTAAAGCGGAATGTTTTCACTGTCCCATGAGCATGAGCTGATGAGATCATTGACATAAACTATGATATTTTTCTAATCAACTTTTCATTCTTTAGATTATTCAATATCGTCCCTTTTCATTATTTTCTTTCTGATTTATTTGTCTGCATTCTTTACCCATTTAAGAAATTAGAGATCAACAAAGTTCAAAGTAAGGTCTCAAGACAATCACTGATATCTGGTATTACATCCTCCCAGTGCTCCATCTTCCAAAGGGCTGTTAGGTTGCAGGTTCGGACAGATGCCCACCTGAACAAATAATACTCAGTGAGTGTTAGAGGATGGGCAGAGGCTTCACATGTGTTCTGATTTGTTTTTTCACTAACATCTTTGACATCCACTCTTGGTTGTGTGTGTATTTCTCAGGTGCTTTGGGGGCAATGAAAACATGGCCACCCTATGTAAACTCCTACTGCAACACGACATTTGTCAAAACATTTTTCAGAAGTAAATGTAAAACATAAAGTGAAGAATCTGCTTTAGACTGAGAGGAAGGACAAGGTCAACAAGTAAAAATTCTGAGTAATAGTAAATTTTAAAAATGTAGTTTCATATCAAAGACATATACCAAAAACTAACACTTGCACAATTCTAGGCAGAGGTCCTTCTGCTCCGTCTATAATGAATACAAAATAGTGATTTATAACTTCAACATTCTTCTGACTAAAATCAATATGGTCAAAGCTTTACAAATTTCTTTCTCCCAACAGAGATTATTCATGACGCTTAAAATTGCAACCAATCTTCTCAGCAAGAACACTCCTTTCAAGATAATGCAAAACACCTGAACCATGAAAGGGTTTGATCTACAAGTCTAGACAAATAAGATTCCACTAAAAATGTTAATAAAATAAAATCACAACTAATCAGTCTGCTCACCTCAAATGAACTTTCTGTTTTCCCTTTTAGTTTTCCAAGTTCTTCCTTCAATTTTTCATTTTCATGACTCAGAGCCATTAAGCGCTCTTTGGCTTCTCTGCTCTGGATCTCAAAAAAAAGGCGTTCTTCCTTCTGTTTCTCTGTCCAGGCCGAGAGCTCCTGAAATCGCCCTTTCATAGCTTGGTTATTTAGCTTCATGGCTTCTGTATGGGGTTCAGAGTGAGCGTATCACATAACAAGGACTGGACTTGATTTAATGAGTCAAACCACCCTTCAAACCACTTCACCATGCGGCTGGGAATCTAAAGACGCGATGCTGGACCTGGGTGCGAGGGTCAGTCGGAAAGACTGTAGAGCAAGATGAGTGGTTTTTGCTTCCAGACAGGACTAGCAGGTTTAATGTTATTTCTATTCCTCAAAAGTCCCAAGAAAGTAAAACTGATTTGGGTACCTCCGTATAGCACAAATACCTATGAATAACTAGACAGACTAACATCTGTGACTCCTAGATTCAAACACTGGGAATGCCAAAAGCCATGGCTTGATATTAGAATGCTTCCTCTTAGCAAGGTAATATTTAGGACTAATTCTGAAATAATAGCAGCCTCTTTCTCTTTCCTTTTAAATGGGATAAATGTCTATGTCATTTCCCTGAGATACAAAAAATATTTATTATTCTGACCTATACCCAAAAGTAAATAATGGAAACAGTTTTAGCCTTACTGAAAGGGAAATTCTGTGCTCTTTCTGCCCCCAGGGAACCAGACAGAGAGCAAGGAGTTCACCTACAAGCCTTATTACAAAGGGATTAGGCTCAGGAAGGCCCAGGATGAATGGAAAGACACAGGGCCCAGGTGCTGCTCACCTTTCAGCTGATGGTTCTCAATCAGGAGCTCTTTCATTTGCTGCAGCAGCTCCTCTGGGGTAAATGTGTTCAGGTTTGTGTGATCCAGATTGGGGGGTCCATTTCCTGTGGTTTCATTGGGGCTGCCCCCCTTTTCAGTCAGGCAATTAAGTGGTTGGTAGGACATGGCAGCAATTCCTATGGAAAAGTTACAAACTGAAAAATAGCTCTCTCCCCTCTGCAAGGGGTCCCCAGGAGTCCCCCAATCCATTAGCAATTGCTAATATGTATCCCAAGAGTTGCCTACTTTCTCTCCAAATATATTTGAACATTTATGATTCTTCCTTTTAAACAAAAAAGGTATATCCTAGCTTCAGTGTGTATGTGTGTGCATGTGCATGTCTGTGTATATGGGTGTGTACAGGGGTGTAGTGAGAAGCTGGGATGTGGAGGAGGAAGAGAAGGCATGACATCAGGATGATCAGGAATCCTAACACAAGTCATTCAAGAGGGTTTCCATATATATGTACTTGTAGACATGGACAAAGTATCATTAAATTGATTTCCCCATGCAAATCTTTAAACTCAAATCTCTGTGTTTTGGGTAACCTGTATGGTATGTGAATTATCTCTCAATAAAGCTGCTCATAATCTTCATATTTTATTTCTTACATTTTTGGCTAAGAAGAAAGGGGGAACTAACATAATTTGGATGCTTACTATGTCCTGAATCACTGCATCACACACGTCAGTTTCTAATCCTCACTGAAACTCAACTATATCTCTTTTACAGGGGACAAAGCTGGGTTCACTGAGGTTTCATAGCTCACCAAAGTCACTTAACAAGAAGCGCAACCAAGTATCAAGAGTGATTCCAAACCCAGACCTATAATACGATAAAGGTATGACTATATTTAGGCTTTGGTATTTGATAATTTTGCAGAGTACACTAAAAAGACTAGAAAATTTTTGCCTAATTATTGCATATTCTGAGACTGTTTTAAGCACAGCCCTTTATTTTGTAGAGGGATCAAAGTGGACATAAGTAAGAGAAAGTGCATCCCAACTCTACTTCTGTGTAGCCTACCACCTGGGCAGACACAAAAATCTCTTCTAATGACTCTTCTACATGCTCTGGGCAAACGTTTTCTTTTTCACACTTCATGAAGATGATGATAAGCCTTTTCATGAAGAACTGCAGAGTCAGTGAATCAGTCACTGGAAGAGGAGGAGAGAGACATGCACTATCTGATCTATCACTGAATCATAACATCTATGAGCACTCTCTCAGCGTCTGTGTAATAAAATGCAACTATGCACATGGAATGCAGGGTGCTGCTTCTTCTCAATCCAACCAGAGGTGGTACCTGGGTTCTCTGGAAGTCCCCTGGAACTGAGAGGCTGGCAACCTGCCTTTTGTCTGAGGAATTTGTAGATAGAGATGGTACTACTATTGACAGGACAGCAGGCCCCACGACACCGTCACCTTTGTGACTTCTCTCTAGGGCAGTTAGCACAAGGAAAGGCATTCTCATGAAATTCTTTGATGAAGATGGCAATTTAAGGAGGTAAAAAACACCGATAAAGCGTAATATTCAACCGTGAGCCTTTTGAAGGCATCTACATTTTACACGTTACTTCATTTAGAAGAGGAATAATGCTGAAGTGTGCTCTCTCAGTATCAGGTGACTAGATGGACTTTTGTTTTCCTCAATAAAACAATCTGCATTATTTTGCATAAAATAATTTGGATAAAAATAATTTATCTAAATTTGGATAAAAATAACACCAGTTTTTCTGTCTTTCTATAAAATTCATTTTTGCACAGAATTATGTTGGTGCTAATATTTCATAAAAATGGGTTCTTAGTCTCCTGACTGGTGGCTCAGTTGGTTGAGCCTTGTTCTATACACCAAAAGGTTGCCAGTTCAATTCCAGGTCAGGTTATACACCTAGGTTGTGGGTTTGATCCTGGGTTGAGGCAACAAATAGATGTTTCTCTCTTTCTCCCTTTCTCTCTCTCTAGAATCAATAAAAGAAACCAAAAAAAAACCATATTCTTGGGTGAGGATTTAAAAGAAAGAGCTTTAACTTAGTAACAGTGTTCCCATTTATTTTGCAGAGGAATATTAAAATTCTAGGTAATAGACCTAAAGATAAAATTGTTGTAATGTTTATCACTTGTCCACATTAAATTTCCTCAGGTATTCAATGATAATACTGCAAAAAGTATAATTAAAGAGTAAATGGAAACATTTAACAGATTTAACATCTAAAATTCAATAAAAATGTTTTTAATTGATTTTTTAAGAGAGAGAGGAAGGGAAAGGGAGAGAGATAGAAACATTGATGTGAGAGAGAAACATCAATTGGTGGCCTCTCGTATGCAGCCTGACCTGGATCGAACCCACAAACTGGGCACATGCCCTGACGGGGAATCGAACAGAAAGCTTTCAGTGCATGGGATGACGTTCAACCAACTTAGACACACCGGCCAGGGCAATAAAAAATTTTTTTTAATTAAGTGTCTAAGCAGATATCTGTAGATGGGTTTGGTTTCATTGTATTATATGCACACATTTCTCCTTAATGTTTTTTCCAAGAGAGGGGAAAAAGAAGGAAAGGAGAAGAGGGGAGGAAAGACAGAGGAAGGGAGGAAAGGGGAGGAGAGAGGAAAGGGGAGGAGGGAGGAAAAGAGAGATTTTCCTTTGAAAATTGGGCAGATATTTTTCCTTCTTGACTTTCCTTTATACCTCCACCAAGCTTCTGGACACAACCATAATAAAGTTAAAGTGGTTCTAGTTTTTACATTGGTGCTTCTCACTTTTTCAGGTTACCCATATTTTATAAGGACACCAGGAAAAAAGCAGGGTTATACTAAGGCAGACAGGAGTAAAAATACTGGGTGCGACTAACCAGAAGTGTGATCTTCAGAAGTCACCTGGCCTCCTGCTATGGTTTATTGACTTGTCTAGCAGCTGATGATCATTACGTTTGGTTTCAGGTCAAAAAGTATTCTTAAGCTTCTAGCAAATCACAGTTCAACCCATGTATCCTAACACTCTCAAGGCTGTGCCATCCCCTCTCACTAATAAAATATATGCCTGTCCTAGTTATAGTAAACTCTTTGTTTTCCAGCATTGTTAGGAAAATTTATTTGGTAATGCAAATGTCATAGTAAATTAAAATCACATATGCTGAACATAAGCATGTAAAAACCAAAATTATAAGCATGTAAATTATTACCAAATTTTTAATAAAAGCAATTTAATCAATTTTGGTGACTCAAAGGACACTTTATGGTTTTAGAATATTTGGAGGGCCTCACTAGGAGTTATCACAGTACGGTGCATATGGGAAATGTCTATTGGTAGAATGCCAGAGGAAGCTGAATTCTCTGTTTTTAACATTACCTGGAGCTACTTTCAGTTAAGCAAACACAGAGATGCATTAGAAACCCTTGCATACATCTTCAAAGGTCATGGAATTTGGAACTAAGTCATTTATTCCAAGGTTCCACCTAATAACAGAATTTCTCATGAAAGGCCAACTAATCTGGATCTGAAAGGTGTCATTTCTAAGCAAAGGTGATCTTTAACTACAAAAGGGTGAATTAATTTAGCACTGTATTTGTCAAGATTTTGCCAATGAGAAAGAATGAGAACTAGTTGGAAGGTAAAAGATCCAACGCAAAAGCTCCTAGATTTAATTCCCAGATCTGCTATTTGAATTCCTGATTATATATTTTTATCGTTCTTAATTCCAGAGGTCAAGTAATTATAGCAATGACTTGACTCTGTAGGCATGAGCTTACATCTCATTCCTGAGTTGGCCTTAAAAATAATCCAGTCCAATTCCTTATCCAATACAAGAATGTCTTATCCATTTCCCATGGCAGATGGTCATACAGACCAGGCTTGAATGACTTCAATGATAGAAAATATAAGCGATGACCTTAGCAGGCAACTGCTCATTCTGTTACAGGATGACTCTGATTGTCAGAGAGTCATTTTGAAATTTGCCTTATACTGACTTCCACCCACTGTATATTGGACCAGCAGGCATAATACAGAATAAGCCCAGGCCCCAACCCTGGTTGGCTGATTCTCCAGATCTGCTGATTAAGTATTCATAGGTTCAATCCACAAGTAGATAAATTAGTTTTTTTTCCCTTTTATTGAATTTATTGGGGTGACACTGGTTAACTAAATTATACAGGTTTCAGGTGCACAATTCTACAACACATCATCTGTACTCTCTATTGTACATTCACAGCCCCAAGTCAAATCTCTGCCCATCACCATTTACTTCTCCTATACCCTCCTCCACCTCCCTCTACCCTCCCCCCACACTATTGTCCATGTCCATGAGTTTTTTCTTTCTTTCTTGTTCAACAACCCCCTAACCCCCCCCCCCCAACAGTTATCAGCCTGCTGCTCTCTATCTATGAGTCTGTCATCAAGTGGATAAATTAATTTTAAAAAGTAAAAACCTATTTATTGATTGGAAACAACAGCTGGCTATTGGCAAATTCTGGTTTGGGTTCACACGAGGCTAAGATTCCAAAATCGCATCAACTAAACTTATCACCATCCCGGAAAAAGAAAAACTGTATCCTACTAAGAGGGCAAGAAAACCCTCACCTTTTGTGACAGAAATGGTATTCTGATTTTGTAATTTGTAACATACAGAAAATGGAAGTAGATTTCACATTATTGCCCCAGGCAGGAACCTGGGAGTTATGATTGATTCTTCCCATTCCCTCTTCCCCAAGTCTAATGGGTCACCAAGTGCTGTCACTTCCATCTTCTCTCCATCCCACCAACTTAGGTCACACCCTTCTTGTCTTATCTGAACTACAACAATATTGCACTCCACAGAATATAGGATTTCTGGGGGTTCAAAAAATACTTGCTGAATGAATTTTTCATAGTCTCCTACATGGTCTGACTCTCATCTCTTTCCATCTTAGCCTCATTTCCTCCATGTTTTCTTTCCCAATACAAGCTCGTCTGATTGCTTACAGCTCTTCCCATACAAGACAGAGCTCTCTCTGCCTGAAATGTCTGGCCCCCTTTTGCTCTGGCAAATACCCACTAGACAGTTCAATATTCAGCTCAAATAGATATCCTATGTGAAAGGAACTGTTCTTTCCTCTGAGAACCCAACAGCACTTTGTGTGTTCCATCTCCTTGGCCCTTCTCTGCAAAGTACTGTAATCATCCAATGCCAGCCCATCTCTCAGTCAAACCTAAGCCAAGATCTCTAGTTTATTCTTCCTAGCGACTGGCACGCAGCAGGCTCTCAGTAAACGTTTGTTGCAAATGAAATGAAAATACAGTTTAACAAGGTATTTTAAAGTCTAAGACTAGTAAAACACTTCCTGCTGTGTAGGTGACAAACCCAGCACACTAGTACTGAGTTTTCCTACAGTTCTATGGCATTCATTTCCAGATTCTTACACTCAGCTTTTAAGACTTATTGAGAAAATTAGTGCTTTTTTTTTTTTTTTAATATCACTACAAAGGTACCTGGATGTCATTTCATAACACACATTCTGTTATTCAATACTCATACATGTCAAAGTGAAAATGAAAACTTTTAATATAACTTTTTTCTTTCGGAATCAAAGATTTTTTCAAAAACAAAGTTTAATTTTTGTCCTTTTCCTTTGGATTTGCTATTCCATAGATTCCACGGAATATATCGAACAGTCTGAGTCTCTAAAAAATTCACAAAAAAGCAGGGTTTGGCAAAGAAGAGAGTACCCATGTGCTTCTACTTAAGGGGGGTGGAAGGGGTTCCAATGGGAAGATAATACAGTGACCAATTCCTTTCAAGAATAAAGTTTGCTTTTGTTTTTTGGAGGGTTTAGTTGGATTCCATAGTATAAGATGCAACCTGAGGTCAATTACAAAAAGAAGATACTACTTTTATAATGTTATTCACAATATATAAAGAATACTTAAACTTTCTCATTAGAAAAACAGACCGATCACCCCCAAAGACTAATGACTGTCCTTTCTCTATGGGCTACATTTAAACTTCACTTGCCTACTCCATTCCAGAGCAGTCTCAGGCCTTGGCTCTGCTCCAGGATCTCTCCAGCCCAGTAGAAACTGGGTACATCCTGGGGGTTAGCCAGGGACCCCTAGGCAAAGAGCAAGGGGGGGAAGGCTCTCCTAAATGCCACTTGCTCAGATGTGAGGCTTCTGATGTCCTAACACCATCTTACTGTCCTAGGGCTTTGGTTTTCCATTTCATGTTGAAAGAGCTCTGTGGCACACATTTCCACACAACAGTTTTCCTGGTGGAGAACCTGAGTTTCATTTTCTCTTAGCAATGTCTACGGTCTCCAGCTTACACATTTACGACAGCAAAAACAATTCCTCGGTCTCATCAAATATTCATATTCTTTCTCTCTCTGTATAAAAGCATATATATATATATATATATATACGTTCTCCTAGATAGAATGGTTTATGAAGATTCAACTGTTCAGTATCCCACCACCTTAGGGAGAGGTCCCTTGTTTTTAGTGTTCCCGGGGCATTTCATAAAGCCAGAGGTGTACCCTTCACCGCTTCCCTTATAATGAGGAATCCCAGCCTGAGGAAGGCTGTCACCCTTAAACTACCTTGGTGACCTGCAGAGTAAGTCACCTGCAGATCGCCAGGCCGGGAGAAGGGGGGAAGGGCGCCTTAGGACGGCCGCCCCCGCTGCCCTTCCCCACAGGTCACCGTCCTGGACACTCTCCCACCGGAGGGGACACCCCACCCCTCGCTACCCACGCCCCCACTGGCTCAGGGTGGCCGGGAACGGGCTGCGGGAACAGCTTCCAGGGCAGGGGACGAGCCGCCGCCTCCCCCAGCGCCTGCCCACCCCGGCCCCGCTCACCGGCGCCAGCGCTCTCGCCTCACTCGGGGTCACGGCTTCCTCGGCACCGAGCCGGCCGGGGGAGGACTTCGGACCCG